TCAACCAGACGCTAAGTTTATTTCTCGCTTATTTTACGATCGCCGATAAACTTTTAACATTGTGTCGTAGTGTATGTTACGTGATGTAGTGTGTTAAGTCACTTTAGGTGTGTTATGTGTGAGGTAGTGGTGTGTTATGTTACGTGAAGTGGTGTGTTATGTTACGTGAAGTGGTGTGTTATGTGAAAGGTGTGTTATGTTACGTGAAGTGGTGTGTTATGTTACGTGAAGTGGTGTGTTATGTTACGCGAAGTGGTGTGTTATGTTACGTGAGGTAATGTGCTATGTTACTTGGGGTGTTACGTGAAAGGTGTGTTATATTACGTAAGATACTTTGTTACATTAAATCATCCGTTACGTTACATCATCATCCTCATCACATTACGTCAGTTACATCACGTTACATAATTCACTGTTGGCCTGACACAAGTCTTCAGGTCACGGGCAGTCAGTTAAAACAAGGGCGAGATAACTTAAAGGTGACAAGCCCTTATAAACACATACACTTAGTACATTATCGACTATAAACCTCAATTAATATATTTTCCATCTATTTTTTATATAATTATAATAAGTAATAATTAAAAAAAAGGTTTATAATTACGTTTGTGAAGAGAATCTCAAGTGTAACCCAGAATTATTGAGTCGTTAGATTAGTTTAGTTTACGTTAGGTTGATGCTCCGTTTTCTATGATAAAATTATAGACTACAATTTTGTGGTTGTTATTAAGAATTCTGGTGGTTGATATTCGGTATATGGACAGTTAGGTTGACAGGAGAGTTAGATTGACAGGAGAGTTAGATTGACAGGAGAGTTAGATTGACAGGAGAGTTAGGTTGACAGGAGAAAGTTAGGTTGACAGGAGAAAGTTAGGTTGACAGGAGAAAGTTAGGTTGACAGGAGAAAGTTAGGTTGACAGGAGAGAGTTAGATTGACAGAGACATTTCCAAGCATCAGACAGAGTGAAGTTTCTACCAACTGTTTAATTTCCGTCACCTCAGGCCTACACCCCCCCCCCCTCTACCTCCTGTCTCTCCTTTGCCCCCGACTATCCATTATCCTCTTGTCCCTCCCTTACATCCCTGTCTCTCCCTTACCCCCCTGCCTTTCCCTTATCTATCCCCTTGTCTCTCCCTTACCCTCTGTTTCTCCCTCACCCCCATTGTTTCTCCCTTACCCCCCCTGTCTCCCTTCCTACCTCCTGCCATCATCATCAGGTACAGTAATTGTGTTACCTCGTACTGATAGATAGATAGATAGATAGATAGATAGATAGATAGATAGGAAAACGTATGACCTTACAATCATTATACTCAAGAGGTAAATGCCATCGTACTCAAAGATTTAATTGATATATTCACAATAATCCGTTCGCCATATTGTTAATCGAAACTAAACACTTCCCGTCTGAATCATTATTATTTTTTTCAACGCCAATTATACATTCTCTCAAACCTCGATGACGAAAACATAAGGAAAAAAAATATTCGTATTTTGTTTTTAATTCTAACCTTAAGTTCATTATTCTAAGTGAAAAAATAGAACGTTTCCATTATATTAAGTGAAAAAACGTTCCTCCGGCCGCAAAAAAAAAATCCTTCCCCCTGCCACAAAAGCTCTCCCTCTCTCAGTGTTTACTTGTTATTACGAGCTCTTAATTGTGTTTGCAGACTCTCATTTGGGCTTCAGAAAATATAAGTTTATGATTAATACATTTTGTGTCAACTGTGTGTGTGTGTGAAAGAGAGTAAGTAAGTGTTTGTGTATATCAGTGTGTATGAAAGTGTGGGAGTGTCAATAAGTACGTAAGTGCAAGTGTGTGTGTAAGTGCAAGTGTGTGAGTGTGTAAGTTACTGAGTGAGTGGGAGAGAGGGAGGTAATTTCACCCGTCTGTCTCACTAACTCTCACAACAACAGCCAAACTTTGCACACTTGTATTCTCAAACCTCTGAGGTGACATTAACTTTCGGGAGAGATATGACCCAGAAATATAATGGCTAGGAGGTCAAGGTCAGGTCAAGGAGGTAAAGGTTACAATAGGAGGTCAAGGCCACAACAGAGGGTCAGGGTCACGAAGGAGGAGGGTCAAGGTCACGAAGGAGGAGGGTCAAGGTCACGAAGGAGGAAGGTCATATCACGTCAGAAGGTCAAAACTGCATAGATAAGATCATCTTAACTTGACTATTTTATCAAGTGACAAAAAATTATTTAATAAGAGTGAAAAAGTGACCATCCTATGAGACGCACCCATGTTATATATTTGTTTTACGAGTTTTATTATTAAAAAGAAGGGGGGGAGATGGAGGGTGGTGGGGGGACACGGTGGCCTAAAGCTGCGTTAGTGAGGCGTGAGTCAGAAAGGAAAAAAAAATTTCTCATTGGATACATCAGTTAGTTAAATACCTTATAGAACTGGTATTCATAAAAGCTGACTGACGCAAGTTATGAATGTGTTCTTGGGGGGGGACACAAGACTTCATCCAGGATCTTGATTAATACTGATGTCAGATTATTAAGGTAAATAAGGGTGGATTTACTTCACTGGTAAACTTGTAGTTGTTGATACGGGATTTCATTGTATTATGAGATGTGAATGGTTTGTTTACTCAGCATTAAGCGGGGTATGGGGGTAGGGTGGTGGGGGGTAGTGGGGTGGGGGAGGGGGATGGTAAAAGGGGGAGGAAAGGGTTCTACATAACCCCTGGTTCTTTCATCGTCTTGTTAGCCTTCAGTACACAAGGAGACAGCGAGGCCTACACTGCACTCGACCGCCTTTCACTTCCTCAACTGTAAAATCAGGCAACTATTCTCCAGCAACATCGATTTAGATCACCAATCGTAGGGATTCGAACGGTGATTTTTTATGGGGGGGGTCTGAAGATGAGTACTACAACCACACAGCCACCACACCACCTAACGAGTAACGTATTGTAATTATGTGGGAGAGGAGGATTTACCTGTGGCTAGTATAAAAAAAAAAGGTAGGTTGAGAATGGTGGTTATGGCGTGACGACGGGGTAAAAACACTTCAGTAATTCAGTACCTCGCTCACTGGGTCACTCATCACTCGCTGGGTCACTCATTACTCGCTGGGTCACTCATCACTCGCTGGGTCACTCATTAGAGGGGTATCACGGGGAGCTTCCTACCTCGTCCTCACACCTCGCCTCAAGCACCCAGTTTAGATACCTCCCTCCCTCACTAGTCTGTAAATGCTAATACTGGATGGCTGAATCTCTCTCTCTTGCCCACTATCTCACTTGTCCACACTCCCCCACCCCCCCCCTCCCAGTGTCTTTCATCAGCGTGTCAATACTTCAGAAATGCTTGAAAGTATTAAAAAACAAAAAACTCTTTTAAAGTAGTTTTTTGTTGATCATATTTTTCCCGGGAGAATGAGACGTTACTTTAATCTCCATTTGTAACTCCCTGGTGATGAAGCTGAGAGAGACAGTTACCCCTGATGTTGTATTTAACCTGAGTATTTAAAAAAAAATTAGCATATGACGAAGGGTGAAATACGACCATTATGGCAAGGAAAATTTACTCGGAACACTCTGTGTGTGTATTATTATTGTGTGTCCTCTTTTATTATGGTTTTCCCTATGAAATATTTCCACCGCGACTAATGTAAAAACGGAAAAAAAAACATTTTTTATGATTTTTTGTAGATTTGTCTAATAATAATGATAATAATAAAAATAATAATAATAATATTAACAATAATGATAATAATAATAATAATGATAATAATAGAACACAAATTACGTAGTTTCTCATAGGCTTACAAACAATCAGGTGAACGAATGACGCACCAAAAATAACAGGTGGACGAGTGACGTAACAAAGGTAACGTTAAAAATATAAAGATGTGAGAGAAGAAATTGACAAGTGAGAGTGAAAGAAAAAAGAATGTAGGTTAGTCTCTCTCTCTCTCTCTCTCAGGTCAACCATGTCCAAGTAACCTCCTCCCCCATCCTCCCTCAATGGTGTCGGGAGATAATAGGAATTTTACAGACAAAAGAGGAGGGGGAGGGGAAGGGGGAAGGGGGGAGGGGGGAGGGGGGAGGGGCAAGTAGCTGTCGGCACTATTCCAAGCCTCACCTGGACGTGGCACTATTAGTAATCTTTCTTTCCTCTTCTTCCTCTACTCTTCTTTTCTCCTCCTCTTTCTCTTATATAACCCCCCCCTCCTTGTGAATGGGTACCTGCCTTTACCGTTGCCAAAGTGAAAGCAGTCGAGTACAGTGCCACCCATATGCCTCTCCTTTGTACTGATAAAAGACTTGAGACTAAAGTGTGCTGGACTGTGGGATATCTCTCTCTCTCTCTCTCTCTCTCTCTCTCTCTCTCTCTCTTCTTACACACTATTCCTTACCCTCTTCCTTCATGGTACCATCTCCTCTTCTTTCTTTCTTCCTTCCTCGCTTTCATTTCTACTACTCTTCCTTATCCTCTTCCCTCTTCCTTTCTTCCACTTCCTCTGTTTAACCCCGTTTCCCCTTCTATAACTCCTCTCCTCTTTCCCTCCTACTCCACCTTCCCCTCAACTAGTGTTTCACTTTGACACAGGTGCTCTACACAGGTACACTACACAGGTACACTACACAGGTACTCTACACAGGTACACTTGATGCATACTCGCCACGCTATACACAGGTACACCTTGTTATGCCACACACAGCCCACGGTACTGCTGTAGTGTGTGTGTCTGTCAACTAGTGTCGTGAGGCCGGGTTTACACATCTCGATAATCTCTATGATCAGTGACATATTTCTGTCCTCGTTTTTCAAGTTAATTTCCGCCTCATCTGACTTGACTAATGATGAGTTTGTCGCGTGAGAAAGACTTTGAGTTTTTCTTAATGCAACCAGTGGCCAGTTGTTTAATCTGGTGTCTGTAGTAAAAGTTTTCATTATATAATATGGTAAAAAATTTCCTGTGAGGTCTTAACATGTTTGGGACAACTAACCTAGAGTAACAGGGTATTTAACTTACATTATACACGTTTAAATGACTCCCCGTAGTGTGAGGGCCCTCGGGTCTGGTGCCCGGGGCATGATGAACACGACGCCCCCGGGAACACCCCCCCGCTGTAGGAGGTGCAGGATGTAGGTAACAAGATAAAATCCTAGGATTGTGTTGGGGGCGGCGCGCGTCCGGTGCGGCCGTCACCCGACTCTCACCACGACCAAACCCCAACTGAGGCGAAGACAACACCTCCACCCGCGCCCCGCCGCCCTCTGCTGCCAGTTAGTCATATAGTACTCTCCCACACCGTCGCCTTTCGTCGTTCTGGTTCTGTTAGCGACAATTTTTTACCTCTGTTTGCTATCACGTCGCTAAAAGTACTCGTAAGGTGTTAGGCAAGATGGAGGAGTGTGACTGTTGCTCCCCGGCCAGTGTTTGTGTTGTTCTTATCTTGTGTGTTTGTTTTGAGAAGTTTCGCGCCATTTAGCATATTAGGTAAACACAACAGGTGTATAGCTCTGATTCTATTCCTGTGCGCGTGGCTGTGTAAAGGTGTGTTTGTCGTGTGTGTGTGTGTGTGTGTGTGTGTGTGTGTTTTTTTTTATCGTAGTTGTTTTCGTGTTTTGTTTGTTTTTCATTTGCGTTTTTCGTGTGTATGTGTTCCCTCCCTCCCTCAGTCAGTCAGTCAGTCCAGAAGTTTATTTCCGGAACAGAATTCACTAAATAATAAATAAATAATTTCAGAAATATCACAATATAAGTTCTTGTCTGGCTGTTCGTGTGACTATATCCTGTTGTTTATTTCTCTGTCTGTGGATGTATCAGTGTTTTTTTTTCATGTGTTTGTATTTGTGATCACTCAAGACGTGGCATTGAGGATGATGACTTAACAAGCATGACGGTATGACAGCATGACCGTTTCAGTGAATATAGATAAGATAAACACAGTAACTCAAGATAATTACGGTGTTATTACCTGTCTGGGCCTGACGTCACTCATTACGTGGAGTAAACTGATCTGACCTGACCCGACCTGACCTGACCCACTTCCGGCGAACTTGTTGTCGTCTGTAGACATAGTTCTCCCCCTCATCCTCCCGAGTCTTATCCCTCCATCCCTCCCCTATTTACTTTTCTATCCCCTTTCCCTCCCCAAATCCCCCTCCTTCCCTCCTCTCCTTCTTCATCCCCTCCACACCCCTCCTTATCCCCTTCCCTTTCCGTCCTCCCCCCCTTCAATCCCCTCCCCTTTCTCTCCCCCCTTCAATCCCTCCCTTCTCTCCTCCTCCCCATCCCATCCCCTTTCCCTCCCTCCCTCCCTTCACTATTTCCATTTCCCTTCACCCTACATACTGTCACTCAGCCCAACATGTAGCCAGCCGAACGTCTGCTAATTATTCATGACTCATCTATCCGGTGTCCTGATTATCGAGGTTCGTGCAGTAGTGTTTTAGTGTTTGGCTGACGGGAATGTGATTGTCTGTATTTCAGATTGATGTACCCCCCCCCGAATCCATTGTCCGGATGAGTGAGATACCCATTCCGAATTAGTTTGGTGATTCCCCCAGATGTCCGGATTAGCGAGATGATCCCCACACATCCGAATTTGAGAGATGTCTTCCCTCCATTGCCATTGTCCGAATTAGCAAGATGTCCATTATTCGGATTAGCGAGATGCCAACTCCCCCCCCCCCCTCCTTATCCGGATTAGCGAGGTGTCCCCATTATCAGGTCACCATCGTAACACATAAGAGTCAGGAAACTCGGCCTTGTTTATCCGGTGTCCTGGTTATTTGTGTGTGTGTGTGTGTGTGTGTGTGTGTGTGTGTATCACCACCCACAAACACTTGGTGCAAGTCAACAGGTTACACGCACAGTTAAGTAGGTTAGTTAATAATGAGAACGTGGTAATCTTAACCGAACCTAATCTAACCAAACGCAGGTGGCAGTGTTGGGTGGCTGGGCGGTGTAGCTTGAGCTGGTGAGTGTTAGCTGCTTTAATGTTCCAGCTATTTTTGGACCTCGTGTTTGGGATTTAGCTGCAGTCAACCAGTTAGCAGTTTATTCTTATATTTTCACCTACTAGGGTTATTATTGTTGTTGTTGTAATAATCGTCTCTAAAGAAATAGATTTTTTCTGATTATTTTCCACAGCCTACGATCGATAAACCTTACAATTATAGGAATATAAATAAAATAGTAATATAATGATGTATAATAATGGTGTATAAACTTTAATTTAGTAAGCCAACGTAAACAGTGTTGGATGTATTTATTTTTCACCCTACTCTGTGTAATAACCCACCGCACGGGGGAAACAGTTGGCCTCTGCATGCACAAGAAACGACGCTATTAAAATGTGCAAGTAACGAGTATGCCCCGAGCAGGCGAGGTCACCCGAGTGGAAAAGGGGAAGAGTAAAGAGGAGTAAGAGGGAGAAGAAGAGGAAATAAAAGTAGGAAGGGAAATAAAGAATAGGAATTGTTTCGAGTTAAAGGAAAGGGAGGTGAAAACTAGCAACGGTGAGGGGAGGTGTGATCAAAGCCGCTAGATATTGGATACTGTATCAGATTAACCCCGGAAGGAGGCTATTGGGCACCCGTCTCTTGTATCCTATGCAAGGCGAAGCGCATAAGTGTTTACAGCGCCCAACAGGGAAGTTTGTGGTGTTCATGCTTGCGTTCTTGATTCATGCGTTTAAGGGCGTAAGTACCTGAGAGACGTGATAAATCCCTAGTAAGTAAGTATTTGGCCAGGAGGAAGGGGTGTTGGTGACGGCTGGAGACTGTGCTGTGGTAGGAGGGAGGCACATATGCATTGACACATTATTAAGGGACAAGCTATTTAGTGTGAGTGTGATGACGTGTGTGTGTGTGTGCAGCGACGAGGAGAAGGTCGAGAGGGTGACAGGGTGACGTCCTTCCTGATGGAGATATGAAGTCAACGTTACGTTCTCGTCACTCGCATTTTATTTAACTCCAGCTGATCCAAATATTATTTTTTTCGTGGATCCCTTCAACTTGTGCAGTCTCAACACATAAAACAGAACAGTACAAGAGAAGTTAATGACAATTGCCGCCTCGACCCTACACAGCAGAGGGCGGTCTCACTGTGTAGGGTGGTGCAGCATTAAGGCTCGGGTGGGCTGTTTAATTTTTTTTTACTAAGGATGTTGATGGGGGGGACTCTGAGACGACCTACTCAAGGGGTTAAGGAGTTCCAAGTTTGTGTCTGTACCCTCACCCGTACCAGCCACTCCTCCTCACCCGTACCAGCCACACCTCACCCCGATAACACCTTACCCTTGGCATGTATATTTCAAAAGCATACCCAGCCTGAATACCAGTAAATATTAAGTTTATGTCGGGGTTTATTTAGCCATTTGTAGAAAGAATACTTGTATGATTCACTATATACCGTAGGAGGTATGGTCTTATCGGGCGTTTTTTGTTGTTGTAGTACTGTACCCAGGTGTTGCCGTTTTCTGTATTCTGGAGGGGATGGGGTACTGTACCAAAAGAAGGGCTGTTGCTAACCGGCCCGTTCACCCCTCATGGACGTGTGTGTGTGTGTGTTTCGCCACCACCAGCGATTTGAGACTTCTTATAGTTCTTGTTCTGTCATTTATAGTCTCACACACACACACACACAGTAAGAAAATGTTTGCAAAATGAAATTCAAGATGGAAATCCCAGCAGTGTAAGAATATGTTTTTCCTGAAGTGGTTGGGAGGAGGATTAAGGAGATCTATGGGATGGCAGCGAAGGCCAGAGGTAAAACAGGCGGACGACACAACACTTCCCAGATCATAACAACGACTGTGTTTGTGATGGTTGGAGATGCATTCAGCTGTCGTTTGTCGGAGGTTCTGTGTTCTCTTAGGGAAATTTATCATGTTTATAAAGACCAGAAATCACATAGTATCGGGTTATTGTTATTATTCACAAATCACATAAATAACATGGGATTCAACCATTGTTAATTATCATAACTGTGAAGGTGGTTCTCAGGGTTGGGTCAGAGGAGGAGGAGGTGTTGTCATATTATCGGTGTGTCATGTTATCGGTGTGTGTCATGTTATCGGTGTGTGTCATGTTATCGGTGTGTCATGTTATCGGTGTGTAATATTTGGTGTCATATTATCAGTGTGTCAGATGTGTCATATTATCGGTGTGTCATGTTCAAGGCCTCCTCCATACTACACCCATTCATGACCCATTCATCTGAATACCACCTAACCCACTGGTACACCTGCTGCAGCACCTGTACAGCTCTGAGTGGAGGGGGGATGAACGAGAGGGAAAGAGAGCAAAAGAAGGAACGATTCAAAACGAGGGAAAGGAAGGAAGGGAGGGAGAGACAATGGTAAGCGGGAGAGAGAGAGAGGGAAAGGAGGGAAAAAGAATGGAAGTGTAGGGTAGGAAGGGTACAAGGCAAGAAGGGACTGAGAGAAAAGAAGAGAAGGAAGGAAAAATGATAAGAGTGGAGGGAATGAAGAAGAGAGGGGGGGGAGCCCATAGAGACATAAACCATATCAGACATGTATAAGGGATGGATTATGCATGCTGGTACCTGAGGTGTTGCTGCCCTAGTGTTGAAGTTTAGATTGTAGCTATGATGGTGTGTGTGTGTGTGTGGGAGGTGGGGGGGGTGACTCATGTTATATGTGTGAGAGAGAGAGAGACGTTTTGTGTTTTTTCATCTACCTCCTGATATATGACTGGTAGACTTTGAATATAACAAAACTGTATCAGTAAAATAAGGAATAAAAAAAAAAATTCAAAAGTCAATTTCGCCCTACACAAATTATCTTAATATATCTAGTTATTTTTTCCCCCAAAATTAGACCAAACTTTTCTTAACCTAAGCTAACAACATGTAATGAAACTTACTTGAAGCTAATTCAACGTATCTGAACATAATGTGACTAAACTTAACCTTGGACTACAGAATGGTTATAGAATCCCTAGAAATCATTCAGAGGAGGATGACAAGGCTATTAATCCCAGGCATTAGGAACCTTTAAATAAGAAAACAGATTAAAGATCCTTTGAGAGACGAAAAGTGAGGGGCGATATGATGGAGGTGTATAAGTGGAAGTCAGGGTTAAGTAAAGGTGATATAACAAAGGTACTGTACTTAAACTGTCCAACCAGGAGTGAACTCATAGCAATGCGTTTAAAATTAGACAAATATAAATTTAGGCGCGAGAGAGGTAAACGCTGGTTACAAAATGAGTTGTGGATGAGTGGAACAAATTACCAACCACCATCATTAACTCGAACTTGCTGGGAAACTTACAATATAGGTTGGACTGATAAATAAATGATGAAGGTTGGCGATAATGTCATTACTGCGCTTCAACAACGAAGGTCTTTAAGCGCGTAGCAAGGTTAGTAATGCATTAGTCCAACAATGATGAAAAATTATGAGATAGAACTCTCTATGTAGGATGTAAATGGGGCTGCCTAGTATGGACCAATAGGATTATAGGCCGACTGTAGTTTCCTCCATTCTGTTGTTCTTATTTAAACTTGTGAGTGAGGGTGTGGCTGTATGTATGTATTTTTCCTGTGTGTGTATCTATTCATTCAAAGTCAGTGTTTCTCTAGTCGTCTCTTGTAGTCCAGGTAAATTATGGAAAAAGAACTAAAAAACTACAAGATATATTAGTGCTCTTGTTTTGACCTCACCCACTTTTACCTATAAATGTCCTTTTTTCAGTAGATATAGTCAATACAAGTTCATAACAATCTCTCTACTCATCCCTCCTCCACCAGTCCCTCAGTACACTGCCTAAATATTGCTTCAGTTCTCAACTATGATCTCTACCATTTCATACTTACATACTACAACTACAACTTCAATTAACATTTGATATTTTTACAACTTCATCATAATGCAGCTCCTCTCAGGGACATTTTCAGCCACTCTTCCTCCTCAACAGTAGTTCAAGTCACATTTTCCTACATCAACATTTGATAAGCAACTCATGCTCCTCTCAGTCTTTCTGCCCTGCCCCTATTCTCCCTAGATTGGGTCTCAACTACTGCCTGTATACTGTACATCATTCATTTACTCATCTTGTATTCCTTACACTTCCAACATTGAAATTCTTTTATTTACATACACTGGTAACTGTCAATTTAAAACATCTATCATCATAATAATAAGAGTTGCTAGGTCAGCTGGGCAGGAATGCATGCAAAGTAAATTGCCAACTGCACCACTGTGTCACTGCTGTACTGTCATGAGCATTCCACTTTGTTAGTGTCTAGGCCGAAGAAGCATCAGTGGTGAAAGATGATTGTTAGCATGCAAGTTCCTGTAACAAGCTGACTTACATTAAACATATATCAAAGGTCACATAACCTTTTAATTTAATGACTAAATCACTATTGACAGCTGACTGAACTTTCTCCAAGAAGATTAACTTTACCTAATTTAGTCTACACTTTCTGTCTTCATTAACTGGTATAGTGTTCAGAGTTGGGTCACTGGGATTCTAATTTTAATTGTACAGGTAGAAGCTGTAGCTTTTCTTCTCAGATTCTATAACCACTGTGGTTTAAATAATTGTCTCTTCTGGTTTATCTGAGTCACCCTCACTCTTTCTGATTTAACCACATGATCAAAGTTACCCTTTGTTGACTCAATAACAGGATGATGGCGATGATGATGGTGGTGGCAATGATTATGATGGTGGTGGTGGTGACAGTGATTATGATGGTGGTGGCAAAAATAGTGGCAGTGGTGATGGTGGTGGTGGGGGTGAAGATGAGTTAGACATACTGAGGCTCTTTCAAACACACACACACACATATCTCTTGATCTACATTTTTATTATTTTTTCAAACATTTAGTCATTTGCATTTCTTTACACTTCCTAATAGATGAGCTGGTCTGTTGGAGGAAGAACCACAATATTTAATTATTGCCTCAACAAACTGAAGGGATGAAACAGCCAACACACATTTATAAAAGTGATATCTGCGGTATGGATTCAAACACTAAAAATATGCTTGTTACAAACTTTTGAAACAGGGGTGTGGGATGATAACAATGAGATCTATGGGTAAAAGGAACATTGTTTATATATCTTAAAAAAAAATTAGTTGGTTTATACGAAAATAATGACATATTCAGAGCTTAGGATTTTCTTCATTGTCTTGTAAACCAACAGTAACTTACATACACTACAGTACTTCACTCATGTATACCTTGCTTGAGTGAAGGTACAGTTACAGAGAAAAGTCCCATCACTTCTCCGTCCCATCTGTGAACCCCGAGTCATGAACCTGTGAATCCAAGACATCACACATTGTTGGGCCCATAGATGAGGCACTATTTGATGTCTCAGATTCACGGGTTTACGAGTCTCGGATTCACAGGTTTACGACTCTCAGGATTCGTGGATGATGGGACGGAAGACTGACTACCGGGTGTACAGTATGGACTTAGGGAAAAATGCAGCTGCTGGTCTCACTGTTAACAAATACATTCCCTTGAACATTTTTAACTTAATCTTTGGTTAACTTGGTGTTGGTCTTGCAGCCAAAATGTCAACATGAATGAGGCAAGAACTAACACAGGTTAGCTGCTCCCTTCACATTAATAAAGGTGTGTGTGTGTGTGCCTATATGTGTATGTGTGTGTGTATATACTATATGTGTGTCTGTGTGTAGTATATACAAACATACACACACCCAACAATGTACATTTCTCAGTTAGTAAACATAAATTATTAAAATCAAGACAGTTCATGCCAGTTGGTTTATGACAATTAAATACTTAATGGATGGATAATGGCAAACAAACATCACTGTCCAGTTACACTACTATATACAGTCATGGGATTCTGGGGACAATATGAGATTTGTTTGCCTCAAAGTCATAAATACATTAAATTTACATTTATAAAAAAATGGTAAACTATGTCTAAAATATCCACAAATAAAAAAAATTACATTGTCTCACAAGCCAATTTAATGTTTATTGTAACATTTTGTACCATAATCAGAGGTTTAAAGCTTCTCACGCACTCCTTGGCATACAACAGTCCTGATATTAAAAAAACAAAACAAGCCTCATATAATTTCCTCTCGAGTCAAAATAAAACTAAATGCACTCAACTGTAAAGCAGAGTTTAGTCACTACCAAGTACTGGTAAGGTATATCATGCAAATTGTGGGAAAACATAATATTTCACCAGTGATTCACCTGAAAGTAAGCTATTTATTCGTGATACTTGTTTCATAATTTAGTACGGTAATTATTTTTTGTTCCATAATAATGATAAACTTTCATTAACAAATATTAATAACTGAAAACAATATACGTACAGTATTCTTGAGTGTCCTTACAGTGAAATAAGTACAGCACAGTGCTTATATAGAAATTTAGAAGTACAATTTGATTTTTGCTCATCATTTGCATGATTACCTGTTTAAAGAGGCTACACTGCAGATAGTCTACACATGCAGCAACCAAAAATACTGTACATGTTACAGCTTTAATGTATCTCTCACACAACTTTTAGCTTCTCACATACATGATCATATCCATTTCCTAAATTGGAAAAAAAAAGCAGCACCAGATATGACCTATGCAAGAGCTTGTTGAAAATCAACATCATTTCTGTTTTAGGTGAGGAGCCAGGCTCAGGTTTAGCATACCTAGATAAGCTAAAAACTTGTAATATTTTGTTGATTTTTTAAGCACTGGCTTTATTTTGAAGCATAATTGTTACCATACTTTCTACAGCTCGCTTAAGCCCAAGAATATTCTCATTTAAAGTGTGTCCCATCGACAAAATGTTTGAGTTCAAAGTTTTAAGATGAACATTCATTTCTCTTTGAACTGACAATATATCATCTGGGTCCTCAGTGTGACACGAGTAAACATCAGATTTATCTTCCTTCCACTTTCTCTTCTTAGCATCATGTAGTGAATTCCTGTTATTTATATCATTCTTTACTATGCCTACACTTAGTGCATCAGGCTGGTGGGATGGATCTATTGGTTTAGAGTATGCAGTATTCTGAATGTGTGATCCATAGCCATTAGACAGAGAGGGGGAAGTCATATTGGGAGGTTGCATGAAGGAGGATGAATGTGTTGTAATGGCTGGCAGGTTTGTGATGTTGGAAGATTGGTTCTGAGGGGAATGTAAAGGCCAGGATGCTGTAGATACAATTTGGTTCTTAATGGCAAACGAGGGGTGAGTCTGGGATGAAGTGTCTGACACAAAGTGAGCAGGGGAGGAATTTTGAGCCTCTGTAGATGATAAGGAGGAAGTGGAATTATTCATCATGTGATTAGATCTTGGTACATTTGAAGATAACAGTGTTGACACATTAAAGGCTGGAGAAGATGTGTTGCCCCCTTCAACTGAGGGCGGTGAGGAGGAGGAGTGAGAGGTTGTGATGATTAACTCTGGGGATGGAGGGCAAGGCAAGAAATCTGGAGACACTGATATGGTCTCTGGTGTAGGTGAGACAATTTGATCAGGGTATGCTCTCCTAGACTTGGCTAGTGCTTGAAGGTTGCCCGGAGCTGGTAGTGCTGGAGTGCTGTTCTTGATTATCTCATCCATGTCCTGTAATTTAAGAAAAGATTACAAAATTGCTTACTGTAATGTTCATGATTTATATTAGAAAATATATAGTATTCTGAAAATATTATTCTAACTTAATATGTTGTATGCTGAGTATAGTGCCTTGAAAGGGGGACAGATCTCTTTACAGTACAGTAAAGAAAAGCTTAACTAAGAAAATTAAAATAAGAAAATATGAAATTGTGGTACAGATGGTTTGTGTACATTTTGTCACCAGCCTGTTCAACACTGTGTTATATTTACTAAATTTAGATAATAATATTTGTATTTTGGAGACAAAGCCAGAGTTAGGTTATATCAGGTTAGGTGTATACTGAACCATTGACAAATCGTCTAGAACTGGTATGGGTATAGGCTTACGGCTAGTGCTTTTATGGAAATGGATACAGTTTGAGTAGTAAATAAATAACTAGATTTAACTGTTTAACACACAAATTATCTGTTATTTAAAAGGAAATGAACAACAATATGCTATGGTTCGACATATATATACAAATTGGTTTAGTATCTTTGTGCCTGCTGTGGATGGGTGATGCTAGGTAGTGAGATGTGACATTGGGGTATTGTTGTGGAAGACGAACAAAACAATAAAACATATAGAATGAATGGTAGAGTATGAAGGAAGAGAAAATATATAACATCACCACCATTTTACAGCCATTTGCCACACTAGATTCCTACCATCATGAACCTTAGTAGGAGGACCTTGTAAGAATGCGAAATTCTTAAAAATCAAACACTGTACCTCGAAGAATTCCCAGCATATCTTTTCCTCTCCCTTGTGGATGGCTCGATCTAAAACATTTTTGTACGTTTTAATTAGGTTATGCCACTTCTTCTCGACAGTGTATGGCGTGACGTCATATCCCTTTTGGTTCATTTTCTCTGAGATGTGTAAGAAAGCCTCTCTCTTCTTGGTCATGACGCTTCTCACACTGCGGTACTCGGTGATGAAGAAACGTGTCATGTCCGCATCCCAAGGAGCTGGAAAAAATGAAGTTAGAACGAATTAACTTATATGGGAGATTATACAAAAGAAATGGCTACAGTAATTACATATACAGTATTCATGGATAACATTGAACCTTCAAAGCTGATTAGTGCTACCTGCTCCATTCCACACCTTGTTCTGCTCAAAATTTACTACACATATTCCTGCAAATTATTTTATATCTGTCTCCATTTCAGCCAAATCCAGTGAAGCAGTGATTTATATAGGGCTAGTATCTCTCAGTAAATAACACTGCTAACACGAACAGATGACAATGCATTCAGCAGCACGACATCTCAAAATATCCCCAAACATTCATTCCATCACATACTGAACTTAATTCTGGATACATTAAGGCATTGGGAAATTTCTGTTGGATACCTGAAGATAATTGAGTAAGCTGAAACTTCAACTCAAATTCTCTCTCACTACTTTATTCCTATCTTTTGATTTGTCCTTCGCTCATGTTTACTTTAGATCCTCCTCTGTACTCTAACATTTATTTTCTGTACAGTACATATGTTTTTCACATAGCTTACAAAACTATCCTTTTAATATTCTACAACCACACCCCAGGTCACAGACTCATAGAAACTTAACATGAATTTCTCCTCATAAAAATGTTGTGGCCTCCTTGGTAAGCTTCCTTTATTCCTGACACTCAGTATTAGTACTTCAAACTGGTTCAGAAACATTATAAATCCTGGTACAGACCAGTATTGCTATTAACACTCTTTTGGTCTTCATCTGCACATACAGTATGGGTGAACTTTATACACATATGTACAATGGAAACCCTAAGAGTGTTCATACAGTACAGTATATTTCTTCACTGGATATTGATATAAAAAAAAATGGTTGACTATTTGACGATATAAAACTGCTCACCTTTAGATGGCTTACGGGGTCGATCAAACGCCCCTTCTGTACACTGTCTGGCATCTTCCCCTGGTGGCTCTGTAAAAGCATTTTTGTTATTTTTAATTACAAATTACATTACTGTATTATAACTAGAGAAAAACTAAAATACAGGGTTCCACATAAATTGCTTTACTGAAAATTAACATTAAGATGAGAATTATTGGTATAACAGCTTATGCACCACCTTGAGTATAAATCTCTTATGCATAAACCAGCAACATATAAGTCACTTGGCTTACAACTGATGAGCTTCACTATACAGTATTGTACCTCAAATTTTATGTTTTCTATACTGTATCAGAAGAATCATCTTGCCCTCCACAATCAAATGGCTATGCTCTTAGTTTTGGCGGGGTCATCAGTCATACTCCGAGTGCCTCATATATAAAGGAAACGTTTTAGGTGAAGTTTATGGTCCTCGTTGTGAGTCCACAAGCTATCTGAATAATAAGCTGTATACTGTACTGTATGCACCAAGAGTAGCAACATTTCTATTTTATTCAGGTCAAATGGTCTCCTTACAAAAAATTAAACACTGAAAACATCACAATGGTCATTTTCTAAGTACAGGAATGGATGTGTGAGAGCTGTAAGTGAATGCTCTGTTACCGGTAAATATACATTAAATATTTTAATGTACTGTACTGTACATAAACATTAATGTGTGAAAAAGTTTAAATATTCAAAACAGTACTGTATTAACTTACGTAAATTATCTTCTTCTGTCGAGCCATCATTATGTGCATGCTTATCAAAAACATGTTGGCAGTATGCTGCATCTGAAAACCATAAAATATCAATAAACATTTAAGAAGACTGTAACTATTACGTGCTACAGAGGGGTGTTAGAAAAAATAACGCGCTTCCATCTGCAACAGTAAGTTCAGTTAAAACTATAAGCCATAAAGAGCTTTAAAACCAGAAGATCTTTATATATATACTATACAGTGTTCCTCTAAACATTGGAGTAAGATTGCCCAGACAGGTACAGGTGAATCTGAATTAATGATAAACTGCTTTCCTGAAAACCTTATCATAAACTTAATACTGTACTGTAATTGTAAATCAAAATATTATTGATCCATCAATTACCATTATAAACTGGGAGATTTCTTCTAAAGAATATTTCTCCTAATCGTAATAAAATGTCACTTTGCAACGAGTTAAATATTTCCAAATATACAGTTTTCTTTAATGCATGTAGTTCCCAGAGTCAAATGAGTGTCCTAAAACTTTGCCAGTGGATGTTATATTTTTATGTCTCAATACACCTATCACCTCCAACTAAACACCTAAAGTGATGGCTCTGTAGGGTCTCTTACCACTTGGGGTTTGCTGCTGCTCAGTTTGCTTGTTAGTGACTTTACTGACATCTGTAAATACAGTAAATAACTTGAAATATACAAGAAATTGCTGGAAGTTCTGTGGAAGCGTGGAGCTGGATTCGAAAGATTCCATTGGCTTGTAAACGATTTTGTTATAAAATGCTGTAGGCTGTCACACTGTTTTCAACATATGTAATGTTCATTTTCTATAGATAAACTATAATGGATAATTATATTAAAGGTGTAAATTATTTACTATTGAAAATTGTCAATTAAGGTGTACAGTATTTGAAGAAGAAGGTTTGATACAAAGCTAACCTTTAAAAGTAGGAGCTACCTGGCTAGTACAGTACCTCATGCTACTGCTATGGGCAACCATATTCAAAATTAAGACCAGTCCAATATTTTGCTTCATTCCCCATCTGACATTCAGAAAATGGTCACAACTGGTTCACTCTCCCTTGCTCTACTTGACTGTGCAGCTGAGTGTCTGCCACATCTTTACATGTCTGGAATAAAGTTATAGTTTTGGGTGAAACAGTAAAATCCAGTTTCTTTCAGTGCAATTCACTTCAAAACAACAAAAGACCACAGTACATTAAACCCTTTCTAACTCATTATCATCAGGACTCGGGGTTGATCTAGCTTGTCTGAAATATAAAATTATTCAAACGTATCAAAATTACCTCGCTAAAAGATTGCCCACCTGAGCATCTAGGAGGCAGCTACCATTAAGAAGTACTATATTTAATTTTTGGTCATTACTGTATATGTGCCTTATAATACAGTTCAGTAAAGTAAATAATGATGTAGTGCTAAACATTTTTGCTCCACTTGTACTGGCTACTTGTCAGAAAAACAGAAGAATGAACTGTTATAAGTAAAGCTTGCTAAATGACTAGGAATGTAGGCAGAAACCATTATAATTGACTGAATTGGATTTTGTTCTTATTCTAAAAATGTAACACTGGAAAATCATGGTAATAAATAAAGTCTGTTGGCAGGGTATCCCAGAGTAACTATGACAGATAATGACCTATACTGAGTGATATTACGGTATTTTGGTTGGAGCAAAAACTAAATCAGGTTGCCAATATCCCAGAGCTAAAGAGGTCTCATCCGCCTCAAAATGTATGAATAAATGTATAAAAATAAAAATCATTATTATTCACTTCAAGATAAACTAGCTTAACTTAGTTTAGGATCTGTGGAACTATTATGTATCACACACTAGTACAATACTTTGTCTGGCTGAACTAACATCATTATAAGTCACAAGGACCACATTGTTGGTACTTTATTACGAATACTTTGTGTTATCTTCTGTAAATGTTTTTATCTGTATGCATAAACTATATGAATCTTTGCTAAATATATTGAAATCAAATGTTTCGTTACAGTATAACATATCAATATGCATGAGGTACTGTACTGTATAATACATGTAGATATTGAGAGCCCATAGAATTGTAGCCTGTCCAGTCAGGGTTTCAGGAAAACACACTGCTTTGGTCACTAGAGCATCAAGAAATATGAAACATGGATACTAAATGACTGTGGAATCGTAATAAGTGATAAAGTTCACCCCAAAATGGTATATTTATCTGGTCTCCGTAATAGAGCTATGGGTGGGATCCGTCTACGTGTATGGGGGCAGTTATGGCCAGCTATAATGGTGCGTCATTATGTGTCTTGGCTTATAAGCATCATGGAGTTTCACTGTTCTTAGTAAGATATACGTTATAAAATGATACTCATTTCATTAAGTCAGTAACTTGGCCATAGATGTCAAAAGGACGGAACCAAAATGCTACGTTTCATTGTGCTAATACTGGCATTTCAAATAAAAATATTTGAATATTTATCACATCTTCGGCTACAACATACCTGTCTGAATCCGTTCAATTTCCTTTTCCGGGAGATCCACTACAACATCAGTTAGTCCATCCGAGAGAACAGTTCGTCGTGTATAGTTCATCTTGGCAGTTTGTTTATCTCCCGCCTCTGGTGTGTTGTGAGGGACGTTCCTCACCCTCTCTCACCAAGCGAGACAACTCCTCAGTGCGCCGTAGCTGCCACCGCTCGCCACCGCACATATCATCACGCAAATACAGTAAAAAAACCATCGCAAATGATATTGGGACTCAAATTAGTAACGAGTTTAGAGGTATATATTCGTTTTGATAAAATTATAAGTTGCTGAAAAATAAATAGTGTCATTTATGATCTTGGTGCTTTTCTCATCTTTCACTCCCCCCTCTGTCTCCCCCCCTCCAACATCCGTTTCTCCCCAATCATTGCAGCTGCTCCATTAATCTGTGCAGTTGCCACTAGACAGGCTATCAGTTATCAGAAAGGAATTTAAAAAATTACATAATGCAGTACATACTAATTTTACATGGATGCGTCTATATATGTATGTAAACTGACGTCAGACCGATGTGGAGAAATAGAATTAAAATAACTGTGTGGGCACTGTGAGGTCTCTCTTCCCCTGCTCCCTCTCCACTCCCCTCTTCATATTCCTCTGCTTTTGGGGACAAAGAGGTACGAGGGGTGTCCCTTCACTCCGAGAAAAAATAAAGAGGGAGAACAGCGAGGGTAAATGTCGCGCCGTTTTAAGGTTTATTGTTTGATTCGTATATATAATAATTCATCTTTCTTATTCTCTCTCTCTCTCCCTCACACACACTCTCTCTCCACTTCCTCCTCCCTCTTCCTGCCCCTCCCTCTTCCTCCTCCCTTTCCTTCCCCCTCCTCATCCCTCATCCCACCCCTCCTCCTTCCTCCTATTACTCTTCCAAGCCCTTTCTTCTCTTCCCTTTCCCTCTCGTTTTCCTTCCCTCTGCCTCTCCTCTCCGTTCCCTTTCCTGCTTCACCCTCAGCTCCTTTCTCCCTCTCCCTCTATTGGTGATTTTTTCTCCCCTAAAGTTGCAATGCGAGATGCAGTGAATATCAATGGTAGGAGGAGTGACGCAATTGACGCTACTCTAAGCTAGAATAGAATTTGCTATGACATTTGTGTGAAAGTGAATATTATATAATTTTAGATGCTAATTAAGTTTCTATGTAAAAAAAAAGGACAGTTTCAAATTAATGAGTGGAAGGAAGAAATAGATCGAGCCTGTATGCACGACCGCCAAGTGTTCTGAAGCGTAGTCGAATCGATGTGGGATGGTGGAATTCATTTTTGGATGCTGTTATTACGTATACTGTATTGAGTGTATGTTTATATTTTGAGGATATATGAACAGATGCAGTTTTATATACATGTGAATACTAATAATATACATTGGTTCATCTTTAGTTCTAATTTCTTGTTCCTGACCATACTAGGCTTGCATCACTTGCTATCATCATCAACCACCTCCTTCCCTATCTTTTGAGGTTCTTGTGCCCCCATGAAGTTGGCCATGGCCCCACCCAACACAAGTGAGGAATACTGATACCAAATAAATGATGAGATTGGAGATGACACGAGTTAGTTGTATTGTGAGGTCAAAAGAATGAAATGTGAGGAGGAAGGAGGAGGATGAGAAAGGGAAGGAGAGAGGAAGAAGGGGGGGAGGGGGAAGGGTAGATATTGTGAGGTCCAAAGAATGAAATGTGTGGAGGAAGGAGGAGAAAGAGATGTGTGAGGAGGAAGGGAGGGGAGTGAGGAGGAAAGGGGAAGAAAGAAGAAAGAGGAGAGAGAAGCTAGGCTATGTCTTTGTTCTGTGTGTCAGGAGGGAGGTATAAGGACGGAAGAGTGGAGAAGCAGTGACCTGTATTCTGAGATTTAATTCACTAAAAACTCACTTGAATTTCATTAGAAGCCTTGATGATATGTTAATGATTTGTCGTCATAGTCTCTTGTCCTCAATGGCTATCCTCACTGATTTTCCTCATTGTCCTCTTTGATTTTCCTCACTGGTTGTCCTCATTTGGGTACCCTTATTCATTGTCATCATTGGGTACTCTTATTCATTGTCCTCACTGATTGACCGCATTGATTTTCCTCATTGTCCTCAGTGATTTGTCAGACTCTTTAAGTAGGAAGGACTGTTTGCCCTAATAGATAGATAGATAGATAGATAGATAGATAGATAGATAGATAGATCTAACGTCCCCTTGCAGTTCAATCAAAACCAACACCAGAAAACAGTTATTACGAAACCTCCATATAATCCGTTAGCTGTTTTTTTTTAAATCGAATAATCCCTCGATATAACGGACTGAAAAAAGAGCATTAGCGATGACGAACACAACACTGGGTTCATGGGATCACCTGAAGAATACATCTGATTCAACACCCTAATGCTACCAGTGGGAAGGGGTAGGTTAGTGTTGTGGTATTGAATCGTCAGTTAAAATAAGCCACCCGGGACCTGGGTGTTAAGTTAAATTAGGTTAATATAGGTTAGGTTAGGTTATTGAATGCTTAATTATCAGGTTATCCCTATATTGGACTTAGCCTACTGTAATATAAGACAGTCACAAAATTGTATGGTAATATTGTCAATAAAAGTGTTAAATTAAACCAACGAGAGGTCTGGTGGCCCTTTAAAGTAGTGGTAGGGTAAGGTATGGGAGGACATTGAGGGCTATAAAAGCTGGATTATTGATATGGTGTGTGTGTGTGCGTGCGTGTGACTGCGTGTGGTGTGTGTGGGTGGGGGAGGTGGTGTTCTGGCTTTACCCAACATTTTGTCCACGAGTGATTAGGATTGGTGTTAAGCGTATTTCATTTTGTAGTAGGTTAATGAAGGATTTCAAGGTTAAGATTAAATTTATGAAGAATAATAAGAAAAAAATAGAGGAAATAAGAAGCCGAAAGTCAATTTTTATTTAGGGTCCTCATTCGTTTTCGTAAGTATCACTAGATAAATATCCCCAGTGATTGTGTGATGCCTCATTGGGACATTAATATGATTCTGGCCAGGATGTCATTACTCTTTGACTGATCCACAGTATACTACCGCCAGAGTGACAGGAGTTGGGCTTTAACTGGAGACATTTCAGAGTGGGTGTCGGGGCTCTTTAATTCTCCCAAAGAAAAAGAGTAAATTTAACGGGACCGGTTGCGAGTAAACAGGTTTGGCCTAATCATCCTATTCCAATGTTACTTCTGAAAATCATGGTTTAACTTTTCATTAAGATGCAGCAGCACGGTACCAAATTGCAGGTGAATCCTTATTTTTAAATGGCTGAAGCAACGAACATAATTATTAAATAATCCATTTTTCTTCGTCAAACGAACAAACTTCTCATATCCTAATCAAAACTAATCTTAAATAATCTTAAATCAGCTTTTAATTATATATTTGGTATTGTTAGTTTGTTATCTACCTCCAAGAAAAAAAATGATTTAGCAGTCCAGTTTGTGGTTTTCCAACATTTTCCATTTCTGCCAGATTTCCGCGAGGTTGAAAAGAAAGAGAAAAAGTTTACTCCATGATTTCCATCGTTTTTCTTTGCTCATTAATATCCGTCTGAGACTTCGTGTAAAAACTCTCTAATAACAGACATTAACAAATGTTTCAAACTTGTTTGTAAAGTTATTGTTTATCTGTGTCAGTACCTTTGTGGTGAATTGTTTTGTGGACGAGGGCTAACACTCAAGACTGAGAAACGATATACTGTACAGTATGTATGTTGCGTTGTCAGTATTAAGAGAAACAATTGAGACCCTGCAATTGTGTATAAATGTGGCAGAAAGTCAGATCAGTAACCTGAGACTTAATTGGTCACAATTTTTGTGATGCCATACGGCAGCAGGGTCTACCATTAGACAATACATTATGCTTCAATATCTTCCCAGGCGGTAGTACCTCCCTGGTGATGAAGCCTAGGTGTTTCCGATGGTTTTTGATGTGTTTTATTCGATTTTTATATTGATTTACGTCGGAAATTACTCATTTTTATATACCCCCAACCAAAACGGGTGATTTCCGACGAAAATCAATATAAAAATCGAATAAAACACAAAAAAACCCACTGGAAACAGCTAGGCTTCATCTCCAGAATGGTTTTGAGACCTAACCTAACCTAACCTACCTTAAGCCGTGACGTCACGGTCGACACGCTAACGTAGACGACAAGGGACCCGCGTACACCGGTAACATGAAAAATAACTTAAATTTTAAAGATAAACACACGCCCTTATTCGGTTATTATTTATTTGCGACGGAATTGCCTTATATGAAATATCGTTTAATTTGACGAATTAGATCTAAAAACACCTCAAAATAATAGTAGCTAATTTTGTTCCGAAACTAAACTAATAATATATAAAAGTAGAGAAACCAAAAGCGGGAAAGAGCGAGGGTTGAGTTGCTTAATTAAGCGGGTATAGAAGGTTGGGTTGGCAAGCCTGTTAGAAGTCAACAGTGAAGGCATCTAGGTCTTGATTCTTCTGAAATACGAAAATAAATTTAACGAAAGCAAACAACAGGAACAGAGCTTCAGTCAACCTCAGTACAGGTATTCATGTTTTGAGGAGACTTTTTTATTTATTAAGTTGGAAGCATTGTATTAAAAATTTATATTTCGATTGTGGATATGTGAAAATTAAAGAATTCACTGCAGTTATGAACCACAACTTTATGTGTTCTTATTTTTAGTTTTAAGACTTTACACTAGAAATATGTAATTTTAATGAGATACTTCAAATAGCGTACAAGAGTGAAATATATATCTTGAAATATGAATGTTGTTAACAATTTAAAACCATACCCTGATACTTTAGTGCTCTTAGTCTGTTTTCGTAGATTAGTTTGATCACTAGATTGAAGAGTTCATGTAGCCGGAGTTAGGTGTCGTCTACTGCCCTCTTATCTCTCAATAAAGGTATGACATCTCCTCAAACAGATTTCAGGAGTAATGTGTAGAACTTATGGACGGTTTAGCTTTAAAATCGATAGTTAAAGGAGAGACTTGTAGCGTGTTAGTTATATTTTCGCTCCAGGACATAACACAGTGCTTGTCTAGGGTATGTTTAGGTCTGGTCTAAAATATCTGCTCTATATATGTTGAAGGAGAGAGTATTCATATACTGGCGTATGTATCCCAGAAAATGTTTAATGTTTATCGTATATGTTCCTTGTGCTACATTATTATTTATCATTAACAAATAGCTAAGACTAAATCCATAGAAAGTATCATCACTTGAGATTGGTTCACGGGATACACCCCATTTCGTCACCAATCCGGTTCGTCACCAAAATCCCATTTCGTCACCAATGTCAAACCGTTTCTATCCCAAGCAGCAGTTATTTTCCTGTATATATTGATGGGAATGAACTCGGTGACAAAATGGGTACCGGGTAAAGCAGTGGTGACGAAATGGGCATACCCCGGTTCACGCAGTTTTCTAAGATAATTGTTACATTTATACTTTCATTGGCCCATTTTATCTCTCAGAATTTCACAATATCTTGGGTAATTTATGAGGACACTGCTACCACCAGAAAACGTTTATGGATTTCCTTTGTTTTTTACTTTTTGTTTTCGCCTTTATTTTTTTTTTCGTTTTCCTATATATCACTTGTGATTGGATAGGTCTTGAAAGAAGAGGAAAATTACAGTACTTGGTAAAAACACATAAAAAAACTGATAAATTTTCATTATTTTCAAGCCTTTACTACTTATATACACAAAGAAAAATTTGTGGTATTTTTCTATAGTTTACTCCCCACAGTAGTTATAAATTTATTTTATATGTAATCGACAGCTTAGATAATTCCAAGAAACTTTTCTTGTATATCTTTTTCCTTGCAAACTAAATATCACAAAGTTATTTAAGTTCTACGAAAATAAACAAATATTTGTATCTACAAGCACCTGTCTCCTCAACGATTACCTGGTACTTAAATTGTGTGTTTTCGTTTGTTTGCGGTTGTCAGGCTCTGGGGTATGAGGGTGCAGCCCCCATCTGGGCACCACGAGGGGGTCCGGAGGTGGAGTCCCCAGCTGTGGGTTAGGTAATGTTTGATAGGTTAGGATGTAGACCTTAAAATTTCGTTTTTCCGATTTTTTCTTCAAAAAGTAGGTAAAGATTTGTTGTAGGTCAAGCATGGAATTTCAAATTTCTATTTATATAGGTAGAAAGAGCAAAAAAAAAAAAGAAAGAAAAACTACTTTATTATTTTCCCCAATTACCAGCAATATTTGTTCCTCAAAGTGGCCAGGGTTTTAAAGTAAAGGGAAAATGGGGGTAAAATACTTAATCAACCTTATCTAACCTTTCCTACCCTTTAAAAAGGTTAAAAATCACTTTCGAGTTCAGGATCTCTTCCTCATTTGAACACCGAAAACTACACCAACACATAAACATAAATAAGGTAAGCGTTTTATAGTTTTAGGATTTTTATAGGTTAGGTCAGGTTTTCAAAGGTTTGGTTGACGTTCTTTTTAGTATTTTACCCAACATTTTCTCTCTACGTACTTGAAAGCTCTGTCTACTTCGAACAATTAAAATGGCATGCAATACTGTCCAAACCAACTAAACAAACAATTTATATCCTAAGATATAATGCGAAGTGAATAAGTTGCTTGAAAGAGTTTTTACTTGATTGCAGTCCTACTTTATGTAAAGGAAATATTTAATAACTTAAGATAAATTTATATTGAAGTGATTTCTATTTTCAGGTGTTGGAAGGATGTCTGAGGAAGATAACTCGGAGGTGTCCCGGTACAAAGAAGATGAGGAAGAGGAGGAGGAGGAAGTGATTACTCCCAAAAGAAGAAGAGGACGACCCAGGAAGCGCTCGGCCAATACTGAAGAGACGGGTTCTGAAGCACCAGACACTGATTCAACACCGCTTAGAAGTAAGAGGGAACGAAAGAAAAAAACAATTTCCTTTGGCAATGATTCTGGTAGTGATGATGAAGTAATTTATCACCTTCCAGAAAAAAGACGGAAGAAACCTGGTCGACAGAAGGGACACACGCTAACTAGTGGTAGGTTTTAATAAGAGGAATACGAGATGTGAGGTATAATAGTAAGTGATGATAGTTTGTTATTTTCCATGGTAATGAAAATTGGTAAAGAGGATACCCAAAATTATTTTGTAATTTTCTAACACTCTCAGTATAAATTTCTGGAAAAGAGTGGCTAGTATACTGTCTTAAAAATGTCAGTACTGTACTATATTTGTAAGTTCTACTCAGTAATGTGAAACTCTTCAGCCTCTCGGTATATAGTACAGCAGTACCTTCTCCAGCATGATTTGGGAAAAAAATGCTGTACCCTGTACAGGTATTTCTAATACTGTACATTAAAGGTACACTCGCTACAAAAAGCATCTGGAAGGTGGGGTCCAATGGATGTCAAAATTAAAACACTGTGACTCCTGTTGTCTCTTTATTGTTGTCAAAATCCTTCATCCATTGTGTCATATTGTCTAGCTAAAAATTTTGCAGATACTTTTTGTAGCGAATGTAGACCACATAAAACACTTGAAAATATGGAAGTTTAAGTCAGTCGCTGAAAATGGTGCACATAATGAAGTAACTCTGAGATTGATGAAAACAAAATATACTGCTGATGGATCACTAGGTAACTCAAGATCCCAGCCCATAAGACAGGTTCATCCCTGTGGTCAGGTTGGGTTGATGGGAATTCATTCTGCTGTAGTGTGCTGCCCATCATTCCCATCACTGCCCTGAGTTAAACTAAGTTTCGTCACCCTATGAAGTAGTGTAAAGGAGGTTAGCTCTGCTATTTTCATTAGAAATTTGCATGCTAGTTTGTCATAGAACTCCACGCTAGTGTGTAAATCATCTATAGTGCAGCAAAGACTTGTATTCAGTTGCCATTTCGTGTTTTTGGAGTGTTTAGTATGGACACCTTAGCACAATGAGTAATGATCAAAACAATAACAGCTGAGAGAGTACGGGTACTAACACATTGAATTTGATTTTACCCTCATTTTAAGAAAACTATGACTAAAGGAAAAAAATACACTCAAAAGTTTTTCCTAAATGTTCCTTTCTGAAATACGAGTCTTATTAGCTTACTAGCCATTCGGGTGGTTGATGTATCCAGTTTTAGTACAGAAGGAAACCGGACGCCAGGAAACCTGTGTCCAGGCTCGAACCCTTGACATATTGGTGAGAATTACATAAGTTACTGCTGTACTATCAATGCTTGTACATCTTTTATACTGTAAAATAGGGTATATTTAATTGCACTTTATGTTTAGTGACACTTATATTTAATATGCACTTAAATCTAACTGATGTCATAAAAAGTACTCCACTTCAACCCTAACCCCTCACAGATAACATTCATGGAGACCTCAGCATCAATTCTGTCTCATATCTTCAGTTTCTCTTCAACTGGTAGAGTTCTGGGCACCATTCCTTTTCTCCCAGTCATCCTCAATGGTGTTGTTTTACTATTTTTACTTGCTTTAAAAGCACTAGATAAGAGAAATGATAGTGTGTGGTGGAGCAATGGTCACCTCAACAGACATGAAGTAACTGACTCCTCTCCTAACTGCTACCCCATGCAACCCCTTAAGCCAAAGCTCTTCCGACTTATAGGGATTTCCGACTTACAGAAGTTCAACTTAGCAGGGTCTTACTACAGTACTGTACGGGGTATATACTCTTTATATCTCATTAGTCCAGTGAGGTATTGTTTGCAAAATGAAGTCTGCGTGCTATGTGGACTAATGAGATATATATGTAGCCTCGTGTTTCCTAGCTGGATTCGGAAAAGTGCTACTCCGATCACATAGTTGACACGGGCAATCCCCAAAGGAGGTTCACGGCACTTAACAAGCACGTTGACCAGGCTTTGTGTGGAATAAAACAATGCCTAGGACTGCTTTTGCTGTCCTTGTGGAGCGGTAGTAGCGATCCCTGTTCACATGCAGAGGTCCAGGGTTCGATTTGCGACTAATGAGGTTTTGTTAGTACAGTATACTCTTTATTCATTGGAGGTAATTTTATCTTCTGGACCAAAATTACATGAGTGCTGTTTGAGCCCATAATACAGTAAATAACTTTGGGGATGTTTGGACGGGTGCTCTGTTTGTGTGTTTAATGTCACAGTTACAGTATAAGATTTTTTGCTCATGTAGTTTTTGACATTCAGTGTAATAGGAATTTCGATTACATGTTTCTTATGTATGGTAGGTGTTTGAAGTGATGTGTATAGACATTATCTGATAAATTGTGGGTTCCATTTTTTAGAGTATACAGAGTGAAATCATTAGTAACTCCTTGAACTGGGGGAATGGTCATACTGCACCAGCATATAATTATTATTGGAGACACATTTTTACACCAACTTCCTGGAGTAGTTCTATATTATAAACCCTATCCCTCACATTGATTACATTTTCAAACTTTGTGCTATAGCCAATAGGTTGCAAGGTGGGTGGAATTAAAAGCAAATGCAAACACAGTTCATTTGTTGTCATTTGCTTTATCTAACGGCTCTAAGAGATGTGATCTGCTATGATTTTTCCTTGCCAGAACGACGACCAAGGCATCCAACAAGTTTATCCCTGTTGACTTACACAGCTTATCATCAATATCATGTTTGTCTTCAGAACCACTTACCACCATGATTTCCAGTTCACCCACACACAAATGCTCTAACTTCTTGCATCCTTGTCCTCCTTCCCTCCACCCATATATTGCCTCCCTTTATTCATCCTTTCATATTCTTCTTGGTCTTTCTCTCTCACCTAATTAAATATTTATGTTTTCTGATATTTAAGCATTTTAGAAGCAGCAGTTGAATATGTCTATACTGTACTTTCTGATTTATGTTCATCAAACTTTCCTAGTATTAATGCCATTTTATATCATGTATAGTGTATCGTAATATTAAATTAATTGTGTATGGCTGGATATAGCCAGACAGGTCTTTGTACTGAGCAGCAAGATGTAGGTGAGCATAATCTTTACGTGCTATAAATACAGGTCGAGGGTCCTTTATCCATAATTCAGAAAACCGAAAAGATCTAAAAACCAAAAGTTTTATGGAATAAAACCAACTGTACAGTATATGAGTATGAAGGCATATAGTTCTAGGTATTGTGGATGGAAGGATGAAGATGCTCAAGTAAACTTTACATCAATATAATTTAGGATTATGAAAAGTTGTATGTGTAAGTACAGGTTCAACATGCAAAATATACGTTTTCACTGCGTTTCTATGTTGTGTGATCACGCAATGGGCCTGAGCTAGATCCCCAGTAAATTAAATCCACAACTATAACAAAGGCAGCAATTAAACACACAACAGATGAAATAAGCTCCATTAGCACAGGTAAATACAGGTCAGGTTTGCACAGCAGCTGTTTGGGCCAGTCAACTGAGTTTTTTGTGACAATATTAAAAAATACCAAAGGAAAATTATTTTTACTGTAGAAATGTTCATAAGTATATAAACACAACTTAACAAACATTAACTGCATGTGGGGAAAAGTTGCAGTGTTAGTGAGGGTGAGAATGTAATTGTTGAAATTTACTCTTATGCTTTATGCTATGATGGTGGATCGCACTAAACATCACCATAGTCTAAGTACTGTATTGAGGAATATGTAACCAATATAATACATACCCGGTACAGGTACTTTAAAATTATCTTATATGCAAGAGGTAGTGTAAGTATAGTACTGTACTGTATAATAATTGAATTTGTCAAAATTGAGGTCTGGATTCTGGCCTGTATAGGGTAGCCAAGGCTATTGTATTACCTGTATAGGTACTGGTAGGCATAGGCCTCCAAAATCCAAAAATACTGTATCTGAAAACAAATGCAATTGGCCTCGAGGTTTTCAGATAAAGACTCCTCAACCTGTATTTCATAGTTGAATAATCAGTCAAAATTAGTTTGACTCATTTAAAGCATTAACAAATAGAACATAGTGTATTTGTATTCTTCAACTAAGAGTTAAGGGAGTATAGCAGTGATGCACATCCGATTGTGGCAAAATTGGATCTTGGTCTTTAGTTTTCCTAAGCCTCCCTATATTTATTTCAGTTATTGTATAATGTTAAAATGTGTCATGCCATTGAATTGTGCAGAAATAATTAAGCAGTTTGTTATTAATTGATTTCAATTTAGTCACTTTCATATTTTTGTGTGGGGGCATGAAGCCATGTAAAGGACTACTGTACCATGAACTGGGCCCACTCTTAACCAGAAATAATTATAGAGGTTTATGTTTTATTCAGATGACCAGCATGGAGAAAATCGGACGAACTGGTGCAGTCATGGACTGTAAAAGTTAAATACAGCTAACTCAATAATCATTGTGCTAATCATGTGCAGGTACTGTACTGTACTGTACTGTACTGTACTGTACTGTACTGTACACTCTTTTCTCCTTAATTTAAACATCACTCTTGTGGGATATAACAATGAATTGAAAATACTGAAGCTCAATACATTATTAGTTCTGGGCAGTTCTTTGGCACATGTGTGTACAACTGTAGATCTGGCCCAGGTAAACAAATGTACATCAAAGTTTTCAAAGTTAAACAATGACACGAGATACTGCATGACAATGTAAATTATATACGCTGTACTTGCACACATAATATTTAAATCAATAAAATATGTCCATGTTACATTGTGGGTAATAAGTATTGTGCACAACATGGACATTCATGCATTTATCCTAATATGTAGGTGTTACTGTATGTAACAAAATATACACTTGTCTCCAGTTGTGAGAGGAATGTCAGAAGGGGGTGTCGGGTTTTGTTTATTTATTAATTATTTTATTTTTATGTTTTTCATTTTGATAAGTAACTATTTGTATCATAGGGACCTGGGTTGCCAAAAAACCTCTGGGCCGCCCTAAGTTATCTTATTATGAGAGCAGTCGAAGAAGTAAGAAGAGCCCAAGTGAGTTAATCTGTGAGCTGGGACAGGTGTTCTACAACTTGGGCTGGGTTTCTGGCACTGGTGGAGGAATCAGCATCAAAGACGGGTTAGTCATGAAGTGATGACTATATTCAGTTACTTTTTTATTACTGTATAATGTATAATTTTTTTTCCAAAAAATTTCAGTGCTTTAAATCTAATTAGCATTCACCATTAGTATCTATCTTTGCTGGATGATGGTTCTCACTGTATATTCTCAAAATCCTCTATCATAAGCTTTTCCTTCAGACTTCCAAACTTCATCGGTAAATCTAGTAGTCCTTGTTTTCCCGGGTCTTTTCTTTTTTCATTTAATCTGATTGAGGATTTCCTTGGCTTACTGTTGGTCTAACAATATTGAACTCTTAAAATTATGATGAAAATGTATAACTGTTAGTCACTGCTGTTGGCCATTTATAAAACAGTCACAACAACAGTGCCAGACAGTACTTTGTTAAAACAGGAACAAAGACTTACACTTTGATCAATTAGGATCATGTGTGTACAGCTAATTTTAATTTTTTTTATAAATTCTGTTTGCAGAGATCATATATATGTTGCTCCATCTGGTGTCCAAAAGGAACGTTTGAAGCCAGAGGACATGTTTGTCCTTAACATGGATGGGGAAGAACTTGACTCTCCACACCCTGAAAGAAATTTGAAAAAGTCACAGTGCACTCCACTCTTCATGTTAGCCTACAAGAGTAAGTTGCATGACTTTCATCAGAATATTCTATCATGAATACAATGCACAGTAGCAAGCAAAAGTCCTTTCACCTCTTCTGCTGCTCCATGAACTTCTGCTGTTCATGAGTCTGAATCCTGGAGCTCATGGAGGAGAAGAAGAGGTGACAGGATTATTTTTTGCAGCTGTACAGTAACTAAAATGACTGTACAGCTTACAATACTGAAGGTTAGGTTATATCTGCCATTTAAATGATCATATGGCTAACCTACATAAGCATGGAAAATGACCATAAAATGTTAGTGATTATATTGTAGTTACATTACACCATCCATTAAAAGAACCTTATTACAGGTACTATGGTGGACAAAAGTTCCTTCATCCTCCATCCTCCCTCTCTTTCCCCCTCTGTCCCCCAACCCCCATTTGTCCCCATCCCCGCCCCCCTCATACGCACACGCACAGTGCACCATCTGTTGGATGATTACAGCACTTCCCTCAGTTGCTTCGTTATTCAAACCACAGGTGATTCAGTCATATTGTGGCTGGCTGAGGGAAGGGACTTTTGTCCACCACAGTACATGACTCGCTATCACCTCTTTTATCTCCCCTCATATAACTCATATAATTTTACCTATTGATATTTGTCTAAACTATTTTCTGATGAATATTTCTGCACAGAATCCAGGTAAAGAGATTTGTTTATTTATAACTGCTGTTGATGGGTGATGCAAGGTTGTATCGAGAGAAGAGTAATGCTAGGATAAACTAAATAGATATTTGGGGCCTTGTTTTGGAAGTGTAATATTATGTCCAAATACTGGGAGGCAAAATCTACATTGGCTGTCTGGTTCATAGTTGAAAAAGATGTGGAAAGATGGTTAGGCGTGTGGGTCAGATGACAATATATAAAGTGATTCATTAATTTGAAGGAAGATTTTTTGAGGAATATAAAGTTTAACAGATTTTTTGGGTTGGATTATTATACTTAAATGTGTTTTGTTTGAATATCAGACATTAAGGATGCCCTTCTTGTGTGTTTATCCAGATCAACATTACTTGTTCTCTGTTGTCTTTAGTTAAGAGTGAATAATGATTAGTAACCAAAACATTGTTTGCTGTTTTTGACAACGTTTTTATCATGTCAACTCTCTATCCTGAATTTCAGTACGTGGAGCAGGAGCTGTGATTCACAGTCATTCCAAAGCTGCTGTGTTAGCAACTTTGGCATTTCCAGGGTCAGAATTTAAGGTTACCCAATTGGAAATGATCAAGGTGAGATAATTCAGTTTCCATTCTTTGTTTTAGGAAGTGGAAAATAGAATGAAAAGTGGTATCATAAATGGAGATGAATTTATATGCACACCTATACAGTACAGAGTTAGGTTTTCATATTGAGTTAAATCCATTTAATCAGCCATCAAGTTTGATATATCAGGCATTAATTTACTTGTTCATAATATGCAGATATTTGTGAAGAAATTTGTGATCTTGATAACTAGTCTTGACTTTTAGTAACATAAGGTAGATGTTGATAATAAAACAATTTAGGGAATCTTGGTGTTCTAGGGTATCAAAAATGCATCGGAAGACCGCCAGTTACGCTATGATGAAGAGCTGGTTGTACCCATCATTGAGAACACTCCATATGAAGCAGACTTAGCTGACACGATGTCTCAGGTGAGAGCTTTATTTCATTTTCTTTCTCATTATACATTAAGAATGAAAGGAGAGTCTACATGTGCTCTTGATGCTGACCGGTCTATATTATAGTGGGGAAAATATATACGTGTATGTACTACTGTAATAGGTATATTTTCTGGAACATATTTAAAAAAAAGTATACTGTAGTAGGACAAGGTAGTGAATGATTCTGTGGTATTTCAGCTCTCCCTCTCTCTCTCTCTCTTTTTGCTAATACAATTAAATCACCTGCAAAACTCTTTCAGGCTTTAGAACATTACCCTGACACCAATGCAGTTCTAGTGAGAAGACATGGGGTGTATGTTTGGGGCGATACATGGGAAAAAGCCAAGACTATGTAAGTACCAGGGATAAGTATGCATTTGGTATTTCTTCAGTAAAACCACTAGTGTTAACATCAGGTTGATAATATTATATAGCAAATTTTCTAAATGTAGCTTATTTAATTAATGTACTGTATCCTTCTAGTATTTTTACGTGATATAAGTTTAACCTTCATGATCATTGGGTGGAGGTCAATTGGGTCTTAGTCATACTTGTTTGGTCCCCAGCATATCTTAATAATTAGAATTGGAGTTCAGTCCTAATAGGCCAGACCCTAATTGTTAAGTTGGAGCCTGGTAGGACTATGGCTTATTATTCTTTTCACTTCAGAAACAATACTTTTAATACAGTATATTCTTCAGCTCAGAAGAGACCCCAGACACAAGGGGTTAAGGTTGTGGCCCATTTATCCACTCACACCTTTCATAAACATGTGGTTTCTTAGTTCAGCATTTCCAGTCACATATACTTGGTTGCTATTCCTTGGGTCATTTTTTGCCTTCTTTTCCCCCCTCATCATTCATCCCAAACATAAGTAACACTGCCTCATTCATTTTAAATTCTCCTCAATGTATATATACTGTATCATGAACCTTTAATCTTCTTTTGACCAGGGCCGAGTCCTATGACTATTTGTTTGACGTAGCGGTACAGATGACAAAGTTCGGGTTAGATCCTTCCAAACCTGCAGAGGAAGTGAAGATGGCGCAGGTTAATGGCAAATGAGTGGTATAAGACAAAGGTAATTTCAAGAAACTTTTATTAACAGGAGTACAATATGGGAAAATAATTACGTCTAATATTAAGAGCTTTGTATTATTATTATTATTATTATTATTATTATTATTATTATTATTATTACAATAGTAGAATTCCAGTTATCCGGCCAGTTGGAAGAGTCAATTAATCGTCACCAACATTAAATAATAATGTATTTTCGAAAAATTTTATGGTTTCATTACATGTAACAATTAACGTGGCACCCTGGCTGGTGCGTCAACAATGTAGTTATAGCTCACCACACACACGCTCACTCACCACACATACATACACATGCTCTTAATTTTTCTTATTTTATAATTTATATTATATTTTCTTTATTTCTAAGCCACATTGTTTATATAAAATGGCATAAGTGTTAAAGAAGTCCGTTTTTCTGAGACACAAATTTACAAGGTCAACCTGGAGCACTGTGCATTATAGGATTTATTGGGGGAGCCTAAGAGTTAGTTTCAACTAAGCGGAAAAGCTCTTTATCTGGCACCTCTCAATCCTGTAAGTGCTGGATAACTGGGATTCTACTGTATAATTATTATTATTATTATTATTATTATTATTATTATTATTATTATTATTATTATTATTATTATTATTATTATTATTATTATTTAGACAAGATTTCCAATGTCTTCATTAGACAGCAAGTCAGGGAATTATTATTGTGTGTGAAATAGTTTTATCACATTTCATTTACTCCAATTGAAATGTCTTTCTCTTTAATGTACTTCTGTTTTCCATACATATGTTGAATTTAAATTTTACATTGTGTCATAATAGTTTTTGTGCAGTTACTATATAGATTCTGTGGGTCTGTCTGAAACAATACCATATCAATAACTTAGTGTTCATTTCCTTGACTGTTTTGTTAAACTAAACCATAACTTAGTAACTTCCCTGATGATCATTCTATATAAACATGTTAAGTTATGGAAGGATGTACAGTATGCTAAATTAGATACAGTGTTGTTCCAAATAACAAAACTCTTTGCTTTATAGATTGTTTGTAGTTTATTTTTGGTGACAAGATTGTACAGTGTATTAATTTTCCAAGTAACGTGACTGATCCGGGTAACTCGTCATGAGAAGTTTAGTTATAGTTTATATCTTTGAAAGGTATGTTAATGAAATAAGTTTCTTCTGGTATTTATTTCAGTGTGATATGTTTTAAGGTTCCCCTGTTAGACATGGTCAAAAAGATAAGGTTGGTTTTTAAAGTGGTAGTAGGAGTAAAAGATAACACTTGCTTGTGAGTAGTACCCTGGTGACCTGAAGTTTGGAAAGGTTTAATATTAGGGACAGAGGATTTAAGGTAAAGCATTAAAGGTCTATCAAAGAAATGGTGATATGCAAGATGGTATTCATTTTTTCTTCTTAAATTGGGTCTATTAATAATATAGCTATTGAAATGCCAGTAAAACACGCACAGGGTAAAAGAGTCGAGTGAGTCAGATGAGATATGAGGAAGATGGATAGAAGTTCTAAACCAATTGGGCTGCAATATAACCTAACCCAACCAAACCACAAGGAGAAGGGTTTCTTGGGATTGGGGCCCTCTCAGGACTAGGGACCATTTGGTCTGTGGCCCAGAATGCTTGGGCTCCAATTCTATTGGTCAGGTTGAGGTTTATTTGACATTTTGCTAAAATGAAGCTTAATGTTTGAACAATGGACCAGCACAGAGGAACACATCGACTTCATTTGTTCTTTGGAGGCATATGTGATAAACTGCCTTAATATGAATACAAGGAACAAGATACACATGTCAAGATTATACTCTTGACCAATTAATGTGGATTGGTCATCAACTTGGCTCCATCTCCTATTGGGCCCCAGCCTGACCTAACATAATCAGTAGGTTGAGGGACCGTTTGTAGTGGTTTGATCAAGTTACGGTTAGTAGGGACTAGGAGCCATTACCCCAGTCACCTTAATTTATTATTTACATTAAAAGGATGAAAGTAATGAAATGCAGGATATTTTATATGGTATTATTTTATAAAAAAATTGGTTTTAGCTTAAATATAAATTATGGGAATGAATGGTTATATGAATATGCAGCTTTTACATTTAGGAGAGTTAAATATATGTTGGGAAAGAAATACATGCAAGATTAAGCTGCTGTAATGGTAGTACAGCATACAAAACTTTATAAATAAATTATTCCGAGAAGATAGATGCTTCAAGGAGAATCGTTTAAAGGTTCTTGCTTGTCTGTTTTTTTGTTTGTTTTGTTTTGTGTGTAATGGAAATATTATTATACTGCAGGAAATATAATATAATAATAGTTATGTTTTTGGGTTAGTAATTGATGTACAGGTATATGAGAAATAATAATGTTTGGCACTCAACATTTAACAGGGAATGTCTTTCTTTGAATATTTCCTCGCTTGCTTTAGTGCCATTTTAACCAAACTAGTATTGATGTTTTGGAAATAAACTGGATTAATCACAAAGTACAAACTTTAATAAAAAATGGTACATTGCATAGGAAGAGCTTAGTTTACCTGTACTGTACTGTATTGTCTTTCTAGCTTTGGGTAAAATTAAGTATTGCTCTAAGTATGTTTTATAGTTTGCTTATTGCAATATTTTTTTTTTTTCATTTTAACTTAATGTGGTTGACTAATGTAAAGAAAGTCAAAAACATTATTTAAGTGATTACCATACTATCTAATTGGTTGTCACACTTATCTTATTGGCTGTCAGACTAGTTTAATTGGTTACTGTTACACTGCCAATTAGGGTTCTGGTACAGTACTGTAGTTGAAGCATTGGATTACTCGTAGGTTATTGATTATCTTAAAATAGGTGAAGCATCAATTTGGGCAGTTAATTACGCAACAGACAGGCAGCTCAAGCTAAAATGTGTTGCATGCACCTAGTTTATTAAGGTTTAAGTAGTACAGGTACATTGTTATATTTTTATATTGTACCCATGATCGTTTGGGTGTTAAGTAAATTCTTTTACATTTGTCCAGGTTTTAAAAATGTGACTATACTGTACTTTTAGTTAGTAGAATTAACTTAAAAATTTGTCACAGTTGAAGTACAATAGACTCCCAATATGCTCCCAGGCAAGCCGTGAATGAGTGAATCTGCAAGTACTCTATTGATGTTTAGTAATTTGCAGAAAATAAGTTGCATTCATATCTAGCCAATTAGAAGAAAGTATTCACTAACCATTTGTGTACAGTATAGGGATCTCCCTGTGCTGAATAAAATCATCTTGCATTGGTCATATTAAAAGTGGTGTCCCCATAGTGAATGGGTTAATAACATAACTTGCTAGGGTGGAGGAGGAGGAAAAAGCATTGCTAGGTGATTCCCTTATGGCTTTTTTGAAAATGGTGAAATATGAGAGGTTGATAATGAGGGTGTAGATTTGGCAGACATCCTGAAAAAGGTGATACATAACTGCTGTTTTAGTAGTCTTATTCCTCTCTTCATGGAGGTTGGTGTAGATCCTGAAGCCTCATGTTCCAAATATGAAAGTTCATCTTAAATCATCATCAATGTTTCATGGTCATTTTTCACACTGGCATGGAATTACCTGATAGTAGCTCTCCATATTGTGTGGTCTCTTGCAGCTTCTCTTGTTAGTTTTGTAACATTTCGTGAATGATGTAGGTGACATCATTCTAGGCCTACCCCTAGCTCTCCTCCATTCACATTTAGACTCGTGCTTCTCATGACCAGCTTGATATTCTTCATTCTCTTTCTACATGTACAAGCCATCTCAGCCTACCTCTACGCAAAATTTCACCATTAATCTTATTACCCAGCTGCCATCAGCTCACTCAGGCTTGCATATGTCACCCTCTTTAACACCCTATGTTTCACTGCCATACATCGCAATTCTCATACCAATTGCATGCATCTTTCCATTCTTGCTTAAGAGAAACATTTCTTAACTCTTCCTCTGTCAGGTTTAAGTTTTTGTAAGGAATCAGCTCCTTAAGATGGGATTCAAGGAAGTTGTTGAGATTTTCCTCAGTCATGGCCTTGCCCATGCTCTGCACCAACTTAAGAATGTCCCTCAATTCTGTGCCTTCATCAGAAAAACCTGTGAAGGGTAAGGCAGGGGGATGGTGATGGTGTCATATCCAAAAATACTGTAGTGAATTGTTGGTCCTCACTTTTTTTTTACCACAAGCAATTGATCCTCACAAATATTGGGAGTCTACTGTGTAATGTCTCTTCAGTACAGTACTATTATAGTGATTTCTCTCATGTGTAGTCTTACATTTTGCTCACATAATTCATTGTTGTCACAGGATTTTATGGCTAACATGATGTGCTTCTATCAGAATATAACCCATGGCTGATTAAAGATTAGCTGTAATAAAATGAAGAACACTGCTTTACAGATTTCAGAAAGAAACTTGCCAATAGATTATTGCACAATAGTTGCACATTTGAAATCGTCCACTGAAGCTAGTGTGTCTTTTGTGATTAATAAAGACTTAAGACCAAAAATGTTCTTGTTTATTCAGCCCTGACCTTAAAATTCTTACTGGATTATTTCATATTTTATGTATTAAAACTACAGGTACATTGAAAGAAAGATTTTACAATATCACGACAATTTTACAGACATTCTCTAAGTTGTACATAATAATGGTTGCCCCTTATGTAATGAGGTTGGCCGCCCCAAGGGCCACCTGGGCGTGAATTTGTTTTAGGTGTAGAAGCTGTCGCCAACACAACCACACCTTGAGTTAACGAGCTACATGACCCATTGTTCAGAAATAGTCCAAGAAGACCGAACAAGTCGCCAACTGCACTGGCTAACCATTACCCCGGAATACAATCCGCAAATCAATTGACATCCAGGTTCCACTGCTGGGAAGACAGAGGTCAATGGCGTAAAGAAACTTGCCCATAGTTTCACCCTACCCTGGTCCGCTCGCTTGTGAGGCAAGCATGCTGACTATTACACCACAGGTACACCAAAGTTGTATATAAAGTACAGCTGAAGGGAATACCAGTGGAAATTTAAATATTGTTATTTCTCTTTTCTTTATAAGTTTGAATTCTAAAATTGACACTGTTATAGCAACCCCTTCCAAGTTTTCTACATACACGACATTTATCTCATTCAGATTTCAAATGGATGAGATACATGAATGCTTGTACACAGTTTTTGGGAGCAAACACCATTAGAATAATAGTTGCACGATAACTATATAGTGTACTGTACAGTAATTAGATTTCATAGCTACTTTATACTGAAATTTACAACATCAGCACTGAAGAAACTTAGTTGCAGTTATATAGCTAATAATTTTCACACGTTCTTGTTATTAAACTTTAGCACTTCGGAATTTCACATTATTAACAATTAACTATGAATATACATTACTGTATATGACCCTCCAATGCTTTCCACTTCATAGTACAGTAGATGAACTTCCTGTAAATTTGTTTAGTGGTGTTTCATTACAACTAATATACACAGCAGTAAATTGACTTGAAGCTTATTGTATTTAGCTTTTAATTTTCTTCATCATTTTCTATTTGAGTTTACAGTTTAGAAAATACTACATAATTTCATAGCATGGTATAACTTCCTGTACAGAATGCCTGGTAAACCTAGACAAATACTTGTATATGAACCTGACCAAGTTGTTCATTCTATGTTTGTTGAACATTGTTATTTTTGTCTTGTGTTAATTGGGAAGTGAGAACATTCATATACTGTCTATTTGTACACCTGGATAAAAGCTTCCAACTACAATATTTTCATCATATTGAGTTCAAATTTGATGTGGAAAGTCATCCCATAATTCCTCAAAACTGATTGGCATATGGACAGGGTGTGATGATTTTCTCTTTCCCATACTCCTGATTATGAAAAATGAGTTTAACCATTAATTTATGAACCACTTCCATTTTGTCTTCAAATTTGATATGGATACTTTTTAAGTGGTTTCTCATTATTGATCAACATGTGGAGGCTGTCTGAAGATGTTCCACCTCTTTCTTGTCATTGAAAGGTTGCAGTGGGGGACAAAGGGAAGGCTCTGACTGCATGCCTTCAAAAATGTGGACAGTTATTAAGAAATTTAGATGTTTATGAAGTTAAAAACCATTAGTGTTATGTACTTTGGAGATTATTTTTTCAAAGTACAGTACTGTACTGTAATTTTACAAATTTAAGTAAACTGTGTTAGAGTGAGTTCATTATTTGTTTGTTTTGATTTATGACTCACTTGTAAATACTGTACAGCACATGTACAGTATTTGTTAAGTGTCTTAAAGCAGTCGTGAATTATATACGTATAGTGTATACTTGTACACAGTAGCTTACTTCAGTTGCATACAACATTAAGTTTTATTACAACCCATTTATTCACTGTAGTTTCCTCCAGATGACTCAATTCTGTGTTGATAAGAAGCAGTGCAGAGGCTGAGGACTCACAACAGTGATGTTGAGAATATGAGGAAGTAAGTCTGGATATTTTCTTGTTATTCAGTCCTTTTTTTTATATTGTAAACTTGTGGTTCACCACTTTTCCTTATTTTTTTCTGCTTTTATGAAGTATCTTTACATTACACATTTGATCCATGTCACACAGAAGCAGAAAAGTGGTACAGTAAACTCAAAAATGTTTCATTCTAGTGTGTACTGTAGGTGTCTTGCTCATACCTGATTGGAATGGAGAAAATCCCTCCCCAAAACTCCAAATGATCAACTCAGTGTTATCAGATCACAGAAAAAGTAAGATTACAGAGGGAATTAAGTATATGAATGGTCCATAAAGTTATAAACAGCACCAGATATGTATTTTCAAATAATTTACAAAATGAGGTCACAATATGCAAGTCTGAAATTGACTACCAAATCCTGAACTTGTTGTAGAGATAAAGGAGCCATACACATTTCTAAATGAGGAAACCTGATTTTTCTCATACTTTTTGATACTGTGCTATGTTAATGTTAGTCATGCTGATTGTTGTCTTTGAAAAATGTGCTTCGTTTTTATTTTATTTTTAATTTTAACAGAAAACTGTCTTTTAATATCTGCAATGAGAGGAGAGGATTCCATTTCTGTTTACAGTATTATGATTTTAATGGGGAGGGGGGGGGAGGGGCGGGGCAGTTAAGAGTTTGTCCTTAACCCTTAAACTGTGGCCAGCCTCCATTGACATTGATGTAGGTGACTGGCCAACATTAATAGGCACACATTTCCTGTGAAGACATTTAAATATGTAGGGTGTTCCCATGTTTTGTTTTAGGTCTAAGTGAGTGGACATGTGAGCAGCATCCTCAGTAGATCTTTATCAGGCATGGAGAGTGGATGGAACCTCTATTTCTTACAGTTCAGGGGATGATAAGAGGGAGAGAAGTGGTTCCTTGACCATTATTGTATGTTATTAGAATGGAATTGGACGCCGAGAAAAACATCCACAAGACAATTATTATGGTAAGTACTGTAAAGATTATTCCATTATTCTGTTATTGTTCATGCTTGTTTGTGATTTCATGAGAAAATTTACCTATTATTTGTGCATACACAGATCACCCAAATTTTCCATGGTTACAGTTTATGAATTAATTCCTTAGAATCTGTTAGTCATTAGTTAGTTGCTTGGTTAAAATATACTGATAAGGATAAGGACTTTATAGCATGATGCATAATAGGTTAATGAAGACTTGTGCAATTGATGGTGCAGAAACAGACATGTGGTGATTCAAACACTTAAGAAAACCCCCTTCAATGTTAAGTAATAATTAGAGATTAAGCTCTAAACTTGGGGCTATTATCAGTTTACCAGTAGAGTGACTATACAGATTTACACAGTGGAGGCAGATTAAGTGATTGTTCCAACACATAACTAATTTTATAAAAGATTAGATAATTCAAGGCTTAACACTCCTGACCAGATCTATTTAGAGCTCAGCTGACTTCTAAGCACTGGATCAGGTAATTCTCTCATGCTTATAAAGTCCCTTTTTAACTTAACTAATAACTCTATAGCCAACTCTTCCCCTGATAAAGCCAATCTCTTTGGCACCTTATTCTCCTCTAACTCTACCTTAGACGATTTCAACTTTATCCAAACTACTACCGGTACTCCTACTGTACTTGTGCTATTCCCTGTCACAAAAAAGGCTCAGAGATTTAGCAACCAATCAGGTATTCTTAGTTGTCATGGTTGGTATGAATGTCAAAATGGATTGTTTTAAGCCAAGTAATTTATATCCAACAAGAGGGATTGGGTCTACAGCCATTACAGTATAGCTTTAAGGATGATGTGAATCATTTTTGGAAGGAATTTCAGAGTTAAGAAGGACAAATATGGAAATTTAAGTATTGTATATTAACAATGTCTGGCCTTACCACTACTGTCAGGATAAATTAAACCAATAATGAAAATTCAAAATGTGTTTTATAGGTTTATAAGCTGCCATTTATTGGATAGTATGGCTTAATACTGCAATTTATGCTTCTTAATGTAACAATATTTTATCAAAATTCTTAACCCTTGGCATACGATGACTAACAAGTAGTATTCCCTTCACTATGACGATAATGTACTTGGGGGGGTACATCACTGTATAAAAGGAGTTAATAGTACATTTTTTCTTATCTTTTTCTAACAAAAAAAGTTACTTCTATTAACATGGAATAGCAATTCAGTTTTTATCAAATCTGCAAAATTTAAATCAAATTATTAAATTTATTTCCAAGTCTTTCAAATTTTTATAAAGAGAATTATTTAGTTTCTAATTATACAATTATTTAATTTTCAAGTTACTCAAACCTGAAATGAAAGCAACTTGGGACACTTGATAATTATAATTAATACAACAAAATCATTTTAAAGTGACTCAATAAGTGTTTTGAGTGATGGTGTTCACTGTCCAGGTACAGAGTGAATAATTTGGTTGGAGATCAAATGAACATCAAGCCCTAATAATCCCTAACCTATCTTAACCTAACACCGTACTATATACTGTACTGTAACTATATGAGTATCAGGGCTCAAGAGGGCGAGGTTCCAGTTTTAAATTGTTGGGTGCAGTTACATTGGAACCTATTAGGACAGGCACCTATTTGACAAATCACTGAACATTCTAAGATGAGTCTTTGTAAACCGTTATTTTAGATATGGGTAATTCTTCAGTACAAACAGCAGGAGGGGTGTCACAGTATACCTAAGTATGTTTGAGCTCCGTACATTTGAAATGCCAAATTCATCCTAACAACCATGCAGAGTTGGAGGAGAAATGTCATTTATGCTTTATGCAGAACTGATCACAGTACAGTAATGCCAACAGTCCTTCACATGGTAATACGGTAGTTACATCAAGTCACAGTCACTTAAAAAAATTCCCTATACTAGTTACTCACATCTAGAGTCCTAAGGAAAATTATTCCCTCACCCCCAAAAAAGCTGTATGATGTAACATGATTATAGTTCCTTTATGTGATACAAAAAAGGGAATGTATGCTTTAGAAAATTTGAGTGTAGTGAATCACAGGAAATGACTCGTAAAAAAGGGAATAAACAATGCAAAACATTTACACCATTTCCTTCAGTCCTTTGGATGGCTACTTCATGTGAAAGAAATAGTTTATATATTTAACTCAAGGTATTAATGAGGCCGAGTGGCCTGATCAGCACACACGACACCATTAACCTTGCCTGGCCATGGAGTTAAACCTGTCTCATGGGTTGACAGTCCAAAATGCTACTAACTGAGCTATGGAGTCCTTATATATCAGTATCTATCCTTGAAGAGTAGATTCAATATCTGGGAGAACTAACATGATTAAAAGGAAGGATATTAAATCATTTCACTGGAGTAGAAAAGGCCTCTATGATCCATAAATAAAGAACTCCTTAAAAAGGCACCAAACTACTGCAACGTGTTTACTAAAAAAATATTAGATGTTGATATCAATGAAACATTTAATTTATGATGATGATGTCACTCTCAAATGATACTTCATGATAGAGTTTAACAGTGCTTGCCTCTCTGTTTCCTTGTGTACTAAAGGCTTGGAATTCAATGTGCTATAGTTCCCAGTACAGTATTTGCATTGCCAACAAGCCTATTGGACCCATTTTGTCAATATTATCAGGGCACTTTTCATAATTGGTTGGTGATAAACATAAATACCTGTACTATGATCAACATTACATTATAACAACTAATTAATTCTTAACAAAGATGAAATACTTGAGATCCATAAAAAAATTATGATGTAAATATGATCATTTATATAACCGATGCTGTCCTGTACTATTATTCACTAAACAAGTGTGTTTTTAACACAAAAGATGCAAAAAAATATCAATATTTTAATCAAGATATAGTACCCATGAAGTGATGTTCTTTTATTTTACCTGTAAATTTTTACAAATACTTGGGGTATCTATAATTAACTTCAGGAGCATAGAACTTTAGGGTAGAACAACTCTCGTATGAGTAGAGTTTCACGTTATTCGGTTTTCTAAGTGAGATAAAAAATGGTGAATACTCTCCAATCTGTCCAAGCCAGCTTGCTGGCTATACATGCCATATATACAGTACATTGAAATGAGTAAGATGTTACTGAAATATGAGTGATTAACAAAATGTAGACATAACACTAATGACTTTATGCAAGCAAGCTTAAACTAATACACCACATTGTTTGTGTTCAGAAAAATATTTTAATTCTTTACATAATCAATATTTACAAATTATATTGAACACTTTATGTAGCATTAGTTAATCAATGAGACACTTGAAGGAAACTGATGTGAAGTGAATCAGTTTCCAGTACAGTATATATATATACAGTATATGGGAAGTGAAGATACAGTACTGTACAGTGCAAGCATTCCTTACATGTTCTTATATTTTAAAGTTCAATATTCACTATGATGTAGAGTATGTGTGTATCACCATTAACTTTGTGACATAAAAAAGAGTTCTAGGTTTCATTCACCACTATGACTTCTGACCATTCAGATTCTGGCCACTCGCCATTTTCTCGTACGTTAGCTGGACTAGCCTTCCAGTCCCATTGTTTCACAGGAGTAAACCATGACAATCCATAATTTGCCTTGATATATTCTTCAGTCTGACATGGAATTCGAACTTTAATATCGAGGAAGTCTGTCCAGCACATGGTAAAAGCTGGAAAGACATACCTGGAAAAAATAAAAAATCTCATTAGTTTATAGGTCTGAAATCCTGTCTTAGATTATGGTACTTACCCCAAATTTCAAATCAGACCACTTAGGACTAGAAATGTTAGGTAACTCCAATAAGAAACTCATATTTAATGGTATACTTCACTGAAGACTATTACACTGCCAGTCAGTTTCTATATTCTAAAATACAGGTTCTTCATATGCAGTCCTACAGCAGTAATTCTCTATAATGTACTGTAGTTCTTAGCAAAAATCTTTGAATGCAACTTGAACACTACCTTGGTCTTTACACCCCATCTACAGTACATCCACCAACAAGGAATGGACCTAATGTCCGACATATACAAGTGACTCACTCATTCATTTACTAATTAGGTAGAATTTACTTTTCTTTTGAATACTGTACTCTCTCCCATCATGAAAAGTAAATAACACCTGAAATTCAGTAAAGGAATAAAATATTATTGCAAGGGGCCATAAATATACTGTACTTACTTGAACTTTTTTCCTGTTTTTGCCTGAGTTCCTCCATTCCACATGGTGGCACCTTCAGTGTAGAAGAAAAATATGTCTAATTTTATGTCCTCTTCCTTGAAAGAAAGTTCCAAACTATCATACACTTTTCCAAACTTATGTGTGAGTCTTAATCCTTTTTTTTCAAACTCCTTTATTAGATTTGGTCTGTAGTCTTCAATGGCAATACCAATGTCAACATCCATAGACCAAGGTATGATGTCACATTGACGGTAAAAACCTGAAAAATAAAAATAAATATTGTACTAGAGCACCAAGCAGTACAAAGTTTTTCCGGTTATCGTAATTTCCAGGATATGTTAAGTTTAAATTAAATAGCATACAGTATAGTCGAAATACTGTAGCCATGTTAAAATTGTTGGTCAATGATCATAAGTAATGTAATCGTAAGTCATTGTTACTGTAAGTGCTTCACCAACTGAAACATCATTACAACATAAATCTTCAGTTATACCAATCTTACCTAGAAGTGTTCCACTGCTGAGCCAAAAGGGAATTTTCAGTTTATCCAGAAGGGTTTTAACTTTAGCTAACAACTTCCAAGCCTTGTGCTTAAATCTGGAGGAAAAAAAAGTATATTCAGTGTGATTTTTATATACTGTATATTTTTTTTAAATACCAATTTGGACTAACAACCCTTAATCATCATTTAAAGTGCATGGTTGATAGTGTCCCTATCAATTGAGTACTGTACTGTACTGTATGGAAGAAAATCTTTTCAGAGAAAGGTTGTTCCATGGTCAGTTTCACTTCAATTGTATGTAAAAAAAATAGCCTCACCTTACTTCATTTGGTGTTTCATCCTTTAGATACTTTAGGTTGTAGTATGCTGCTCTGGACTCATTACAAGGAATGAAGTGGGAATTTTTGTGGTCAACAATGAAGATATCAATGTTACTGGGGATGGTCAGCTCCACATCATCTATTCTGGCTTCTACAGTGCTGAAACTGTTTATATTGAAAGAAAAGTATTAGGAACATAATGGTGCTACAGAGGAAATGTGTGTTTATTTTCAGACTAGTACTGTATAGGGAAAACCTATTGATTTGAATTAATTGATTTCTTAACTATACAGAAGTCAGAGTCATTTAGTAGCCATTGTGTTTAAGGTTCTTTTGTAATACCCGGTATGTTAGGTACATGTAGGGTGCACATACCGCTCATAAGCACGATCAAACTTCATCTGGTTCCAAGCATCTTTTGTTATGTACTGTTTAACTTGGGCCACATTATGGGGAGGCCCTTGCAAAGTATACTGTCTTAAGAAACCTGAAAAAAAAAACAATACACGTACATTTGTGTCATTGTAGTACAAATATAAAGGAAAAAATCTTTCTAGACAGTACAGTATATCTATATTCAATTAATGATAATACTGTATAGGGGTGGTCCTATATACTGTAGTTGCATCGAGAACTATATTTATATTGGCTGCCAGTCAAATAAACCCAAATTAAACCTAAATCTAACCTTTAGGACTTTGATCCATTCCTAATGGTAGTTAGGTTTATACCTATTTGGGCTGAGGCTCATTTAACAAGTTGCCTTCTTTTTGCACAAATTCCAGACACATCTGTCATTTACATTAACTAAGTAATGTACCATAAAATAATTAAATGTTTTTTTCAATATTTAAAACATAAGACAAAAAGTCTATGATTAACAATAACTTTGAAGTTAAGATACTCTTTGGCATAGTATACACTACCCTTATGAGGACTGTGATTACAACACTTCCACTAACCAATGAATTTACAGTACTGTACTCCCCAAACACTTGTTCAACAGAGATCATCAATAAGCAACCCTGTTTACTCCTTATCACCAATGACAAGGATTAGGAGCAATGTTGACAAAAATAAAATTTTAAAATACAGGGACAAGAAAATGATAACTCATCTCTACAAATCTCCTGTACATTCCCACTTAGACTATTCTACAGTACAGTACACAAGCATGGAGGCCCTATTTATATAAAGATATAACATCCATGAAAAAGTTCATTGAAGGGTTATTTAAATAATACTACAAATACACATTTCAGAGACATTCAAAATTCTGAACATAAATATGTAAAATGTTATACAAACAAGAAGCCATAGCTCTAAGCTCGCTAAGCAAACATACAGAATGGACATGAAAAAGTTATTTCATACAACTACTACAGGGCATTTTTTCTCAGCTGAGAAAAGATGCCCTGCCCCCTCCCCAAGAGTTACAGCTGATTGGCTGTTGCAAACCTGTCCGATTTTGTCCTGAAGTAATGATGTACACTATTTCTAAATGAGTTTATTCATAATCGTTGGGATGACCGTTTCTGACAAGAAAAATATTTAGAAATACATCATTACTTCAGGACAAAATCGGACAGGTTTGCAACAGCCAATCAGCTGTAAATTTTGAGGAGGGGGCGGGGCATCTTTTCTCAGCTGGGAAAAACGCACTTTAATGAGTGAACTCACCAGAAGAATGTGGATGAAGCACAACCAGATGTAACGGAGACCCCTGTCTCATTAAGAACACGTGTGAACGTAGTCCTTCGGGAGTCTCAAAGAGTGTGATGGTGAAGCCCAGTTGGGCAAGTCGTGAAAGGAATGCTGGCTGAAATGTTAAATGTTTTATTTTTCCATTCTTGAGACTGCATCTAAATGTAATCCATGCAGTAGTTAATCATTCATTCCCAAATTTAATGTAATCTTAAAAGGGCAATTATTCTAATACTGTATTTCTTTTGCTACCATATTTCTTCTGTCTCTCTTTTCTCATTTATCTTCTAAACTAATATTTATTCTCATATCATCCTTTACTGTACAGTACTTGTTTTCATTCACTGCAACTGTTTCATGATGAAATATCTAAACTAACATAAAAACATCCCTAGACAAATATTGTAATAACTGACACCAAAACTTTTATTAAATCGTTTACAGTGAAAACCATAAGGGGAATAGTGACACTTCTTAATTAAAAATATCTGTCAACCCACACTGACCTGGGTCTATGAGATGTACTGTACTCTACCCTGTATGAAAATTTCCCATGTGTTATAGCCAAACAGTTAAAGGTTTCAATTCATTTTGGTGTTTACTGATAAAGTATTCTATAATTTTCGCATAACATCCCATCTACAGTACATATTATAATAAGCTCAAGACAAATTTGCGCCAATTGAGAATTTTTTTTTACTCAAACTTCATTAACAGTGTGCAATAAATGATGCTTAGTATTCAAATGAGTGATGATTGATAGTTCACCTCTCATCTTACTTCAAATCAAAGAAACAGCTTATCATTTATAGAGTACAGTATAGTCTGCATTTACGCGGTTTTTGTTTACGCGTTTGGTCATTTATGCAGTGCCTTGCCAGAAAGAAAATGCTTTAATTACGCGGTAAATTTGGTCATTTATGCGGCGAGCGGCTGGAGAGGTCCAGACCGCCGCGCCATTTTTTACCCACGCGGTCCATTCTTGACCATACGCGGGAAGCGGCGCGGTGAGTGGTGCTCATTAGGCCGCTCTTACATTATCGCTGACGTCATATGACGTTTCGGACTGTGATTGGGCCACGCATCCTTACCACCCACGCATTCCCTCCGCCGCTAGCTGTGATTGGTCTAATGTAACATGACGTGCCCTGCCACCAGAGGGTAGAAATCGCTGTAGCAGGGCCTGTCTCATTGTTCTCAGTCCGCGTATACAGTTCTCTCTTGTGCCCGCTATTCCCCTCACAACTCACAATGGCTTCTGCGGGACCCCCACCACCAGAGAAAAACATTGAATTACCTGGACCAAGCCATGATAATGTGTAGGAAATCATCGAGTTGGGGGAGAAACTTGAGCTCATCCTTGACAACGACCCAGACAAGCATCGGTATGAAGCGTCTAATAACCATCTGACGAAAGTTATGGAGCCGTATATCCAGATCTATCTCGACAACATCAATGCTAGTCGTCAACGTAGTATTGAGGACTTCCTCGCCTGCAACCCACCTCAACCACAGCCAGCCCATGTCAGTGAGGATATGGATTTTGAGAGGTTCGTCTGGGAGGCCCTGCATACCTCTGTGAGTAGTGAAAGTGATTCACCGGAGGGCAACTAATCTGCCCTCTGCCTCGGAACCAGCCGCCATCCACGTGTGCCGACCCAGCTTTTCTACTAACGTAAGTGTTAAAAAACCTAACATTATTGATATTTCTCTTAATTATTAATTGTGTGTACATACCATCATAAAATTAATATGTTATTTTTACTACAACGTACGTATTGTGTCGGAAAAAGTGGAGTTTGGGGGTCGGCCCAGTCTCTATTTCAATTAATCCCATATGTTCTGTTATTTTATTTACGCGTTTCTCGTTTTACGCGGACCTCCATGGGTTCAATTGACCGCGTAAATGCAGACTATACTGTACAGTACAATAACTGACGGTTATATAAAAACACTTGTATAGTACATTCCGATGAATCTTGCAATTTGGCAAACCCAACTTTTGTGTGGGATAAACAATTGTGTTTCCCTTTCGTAAGATTTTTCAAGCATTCATACAAGATGACTAGTAACGTACACAATAAATGTTACACTGAATTCAAATAATACTTGTCAGCTCCTTTGCTAGATATGCAATATGGAGTAGTGATGGAGAATAAAAGATGATTTTCCAAGCAGATCATTTCTTGCAACATATATATACAGTATATATACAGCTCCTCCCCGACTTATGACCACCAGGACATACGACCGCCTCAGTTGTACCAAAATTTTGTCAAATTACGTATTTTCGAGTCTCAACGTCAGTGATTGTGCTGTGTACTAAAAAAAATTTCGTTTTTAATTCACTTTAAAATGGCTGGCAAGCTTAAATGTGAGAGTTTTGTGGTGCTGAGAAGAAAAAGAGACACCCATTTTAGATTTTCTATGTATTAATTAAGCATTTTCGACTTATGACTACTGTATTTCGACTTACGACCTGGATTTGGGTCCCTAACCCTGTCGTAAGTCGGGGAGGAGCTGTATGTATGTGTGTGTGTATATATATATATATATATATATATATATATATATATATATATATATATATATATATATATATATATATATATATATATATATATATATATATATATATATATATATATATATATATATATATATATATATATATAAAGTTTCTACCCTATACATAATATAGCTATAAGTACTAACAAATTTATGGCTACGCAAAAAAAATACCTTATCCCTCAGCTGAGCAGCAGTGATTGCAAAAGTGAGAGGGCCTATGACATGGCACAGAAAGATACATGCACCTGACACAGCCACATGAGAATTACTGCTCCAGGCATGAAGAATGACAGGATCAAAGAGAATTGTTGTGATAGCTGCATCCTCCCCAGCACGGAGCAATTGCCGCACATCATCTACATGCAGTGATCGTTGGAATGGGGTGTTTGGTGTAGACTGCCAGATGTGAAGATAGATCTGATCTAAGAGCATAATGCCCACCACGATGCCTATGACTAGAAATATCTTCTTTCTCAAATTTCTTATGCCCCACATCCTGTATACCTGGAATGTCAGAAACATAAGATACAATACTATACGATACATTATAAGCTGTATAGAGTTCAAAAGTTGATGAAATGTTTATTTATCCAGTCATGAACCTTTATATTCTTCTGTTATTTGTCTGGCATTCGTTCTGATTGGTCAAGGTTGATTTTTACCTTACCTTTATCTTATTTATTTAATGTCCACCCACTAAAGGTGGCCATGATGCCAATGGCTTGTGCTGGATCCTTCCATTTTTCTTGGTAATTTTGTCAAGGGTTATTTTGAAGCCCAGTACTGTTATTGATTCCACAGCTTGGGCTGATAGACCAATCCATAGGTCTACCCCTCTATATGAAAAAAATATTTTTCCTTATATTCGTTTGGTATGATAACTTGGCGTGTTTTTAGTTTAGTCCTCTCGAGTTGGTGGTATGTGACATGACAAAGAAATGGCCCAGGTTTATGTTTTCCATCCCTTTCAGGATTTCGAATGTTTCAATGAGATCTGCCCTATTGTGCCTTGTCTAAAGGGTTGTTAGTCCTAAGGCCCTCGGTCTGCTTGGACAATCGAGATGACATACAATCGTTCCAGAATCATCTCAGTTGCTCTGTGTTGCACCTTTCCGAGGGTTGTTAGATCTTTCAGGAAGAAGGGTTTCCATGCCTGTATACAGTAATCCAGACTAAGATATACTTGAGGTTTGTACAGTTGAAGGAGCATTTTCCTATCTTTGTATCCAAAAGTACGCTTTATAATTCCTAAATCTGGATATGCTTTTCTCGTTGCTGCCCCCACACTTGTTGCGTGCCTTCAGTGAATGAACTATCACAACCCCTAGATCTTTCTCCTTGTTAACAGTATCCAGGAAAGTGTTGTTAACAGAATACCGTAGTTGTGATTGCTGACATTGATGTCGTCATTATGCGTTCAAGATTATTGGTTTCTGTTACTTGCAAACATTGTGGATGCAGATGTTTTGCGCATACTGTAGGTGATACTGTTACATCCTTTGAGGAAGTTAAAAGTGCATTGTAAATATATGAATGATCTTAGTTTATGATTTTTTGTAAGAAAGATCCCAAAACAATGGTTGGGCTAAGTTAGGATAGAATAATTTAGGCTTGGTTACAAGTCATTTCGTAAAAGGTGCCAGACTAATAGCCAAACTCATTTGTGAACTGGTAAAATAGCCATCTGTCATCTGCTGGAAATACTGGAACGATGTCAGCAGCCTCGACCAATCAGAATGAATTCCAGACAAATAGCAGAAGCATACATGCCTATTATCTTAAATGTCTGGACTGTGGCTACTTTCCCTTGAACCAGCTATAAAATCTTATACAGTAATATACTATTTTGTCATGAAGTTCTTATAAAAGCAAACAAATCAGATACTGGATAAACATTTATTCAGGAAAGTCATAACAGTACACAGGCTCAGTGGTTAGGTTAGGGTAATTATTCGTTTTAGCACCGCCTCGTATTGTTTCACGAGGTGTTTGATGTGTTTTGTTTAGATCTGATCTTTGTTTCTATGGGAAATGCATCATTAAAAAATAATGCAAGTCATCCTTGATCAAAAATGGCTATTTTCCATCAAAAACGAAGGTGAGATCTAAACAAAATACATCAAAAACCAAACATCTAGACCCCTATCTTCTACTAAATTAACATACCTTAACCTAACCAAACCTAACCCCTGCAGAGAGAAGAGGCAGTCAGTGTGACACACCTCACGGCTACAGACAACTCTCGGTGGGACAAGAAATGGCTGGTGGAAATTTATTTATGTAATTCCTTAAGACGTTCCCATGCTATTGTTCTGAAAGAAACACGTTTCCAAGAGGCTCCAATGGTTGAGGAATGAATGTATGAGGTACAAATTGCCTAAAAGTAAATGCTTCTATGCGATTTGAAGATGTGCTAAACCGAATAATAACCTAGGTTAGGTTAGGTTACATTGGAGAAGCAGTGTTGTGATCGAATTTTACCCGTTAGGTTAGGTTCCAAATAGGTGGATGACCGAAACGATAATTTTACCAGACTGTCAAAGTGAATTTTTTTGGACTGCTGTTCTGTAAGAGTTCTAACCTTTTGGAACAATCTGCCAGAAAGTATTGTCACAGAGTCGAGTGTGAGCTCATATTAGACCAGATTTGACTTACACTGGTATAGGTTCAGGTACCGTACATTCTGGAGCCAGTGTATGCCCAGTATTTCCTAAAGTGTAACCGAAACAAAACCGACTACCAAGAATCAGTAAGATGACTCGAGTAAGAACAACCCAAGAAAGACGTCAAAAGCTTATTTCCACTGTGGCACTGAGCTTTGGTGGGTTGGTTTTATTTCTTAAACTTCACAGCTAAATAGTGTACTTGTACTAATATCAGAGTGTATCGTGTGTTACAAGAGTACTAGTACATGGTAAATTATCCCCCCAGGATATATTTTTAGCTGGAGTTTTAAGTAAACCACAACAGCATTAAAAGCCCATCTAACCCCTGTCATACCTCTGCCATGGAAGACAGACATATGAACATATATCCTTGAATTAACTGCATGCAATATCACACATAAATCATCTCATATCAGAGTTAAAAACATGAGGTATCTTATTACTACTTAAATTTACTGTACGTGTTGTGACAGCTAGCAGGCGACTCAGTGTCTATCACATAACAAATAACAAGTCTGGTAACAAGGTCAACAATACGAGGCAATATAACATAACAAACTGGCAACTTTTTTGTCCCTGGTGTTTGACGGATGAACTACTATTCCACTATTGTGATAAATAAAAATAATAAGTAGTTTGACGGAATAATAATATCTTTGTATAATTAACATATTACATCCTCAAAAAATTCAGAATTATTTAAACAAATCATGTTCACTTCTCAGGAAAGGAGTATTATCGTGGAGTCATGGGGTATTTGAGAAGATGAAGGTCGGGGTTTGGATGTAAGAGGAATATTTGTGGCAAGGAAAATATATGAACTGGAATGTAAAGGGAAGGTGTATTGGGGTGAAGAGAATGCTTGGGGATAAGGGGAGGGGGTACTGTAGTAGAGGTGAAAGTGACCGAGCACTAAAGGGTGAAAAGGTGGTTTATAACTCACTACAGCTTCAATATTCATCGCCCATTTATCACTGTTTTCACTTAATTTACCCTTTAAAGGCAAAGTAATGGCGTATAAGTAAAGTGCAATTGGATTCCCATGAGTCAATTGAATGATTTTTTTTGCAGATGTTTGGATTTGTATTGACTATTGTGTTTTATTAATTTACCTGAATGTAGCTGATACTAAGTAGTGTAAGAAATAAGTTGAATTTAATTGTATTTGACAAAATTGAACACACTGCTAAAGGTGAGTGAAGGAATTGAGACAAGTGAATAATTCCCAAAACAAACTAGCTTGTATGATTTATATTACGTAGAAAGTATTCAATTTATAAAAGTAATAATACTATATTTTAGATACATGTTAATAATGAAATAATATTTAATTTGGAAGTTAAAATTGAAAAAATAAATTGCAATGTTTACTTTAATTTATTAGTTGTGGATAAGTTTGCTCGCAGACGCTTAAAATGGCTGACAGCTCGGAAGCCGCTCATTGGCTGGATTTTCCTCGCAATGGACTAGCGGAAGGTGGATTGTGGCGACACCCAACGGAATGATTGTGCCAGACAAGCTGCTACCCCGAAAACGTGATCTCTGCGTGGATTAAGTGATATTACCCCCGGGGCTGTATGGTGTAAGTACTGTAACATCTGAAGAATAGTCTGAAATGAAAGCAATGTTGCCACATGTGTGTAAATCAAGGTTCTTTGGAAGTTTTCACCTAAATTTTCCCTTTCTGGGTGCCAGGATCAAACGAGGAAGATAAGGAGGTAATTGCTTGCTTCTGGCGAGAGAAAATGGGTATTTAGAGGGTGAAAGGTGTTGTTATGATGTATGGTGTTAACATTGACCGAGTATGTGACAGAAAACTTGATTGTGAGGGAGAAAACTTGACCGTGAGGGTAACTGTCTTATACCAAGTCTAGAGTGTCACCCTTAATGTTACATAAATTCCACGAATGGGACAAAAAAATGTAAATTTAATGACTTGAACTAACCTAAATACCTCGACTGGGTTGGGAAGACCATACACTTTTAATAAAGCTGGTGACCTGATCTAATAATCCTTGGCAACTTTCGGCTGGGTTGATGAATAAATTTGTACTCCAACTTCACATTGGTTCATCCTGTACATAAATAGTGTAGGTATATAGAAGCTGTAATAACAATCAATAAATTAACTTATCAAGGATGACCTAAGTAAGGGCTAGTCTACTTTCCACTAGGGGTGAAAATATACAGTACTTTGTTGAGGAAAATCCCTAGGGCGACACTGGACTTAATGTATATAAATATTTTATGGGATTTTCCTATAAACAGGTTTTAATGCATACAGAACAAATCTAGAGAGGAGGTAGGAAAAAGTAACATTGCATAAATTTGCTTTTAGGTGTAGACTGCTGCCTCAGCCTTTGGTGAATTGACAGACAAACAATTGGTGAATCATTACAGAAGACTTTGGTGCCTAAAGTATACTGTAGTGATATTTTCTCACTTTAGGTCTGTGTATTTCCATGTGGAGATGACATATTTTATTGGAGTGAAACTAAAAACAAAAAATAGTCCACTGCCCTTTGAAAAATTTATTTGAACATACCTTTACTTTGATTACATCCCACTTGAATAATCATCTGTGTTATGCTATTTAATTTAACCTAACTTAACCTGATCTTGTAAGCAAAAAGTGTATAAAACAGATGATTGTCCAAGTGGGATGTTACCCTTTGCTTTATCACTTGTCAACTTGGTAGCCTGAGGCAAGTAAGCCATGACTCTTGTATCTTTTGACAAATAAAAAAACAATTACTAAACTAAATCTGATCTTATGATTTTGTGGGATAGAAGAAAATGGGCAGTTCTTGGTGTTTAGACTTAGTTCAGCAACCATTATTGATCTGTACAGGTATCTGGTTTCCTTTGGAATGAACCACTGAGTGTTGCCAAGCATGATCATATGCAGTATTGCTGTAGTTCATTACTGTTAATATCATAATTAGGTAGATGATGTACAGTCAGCCAAAGATGCACCGACCCCACCCTGTCCTCCGCCCTCATCATGGCTAGTGGTGTTATTTATGTCTTTTTAAATATTTGGTAATACTGGAGCAGATGGCTAGCACCGGAAGGAATTGTTTGATTTCATTATTTCTACAGATGTTATTTGGATGGTAATAAGTATTGAAAATTATACGACAAATTTTTCTTTTAATTATAAGTATTTATTTTAAATTTTAGTCCTTCCGTATCTACCTATGATCATAAATCACCTCCAGTGGGCAAGGTATAAAGGATGGGGGATATTGTGGGGTAAAACACAGTGAAAACTGATCATACGACACTAAAATTGTGCTTTGTACACGGAGAAATAAATTACGTATTTACCATAAATATTCAGCTGAAAAATCTGCCGTGTTGGCACGTGTTGTCTGTTCACATCCACAAAAAACGTAACATTGCACCACGTCACTTAAAGAAAGTTGCTTTGATTGGTACCAGTTATCAAAGATTTATGCTGTATTCAGTTGCCATTTTGTATTTTTTGGAGTGCTTAGTATGGATATCTTAGTACAACAAGTGACAATCATAACAATAACATCTGAGAGAGTAGAGGTACTAACACTTAAAATTTACCCTCATTTTAAGAAAACTATGGTTACATGAGAAAATTTAACGTTTTCCTAAATTATCTGTATTTAAAAATGAGTGCCTTACTTATATGGCCTTGCATCTTATAAGCTGTAAAATACTGTACTGAAGATACTTAAAGTATTGGGTTATATTGGGGTACTAGTACAGTAGTATACAATATATAAATACTGTTTCTTCAGGATATACTGAAATTAAATATTCTTTATATCTACAGATTTGGGCAGCCATGGAGACGATAGTATATTCTGGGGTGACTTTAGAAATTCCATCTGAAATCTGCCAGGACATATCATTGCTGTTTGAAATTATATCCCCTGACACTTGGAACAACCATCTTACTGATGAACATCGAGAAATGTTAATGGTTTGTATATATATTTTCTCACACAGTACATAATAATGGTGTGGCTTTGACCATTCATGTGTACATTTTAAGCTTAAAGGGTGAAGCATATGATGTACTGTATTCCACTTTCTGTTCCAGTATTCAGTACATTTGTGTGTGTTAGTGTTTTCATTTCAGTTTTTGCAAATATTTCGAGAAGATAATCAAGTCTTTGTGTACAGTTCAACAAGGGGAATAATTAAAAGGCAGTTTTAGAAGAGGTTGTGATGTACAATAATTTGGGGGAAAAGTTTTAGAAGGGCTTGTATTATTAGGAGTATTATGTAAATGATGGAAAGACTTAGTAATTTTATGAGCTACAACAAAGGATTTCTATTTGATAGTTGTGGTGTTACTGTGGTAAGCAAAGACTAATTTATTGACCAGTCCTACGCTGTAGTTACGTAATGTATGTTTGTATTACTGTCTTGTGTAGAGTAATTAAGTTTTCAGGAAGTACTTTTTTGTTACTCACAAGGTTTAAAGCTTTCATATATACTGTACAGGTCTAGGTAAAGTAGACCATTCATTACATTTATCTATTCCCAACCTACTGTGTGAAAACTAACAGAAGTGTATATATATATATTTTTATTTTATTAATGTACGGTATTTCCTCTGTTTCAGGGATTTTTGCCCGAGTTTCCCCATAATGACTTGGAGGAGAAGACACGTACTTTAGAAATGTTTTTCATGGACGAGAACTTCAGGTATGGAACACCGCTCAGAATATTCCACGAGCAACTCTGCAAGGGTTTCTTCAATCCTGAAATATCCAAGATGAGAGCCATTCATAAAAAAATAATGTACAGAGAATACAGGTAATATTTCTTCACATTCAAGCAGTGTTTTTAAGTAGAGAGTCATTATCATTTTGTGCTTAATGCTGTATCATGCTCTTGGAAATATGAAGTCGTAGTCATAAGTTCAAATTTGTGAACTGTATAACCAAAAGTATTTAATAAAGATCATGTTTTATGGTTTACTGTACATAAATAACACTTGTGTACCTCTTCCACAATCATAGTAATGGATGTGCTGTAGTATTTAGTATATTCTTGTTAAGGAATAACTCGGTGATTGAGTACTTTTTTCACAGATATCGACAGAAGCAATATTTTCACCATACCTTGGAAGAGGTTCTTGTAAGAAGAAAAAGGGTGTTGGATATTGTGAGCAACATGCCACCTGATGACATTCCCAAGATCCCTCGGCTCCCTCCTCTGGTAAATATAATCTTGAGTTGTTACTTCATAATATATACAGTATCTTGCATTCCCTGTTTCATTCCAAAGGATTTGTTCGAGACATCTCAAGTTCTCCACAACCAGTTTTCTAGGAAGTAGAAATTAAAGTTGTAACTCCATAACTTCCATGTTTTATTCCTTATGTAAATCCAGTTCTTCTCGATGATGAGGACATTATACAGGGTTGAACTTGAAACATAATAAGGCATCATTGTGAGGTAAGTTAGTGAGAGTATTGGTGATGTGTATGGGCTTTATCCTGACTGTGACAATAATGAGTTGGAAATAGCAATAAAACATTTAATAAGTTGATAGTATAATTGCAAGAGATGTGGAAGATTTACTTGATATGGTCTTCCAGTTACGAGTTCTGATTTGGATTTATTAACTTTTTTAATACAGTATTTATCAAATTTGCATTTTATAACAGACAGGAAAACATCTTGAAGTAGGTATGGTTGTTTAGGAATACTACTTAATATATTTCACTGTTATAACTAAAGAAAGGGTTTTACATTCATTTATTATGAAGAATAGTATCTTTTTGCTTTAAATATTATTCTGGTTCATATAGATGAGATGTTGAATAAATTTTATGTATTTGCAGCATAATAAAAAGAAGAGTTCTCGTACATCGATTGAATATTGCACAAAAAAACGCTACTTTCGCGAGTTGGCCGCTATCCGCGCAGAAGTGGGTGACACCAGTGACATGTCAGAAGATGAAATATATCCAGGTATGGGATATGATATGATACAGGTAAACCCAGAGTTACTCAAGGGGAAATATGAGTGTTTTATGGCATTCATATCTTTGTAAATTTTCACCCAACATTTGAATGTGTGCTGTGATTATTGTGACACCATTTCTAGCTGGAAATTGTGATCGGGTACATGTGGTTATTCTTTGTTGGTATAGTAGTACAATACAGTACAGTAAAAAAAAAAAATTTTTGACTGGCATATAATATTAAAGTTTTGCAGTTAAGAAGCAGTTCCTCCCCCTCTACACAATCTAGCTGTGCTCTTTTGTTATTAGATTTTGCACTCTTATTTTGGTTTACAATGCAATATGTTTGATATGAATCTGGGCATTTTTTTTTATTGTTTGTTATTTGAAGAAATGTGTGTAGAAGGAAAAGTTACAAAAATTACCATAGTTCAAATTGTTAAAAATTATGATCTGACTTTTGCAGAAGGGCCTGGGGCATCACTCAATAAAAAGCAGCGTCGGCAATTAGGTGGGCTAGAAGGGTCACTTCCCCCAGATCTATTACCAGTGAGAGCAACACACAGTAGTGGTTCTCTTGCGCTAGACCTGGAACTAAAAATAACACCCACTAGTAACCCATTAGATCTTACCGATGATCACTTCAGAGCTATGCTGGCAGCACACAGACTCCGAAGAAATAAAAGAGAGGTACAGTGTATAATTTATTTCTATTTATTTGCCAATACCCAAAAATAGGGTGATACATGAAAAATTTTGTGGGGAAATGCATTTAGGCAAAAAGGCCCTTAGAAACACCCATATACAATATTAAAATTTATTGAAATGGTATAGGCATGTAAAATGTATGTGGTGTGATTAATTGTTGAAGAAGGTACAAGATAGTGGGTCGCAGGACAGTCAGTCGAGTGTAAGATTATACCAGTAGAGTTCGTCATAGGTGTGACAAGGAACAGTATGCAGATGAACTGAAGTATCTGTGAAAATGAAAGAGTGAATATCAAGGGAACTCTTGGAAATATTGACTGAGTGAGCTAAATGAATATCTGTGAATTTGTAAAGTATTTGTTGAAGTCATTACATTTCTGAACTTGCCAGATGTGCCCAAAAACTTAGGTTTTCATTTCTGTGTTTGTACTTCTCTCTTTTTTAATTACTTCATACAAATTTTATCTCAATATCCTTTTATTATTTTTTATTTCAGACATCTGTTGACCTTGACACTCGAGGCATAACGCTACCAGACGTTGTATCTCGAGCTCAGTTACAGATGAAGCGGCCTCCGCAAAGAGCCATTATGTCGCCCTTAACACTTGACAAACCAAAGAAAAAAATTAAAGTAAAGAAAGAACCTTCGTCCATGCTAGTCTCTCCAAATCACTTAGATCTTCCAGTGACCATAAAAACCGAAATCATCAGTGACTCAGAATCGTCTTCTTCTTCCTCGTCATCATCGTCAGTCAGTGATTCAGAGGAGATTGATATCAAGAAAGAAGTGCCAGTTACCCCTCACTCTGTTAAGAAGAGGTAATGTAAATACTCATATGTTGCTGTTACTATTACAACCATAGTCATAATGTACTGCATATCACTCCCTAGTGTGTTTTTTCGCTATGGTAAGTCCAGGTCTAAATACTGTATTATCTTATGAATACCAGTAGGTACTCTATGCCTATTCAGAAATATTTCAAGTGATTGTGATAGGGGAATTTTCACAGAATTTTGACTCCTAGATATCTCATTACCCAGAAAGTTATTTTTCACGGGGTGCATATCTTACTATTTCCTCCTGTACAGAATTCTTGATTTATTATCCATGTATACAGTCTCTCCTCGACTTATGACGGGGTTCCGTCCCGACGACCAGATCGTAAGTTGAAAAGGCGAAAATAATACATAGAAATTCTAAAGTGGGTGTCTCTTTTTCTTCTCAGCACCATGAGAACTCTCACTTTTACGTAATGTGAAAAATATTTCATACGACCATGGCCATCGTATGTCCGGGTTGTCGTAAGTCGAATATGTCTAAGTCGAGGAGAGACTGTATTTCCTTTATAGAAAAAGATTGTTACTTTTTCCATTAGTGATATGTGACTTGGTTTGTACAGGGTGGGTGCTAAAGGCATCAAAATCAAATTAGAACCAGTTGACTCCTCAACACCCAGTGAAGATATAGATATAGGCACCCTTGGAGTGGAACCTTTCATGAAGGAGGAGCAACTGAAACTAGAGGTCAAGGAGGAACCTTTAGAAGACCAAGTAACAGCTGCAATTGAAACGTCATCAGAGTTGACAGCAGCGCTTGAAAGTATTGGGTAGGTTACCTTTCTTGTACTTGTTTTTATATTCTGAACTACTATGTGATGAACTGTTGGTGTTTTTATTGGCTAATAGATATATAGACTATGTCACAATGATAAGACATCAATCTGTTAAATCAAACTCAGTAATGAGTTACTAGTCCAAATGTATGGTCATGATTCATGTATAGAACTTAATCCTGAAAAATGTTAAGCACATTTATTTGAGCGGTGGGAGAAATAGGCAGTAAGGCAAGAAGGGGAACACTGAAAAGGTATTTTGGTAAGAAAATTATAGTTTTATGTTAGTATGTATCGAGTTCTCAATATTTTTTTGTACATTGTTGTTAAAAGATCTCTCAGGACAAGGCTTTACATTAACTCTTTCATTTACTCAGCCAGCTTGGTTAGTGAATTTAAAGCGTACTTATCCAAAACCTTTCATATACTGTAAATCTATGAAGTATTTTCATTGATGTTGTAAAAGATACAATCACATTTTGAGGACTCCCTCCAGCTCCATAGATGGGGGATGAAAACCAAGTGTGCAGCAGGCATTCCCCTTCAGAACCACTGTGCTGAGATACTGGACAAGTAACTGGATACTCTGGAGTCTCTTGTTATTTTTATATGTCTGGAGCCCAACTCATTCAGGATCTCAAAGCATTGGTGCCCCAGGCTCCCAGGGTCTGACCCTATTAGGACAAAGCAATGTTTGTGGCTCAGGGTCCTGTTCTTTGCTTCCTCCTGGTTTTCCCTTAAGCTTGCTACCCTCTCTGCTTCAGCCACACTCAGAGATTGTGTAAGTAGGTACCAGTATCAATGTATGAAGTAGAAAAACAGCAAAGAAAGGCAGTTTTAGGTTTTAAAGTCTTATGTTAACTTTTAAGAATAACTTGCTGGATTAGAGCAAAGTAAAGAAATATATAATTTTTGTTTAGAAGACAACATTATCATAAAGGTTATTCTTGTTATAAGCACCACATACAGCAACATAGTAGCATTTTCTATATACATGTACAGTATCAGATTAGATTATCTTTCAAAGTATATAGTACAGTACTGTAATAATGTGCTGTGCAATTAATTTTCACACAGCTATGAAATTCTATAGTGTCAGCTATGATAAAGCAATCATTCAGAGCAAGAACTGCGTATGAATTTATTATACCTGTATACTGAATAAACTTTGTGTTTTTCTAAGAACATATAATGTGTATTTAAATTATAGTATACCTCAAAGTATTGGAGGTGACTGTGACTGAGTTTTACCTTCCAGATTGCCTCTCTATATCTAGAATATTCTGATTCACCTTTGTATAATATTTTTTTAGTTCTTTTGGACCCATGCAAGTGTGGGAAATAGCCTTAAAACAATGATGATGACATAATTTAATTCTGCTATCCTGATTTATATTTTTTCATCACCAGTTGTGTACAGTAGTGTTTAAAAGGAAAGTAGATTGATTTTGTTGCCTCTGTCTAATTGTCCGTCATACCAGGGTCTTCTCGTCACCATGTATATAAAACAGTCATCAAGCGAACCAGTGATTTCGTTCATAGCCTTGATTCTTTTGGATGAGTACAAGACAGTACAGTACTTGTACTGGAAATCTTACTGTTTGCTAATTATTTCCATTTATGATAGTACGTATTTAAAAAAAAATATATATATATATTTTAGGGTACTAATAGATATTGAAACTAATTCGCTTCCATTCATGCAAGTACAGTAGTGTAAATTTTTATTTGTTTGAACTAAGGTCTATAGTCATCTCGGATAGGTTGGCTGAGCTTTGTGTAAAGTCCAGTTATATCATTTATTTATATGTACCATATTGCATGTATCATAAAAATTTTCTTGTTATTCCCCAGTGCATGTATTGCTCCAGAGCTGACTCAGGAGACACACATCTGCTTTTTTAGCCTTATCCGGGACATAATATGTTCTACCGGGGAGCAGAGGATGACCAGAGCCCAATTAGAATCAAGTATCAGAGTATGGCAGGAGTCTGCTATCTCTCCGCTCAATGAATGGTATTCTCTTGTCCCCTCCTGGGTCAATATTCTCGCCTCTGCAATAAATTTTCTTTGTGGACATTTTGCAGGTATGAAATAATTGAAATTTATATTTGTGTGTGTTTTTGGTAACTTTATGAGGACTGAGATAGTTTGAATGGAAAGTTGAAAATTAAGTGTATACAATATTAAATACAGTAATAGAAATAGTCCAGGGTAATGAAATATTGATCCAAACACTGTACAGTACTAATTATAAGGTGATATTCAAAGTTGGAGTTCTCATGAAATGTTAATTGAAATTTTTTGGAACAGAGAAAGGGCAGGTTGAAAATATGATGGTTAGAGCTGTGAAATGGTTATGATACAAAGAGAGGCTAGGATAGAAAATGTTGATGAAGTTTATGCAAAGAAAGTATTTGAGGAAGGAAAATTGTTAACTGTGCTGGGTGGAATGGTTGAATGAAGGAATGTATGAATGAGAGTTAAAGAATTCTTGAATGAGTTAAATAATGTATGAATTGGAGAGATGTATGTATTAGGTTTGAAAGCAGAAGAGACAGCACACTTCATCAAGGTGGATATTAATGGTTAAAAAAAAAAAAACATTGTTGACCTTGACATTGGCAGCTGTAGCAGTGGCTTGTCTGTCAGTAGGGAATATGTAGGTGGAGTAGATTTCATGCTCCATATACTGTACTAACCTATTTCATATTTAAGGTTGTCTAAAGAAATTATATCACATTCAAATGGGTATATGTGAGAAGAATAGGTGTAAGGTAGGAGTATAACCAGATCACGTCAGAAAGAAAGCAGCCTCCTTCAGTCTAATTTTATTGATTTTTTTTTTATCTCCCACCCCAGATGTTCAGCCTGCAGACTTCGTACCTTATATAGAATACAAAAGTATGTTGAGAGTGTATCAGTGGATCGGTGCTGGCCGGGACAGTGATGGTCATTTAGAACCTCTTGCTCAATTTTGGCTTGCTAATAAGTGAGTACAATACTGTAAATAACAAGTAGTTTTGTGGAATGGATGTGTAGGTATTTTGAAGCAATTTTGTCAGCTGTTTACAGATATTACCCCATGTAGAAGCATTAATTTTGGGATAATTGAATTTAAAGCATGTCAGCACTAATATCTTCAGGTACAGTACTAGTTAATTTGCTTCATAAGCAGCAGACTTAGAATCCCATCCAGAATCATTGAGAATATTTTCAGAGTATATTAGTATTTTAAAAGGACAGATTACAGTGGAGGAATAATCTGTTTATGAGCACCTCCCTGGTAATAGATATTTGCTGTTATGAATCATTGTTTGCTGATGCTACTCTGACTAAGATAATTGTTTGATTATTTTACTTTTCTTGCAAGAATTCTCATCCAGACAAGATTACAACATTGTTAATGGTGCTTTATTTACTTTCAGATCATCTATGAGTAGTGAATGGATAGAAGACGATATTTTAGGATCTAGGCTAGAAACTGAGGAAAGTGACATCATTCCCCCACCTCGGTGCTATACCACGTGGACAGTCCAACCCGCCACTGATCCTGAGAAGGACATGTATCGTGCACAGGAGAAGCTCAGATATGAGAAGCCACATAAAGCATACACATTCAGGTGAGTATAGTGCAGCTATGAACCAACATTTAATACAGGGTAATTTTTTAGTTTTTATTTGAGAACCCCAAATGAATACTATATTTTAGTAAGTGTAATAAACAGGAACCTAAAAATCATTAGGAAAAAAGTCTGATTATAACAAAGATTTTTAAGTTCCAGTTTATTGTACATCCTAAAATATAGTACAGTACAGTAATAACTTAGGGTTCTAGAATGAAAAAAATGACCATGTACTGTATATAGTTATTTTATGATGAAAGATAAATGAATATCATCACAGCTGAAATATCTTGTTATCCAATAAGAGTTCCATTGCTTCAGTACAGTCAGTTCCCCTATAACACGGTAGTTGTGTTCCTGAAGAACATTGCATTATAGAAAACTCATGTTGTAGTAACTATTGATTCAATGGGAATTATGGGGCTAGGGGAGAGTTGGTTTGAGGACATCAACATGACTGACAAGTTTCCTTTGCAATTTGTTGTATTCTTGTGAACTTTTATGTGTTCTTTTATAATTACTGTGTTTAGTTTGATACTGTACTCAGAATAATACCATGAAAAGGGGGAAAATGCTTGTTATAGTGTTAGTGTATGGTGCTAGGCTATGGAAGACGTAGCCATGAGGGAGGGTGGAGAATGGGTATGATGAAATAGTAAGTAGTGGACTGTGGCTGTCTTAAATGATTTTAATGATAAAACCTTTTACAAAATAAATACAAATAACCATAAGAAAAGTAAATAAACTTATATAAAAAAATTCCTCGCCACAAGAAGAGATGATGTTGGCTGCTTGAGACGAGTGGTGGAGGAGGAGGTGCAGTGAGTCTGATGACAAAGTTTTGTTCGAGAGTTGTAGCTTTGCTTTTTTTTTCACTTCACTTTCACTACCAGAATGCTTCACACCCTTGCCACTCATTATAATTAATAACAATAAAGTTGATACTAAGGTAAAGCACAGTCCACGATAACACGTGTGATGCATATGGAAGGTAAACAAAGACTGAAGTGCATGGACAGCATCCTGCCTTGTGTAATGTTATGCCGAGGCAGCCGTGTAACCAGTTATTCTTACATAGTTACGTTTAGTCTATCACGTTATATCCAATTTGCATTTGCATTGCAAAAGATCTGTTTCCTAATTCATTCATCGTGTTATGGAAACGCACGTTATAGGAGAACCGACTGTAAAAAATATGTAAAAATTCATGTAAATTTGAAGAACTTTCATAATATATCTGAAATGAAGTCTCATGATTTTTATTATTGAAGGAATTTGAAAATTTCTTTAGTTGATTTATTGAATCTGTATATTTTATTTGATATTGAGAAGTATCAAATCAAGTAAGTTTCATTCTCTCTCATCAGGATGCATGGCTATGAGAGTGTAGTGGGTCCAGTCAAGGGGATTTATACCCAACAGACTGGGCTGAACAAAGCCAGAGGCCATTCTTTGTTAGTTCCTGACAGACCTGCATATGTTACAATTCTGTCTCTTGGTAGGTATTCTTTTATTCTTGTTGTCTATTTTTTTATGTCCCAGAAATGAATGTTGAGAGGTTTGTATTAGAATGTTGAGAGGGCTGTATTAGAATGTTGAGAGGGTTGTATTAGAATGTTGAGAGGGCTGTATTAGAATGTTGAGAGGACTGCATTAGAATGTTGAGAGGGCTGTATTAGAATGTTGAGAGGCTGCATTAGAATGTTGAGAGGGCTGTATTAGAATGCACTGTTCCATCAGTTTGTCTGGCACACAGTAGAGTCAGTAGGTTTTTTAATTAAATTTTCCTTCATTAACTTCAAATTGTCATGAAAATTAGAAGCTCTTTCTCTCATAAACTAAAGTTTCATTGTTAGTAATACAGTAACATTCTTGACTAGTGCACTAGATATTCATTGTACTTTATTTAAAAAAAATTCTCTCATGCTTGAATTTTGAGTACTCGTAAAATCCTTGTTTACATGATTTAACTTAGGTTGAGAAATTTTTTTTTTAATTTTTGTTGTTGTTTATGAAGTATGTAAATGGTAGGAAGGAGGATGTTACTGCAGTTTGCTGGAGACCTTGTGCAGCAATAGGTATGAATGTTTCTAGTGCTGACTTCCATCTCTGAAATATACAAATCTACATCCTGCATAGGTTTAGAGGAGAGAGAATAGGGAGAATCAGTGAGGAAAATGTTGATAATGGTGAGAATAGGGAGGAATGTGATAGATCTAAATTTGGTAAGAAAGAACATTATTGGAGAGGTATAGCACAGTTGGTGATTGACGTCACACAGTTGTGGGTGGATCTTCTGGGCGACCACGTGGTAGTGGTGCGGAGGACAAACAAATTGCTGTTTACCTGCTTATGCTGGTGTGCATAAGGCAGCCAAAACATGGGAAAGTGAATAAGAATACCTGACTTAGCCTGATTTAATCTAATCTAAATAGTGGGAGAAAAAAGTGAGAACCTTAAAGAATGAAAGAGTGAGAAATGCATTCCAAGGGAAGTTAAAGAAAAAAGTTAATATTGTTGATGTGACTTGAGAGTTAATTTTAAATATTTTGGAGTTACTGTACATACAGAAGCATTAGTGTAAGCAGCCACAGAGATAAGTGAAAGTGTTAGAGCAGGAGATGGAAGAAAAAGCTCAGCATGGAGGAATGAAGATATAAGAAAAATGACTGAAGTGGATCATAGTATGGATGAAATAGTTGAGTGCACTGTTGAAAAGTGAGGATTGGAAATTAGAAACTAAAGATTTTAAGATTATAGATAAAGGGGCAGGAACAAGATGGTTTTACATGAATAATAGAAAATTAAATAGTTTAAAGGTGCAGTATTACTTTGAATTTTATGTTGTCGTTATGTGCTTTTTAGTGCGAGATGCTGTTGCCCGTCTGCCTAATGGGGAAGGCACTCGGTCAGATATATGTGAGCTGCTTAAAGAGTCTCAGTATCTGGCCCCCCTTACCAGCTCAACTGCAGAAAACAATCTAAATAGTGTTGTGTCTGGTGCACTGGACAGACTTCACTATGAAAATGATCCGTGTGTGAAGTATGACACTCCGCGGAAGCTCTGGATTTACTTACACCGCAACCGAAATGAAGAGGAATTTGGTAAAGGATACCGAGTTTTGTTCTTCATATTTCATGTATTTTAGCAGGTTCACTTTTAAGTTCTTTTGATATATATTGATAGAATTAATATTAAAAGAGGGTTTGTGTTGAGTAAAATATCCAAGATCATTGATATTTTTATTAAGTCTTTGTGAGTAGTGCAGTACAGTATTTAACTTTTTTCTGCAGAGCGGATGCATCATTTGAATGGACCTGGTGGCAGTAAAATAAAGAAGCCAGCTCCTAGAAGGCAAAGTAGAGCCAAAGCCAAGGACCCTCTGACCATTAAGGGCCCTCCAAATGTTGCTTTGGAACCTGTTGCCTCTCCCATTAAGGTATTTTATTGGAGTTACTTATCTCTTGTCACTTGTCAGCCAGTCCTCAATTGTACACTTGGCAGTTACTGGGCATGTACAGCCTCTTTAGTGTACCTAAACATGTTCCTGTGATAAACAAGCTTGGGGAAGATAGCTTTGACAGCTGCATCTGCTGATAACTTTTTTAATTTGAGGTTGTGACCTTTAGTAAAACAGCCATCAGGTAATTTCAGAGGAGTTCATTTTTTTATTCAAATTATAGTAATCTGAGATGTTCTAAATGGGTATGGTAAATATTGAGTGTAGCAGCCACCATATTTCTTGTTATTATGTTCTAGGATCTTCACCAATATTTTATTTTAATGCACAAAATATGTGTGATGGGAGCAAGGAAAGATGTATGTGTATACCTTGTATGCAGCAAACCACATGAACACGTGTCTGCTCTTGCTTGTAGTAATCCAGTGATTTAGTGATAAGTGATGACAAGTACTGTATTTGTTTTTTGTCATCTGTTGACTCATCTTTTCTTTCAGGTTGAAGGAACTCAGGTGAAACTTAAGCCTGAGGATGTTGCAGCTTTGACCAAAGCAAAACCAGACAGCCCAGTGAAATTAGACCAACTAAGTTCTTCAGCTGTTGGGAAGACCGTAACATCTGTAAGAGTGAGTCCTTTCCTCCTTACTACTGTATTTAAAAGTAAATTAATTAATGGGCATCAATCATATATGAAAATTAAATGAACCATACATAATACTTTGAAAAACAAATTTCTTTTGTGGGAAGTAATATTCTATGTGCATGATTTATTTAATTTTTTTTGCAAATTGTTGGTATTGAAAATACACTACAGGTACTGTATTATCCTGCATGTATCCTTCATCCTCGTCGACAGTTACCATATTTCCATTTTTCATATATATTTCAAATTGCTAGTTTTTTAAAAGGACTTGAACTATAAATGCTATTTACAGCCTTGGGGAATTTTTTTTCTGAATCTGAATAATCAATTGAGTGATTCTCTTCCACATTATCCTCTGTGTCTTATTATCAAGATGGGCTGGACTATTGTGTAGAGATGTATTTTAGGTAAACTGAAGAGAATTGTAATATTTTGTGTGTTACAGGTTGGTGGTGTAAGAGGTGCAGTAGGTGCAAGTAGTGTTCAGACAATTCAGGTGTCTACTGCAGGTGGTGTTCAGACCATCAAAGTGGCTCTACCACCAGGAGCCCAGACCATCACCAAGGTCACACCAAAAGTGCCATCATCCACAATTACCAAGGTGAGAGGAAGATTAAGCTGGTGAACTTCTTTATCATTAGGATGTCTTTTTATTTCCAATTTGTTTGATTATATGATTGTACACTACATAGCTCTTATAATACACATTATGAAGCGTTATTTGTATTGACAGTCACATGTTATGAAAAAACAAGTGATAGACAATTGACAACAAACATAGCTACAGTAAAGCCTCGAATTATGGCGGTAATGTGTCATCCAATATTTTTTAAGGCGAATTATTGTATCGTGAATCATTACTTACCATTAAAATAAAGCAATAAAAATGAGATGCGTTCCTTAGTGTGAACTTTTCACATATTTGGCGTGGCTTTTTATCTGCTTTCCCCCCCAAACCGTAAACTTAATGGAAAATAAAAACTATATACCGTACTTTGATTAATGTTTATTAATCCAAATTAGGCAATAGGTACAGGTTATTCATTATGTATTAGTGATAAAGAACTCGACTGTGGGTGGCGTCCAAGAGTATGAATGAATATGAAATCATATCATACCTTTTCTTCTTAAGAATTATTACCAAGTGTCTATATATGATTGAATTAACGTTTATGTATGCTAAATGAATTTTTACAATTCACTGGCAATATGTATTCAATTAAAACACACAAGAGATGGGACGCTATTGTTGTTGTTCAGTGTTTACACGCACGATGATGGTTCTCCATCTGAAACTGAAGAAGATAAGACCTTGGCTGTAGCTGTAGTGAAATTAATGTTGAAAGAAATGCACATTTTTATAAATGTTATTTTATATAAACAGAAGAAGAGAAGTAACCAATAGTGGTATAGAAGAAAATCGTGAGATGGACGGCAGAAAGCCAACATATGTACATACACACACACATGCAAACATAGCGTCATTTCTCTACACAAGAATATGAAAGCAACTCTTATTACTGTACATATGTGTTTCAATTAATATTTATGAATGTAAAACGAAAATTCTACTCGCCAATGGTGGTAAAACTGAAAACTTAAGGACACAGCCGATGGTTTAGTCCGAGTTTTGATTCAGATGACAACGAAGTGCCTAAATCGTCAGGTTCTCTCCTAGCTTTTGAACCAACACTGCCATCACTTGCCCCTCTCTTGCTTATGTTGAATAGGAACACAAAAATTCCGTAAGATACCTGAGAAAGTTTTTTTATCCTGATCTGGTTCAGACATGTGGAAACAAAAAGCCCGCCAAGCAGCGACTGTTTATGTTAGTGATGTCACCAACCCGGCAACTCGGAAAGGTCCGTGCGAAATTTTTTGTACATTACTGTACAGTACAGTATTAGTTATTACTTATGTGGAAATTTATTTTTATTTTTTTTCTTCTATTTTCATCGTAAATACAAATAGAATAACGATGTAAATTGAATCGGGTCCTAAATTAACTAGGGTTTTAAATATGATTCGCCATGAGTTGTATCGTCATAATTCGAGGCTTACTGTATTGCAATAATACTTTAAGTACAGGTTCTATTTTATCTTTACTGTTAACAAAATTCTGGCATATGTTAGTTGTAAAAAGAGACCCAATAATTGTACAGTATACAGCCCATTTATATAATACTGTACTTGAAAGAACTTTTGGCACAGCAAGTTAGCCTGAATATTGAAAGTTTGTAAATTAATATTAAAGTTAAGGGTTTGATTTTAAATATTTTAATTTTTTAGGGTAATTCCTTTGATCCATTTGTAATTTATTCCTGAATCATCATTTACACTAATTGTTCCCTGAATACAGTAATCATGTATAAAGATAGTTACTCTAAGGAAAATATTGTTATTTATATGTCATATTTAATGCATTTGAACAGGTGGGAGGCCAGACTATCAATAGAACATCTGCTCAGGCCCTTAGTAAACCTGGAAGTGCAGGCATTAAAGGGGTAAATTTACAGCAGTCGGTGCTTCAGTCAGCTGTGTCTGGATCAACTTTAGGGCCAGAATCTATATTAAGCTCACAACAAATCACAAGTTTGCCTTCAGGTGAGAAACTCAGTTGTGGTATGTGATAAAATATAATGTATCTAGTTTCTTTTGTTAGATGAATTGTGTCATCATCAGAGATGAATATGAGTATGGAGTTGTACACAAGATATGTGCTTCACACTTGTATTTATTCTAGGGAATGTAGGTCAGGGCAAGACACGAGCCCCAGTAGTAACACTAACAACGAGAGAAGCCGCAAGACTACCGGCTCCGTCTGTGTCACAGGCAAGATCCAGTTCCTCAGCCAGCACTACACCAGCAAATCAGCAACATGCGACACAAACAGTACTCGCCTCACAAGTATGTTACTTTTTCTTTATTCTGAATGGAAGGTTTATATCATATTGTGTGTTGTCCTAATTTATTGAACACCAAATGTGTTTTTTATAATGATATTGTCCTGCACTAATTTTAGTGATTTAAGTATGAAGATTTGTTTTTTTGCTGTTTTCAGGTAAAAATTGAGGGAATAAAATTATTTCATCATTTTCACAGGTTACATCACCGGGTGTTGCAGCAGGAAAGCTTTCTAATACAGCCACTGTGGTCAACATGAATGCCGCTGCAGCACAGAAATCCAATTTGTTTTCTCTGGGTGGTATTAAGTTGCTTCAAGCATCTCCCCAGCAAATTGCAGGTAATTACTGAAGATCATTTTCAAGTAAACTGGTTATCTTGGTCATCATTTTATAAATTTTGGTAACTGAGTTGGGTGTGCTGCTGGTGAGTGATGGATGGTGTTAGGTGCCAAAGGAATACATCAGATGGATATTATGAGTCTTGTTCTAGAAGGAGAACACCATAGCAGGTAGATAGAACATACATTAGCTAATAGAGGGAGAGTCTGTGATGCTTCTGATCCTATCTATCATGTCATTTCTTTTCCTGTAACTGTCAAGGGATGGATTCTGAATGAACTGCATACTCGCCATAAGTTTGAGCTATTGGTGGACAAGATATAAGAAACTTACTTGACTTCTGAGCTAAAAAAAAATAAGTGTGGAACCTCTTCTATGTGCTAGTGTTGACACAGGAGCTTTAGTAGTGCCAAGAGGGGAATGCAGGGAGAAATTAAAAAAAAAAATTCATACCAGATGTGTTTAGGTGAAAATCTGTATGAAACGGACCTTTTAAGAAGTGTGAGTACTAATGTATTTGGATGCAGAGGAAATTTTTGAGGATATTTTTATATAGTTTTCAAATGGCCAGGTAATTTTTCAGAGTTGGCACTGTGCTGTTTTTGGAGCCTCAGTGTGTGTGTGTTTGCATGCATTCATGCATGCAAAAGAGAGAAAAGAAGGCATTTATAGTTGTGAATATGAGCCCCAAAATCATTACTCTGCCATCTTTGAAAAAATAATTATCCATAAGCTTGAAAAAAATAATAATTTAGATGGGACAAATAAAGTCCTTATATTCCCATACCAACTGATTTTTTTTTTTTTATAGTAATTGAGTTTGAAAATTTAGGATTAGTAGCACCATGGCCCCTTTGGACTAGGTGGTATGCATTAAGGCCCAAGTTAATGACCTGCTGCCATTATGAGTTAGATCATGTTCATCATTATCATTGTTTTATTACAATTTTCCTCACTTGGTTTGGATATCACACTTTTTCACGATGCACTTTTTTTTCCAGGAAAGGGTGGCTCAAATTCTCAAGCAGTTGTAAATTCTATAACCAAGTTACAAACTTTAATGGTTGATGGAAAAGTCTTGATGCAAGGAGGAAAGGTGAGAACAATTTACAATTTGTTGCTTAACTTGTTGAATATTATATAATTTTTTGGCAGATAATACAGTATGTGTGTTTGGGTTAGAATTCCACAGGAACTCCTATATTTTTTTTTTTTTTTTAATATTATATACTGCAATAGATTTATAACTAGGTACAGTATGTTGCTTAATATCTTTTGTGTAAGAGTATCATCGTTGTGTTGATTTGTGCCTTCACTTATGAAGAAAGTTGGTTAGGACCTGTAAGATCTATTGTAAATGTATCATTTATTAGCCACGTCTGCACACTCACTCTTAATGGCTTATCAATATAACTATTTTTTCAGAATGGCACACTAAGTTTTGGTAACTTAGGAATAAAGCAACATTGATTTGTGATTGTTATTTACAGTTAATTAGAATGATAACTAATGAGCATGTGGTTCTTGCAGATGGGACAAGCTATTACAGGTAATGTAAACATGGCGGGGAAGCAGGTCATCACAGGTGTCTTTCCTGGCCAGCATATTGCCACTGTGGAGAGTCTTCTGAGTCAAGCAGACAAGGCTACTCTACAAGGTGATTGGACTTTGACTCTTATTAAGTGTAATGAATCAGTCTTTCTCCTAACTTTCCTGTGTATATTTCTGAGCTTAACTGTTATAATAATCAAACAACCAGTGAATGTTAGTTTATTGAATGGAGTTATTAGTTAATAGATTTAAAAAATGATAATGATGGGAATGATTTTACCTAGCCATTATGTACAGTGTTCAGAAGAGGAATGGCAGTGAGTAGCTATTCAAATTGAAAGGTTTTTTTTTTAGATTTTCCATTGTTATGTTAATCCTTTCTTATCATTGTCTGCACTCTTCTTGCACCACTGCCCCTGTATGTTTTAATGCATTTCCTAATGTTTTTGTACCTTGTGATCCAGCCAGTCAGACATAGGGAGAGAGATAGATATAATACATTTTAAGTAGCAGTACAGTAAACACATAAAAAAGGTGTTTTCATGCAGGTGGAGTAATAACAACGATGGCAGGGAACAAGTTGGCAGGTGGGAATGTGATCCATCTGGCCGGGGGTGCTGGGGGTGTACAGAGACTGACGCTGGTGTCCCCACAAGGTTCCCACGTTCCTCTCAGTGCCACAAGTCAGAGACTAGTCCTTGCCACTGGCTCACAGGTATATCATGTTTACCCTTCTTGTTTACTTATCAGCCACCACACGTAGTAATGTACTGACCTTTTAGGAGGAAATAAGTCCCTAGCTTGTTAAGGATCCCTTCAGTTTGTGGGATAGAGGTTTATATAATTATGTATTAAGGAGAATTCTTTAAATTTTTCTGTAAGAATATTATGTGGTTTTGCAAAGAAAGTAGGAGCAAAGTTTTGAACAAATAATAGAATTTTGTTTGTACCTCTACATATACAGTATAGTGATGTCCTCAGACTTCTTATATTTTTATGATGTCACAGCATATCGGCAAAATTTAGTTCATTTGTAACTCCAGTTACAAGAATTACTTGGTCATTTGAGTAATATGGGGGTCCTCATTATCCGAGCTTAATTGGGACCAGAAAAAGGACTTGGACAGTGATTCCACAGATAAAGGAGAATTAATTCCCATAAGAAGTAATAGGAATAGGGACTAATTGATACCATTACATTGTAAATGATACTCAGAAAGTTTAATTTTATATCTTTTGACATCTTTATACCTTAGAAATATTGTTAAACATTTGATTACACATTATTTTTAAAAATTATTTTACTTTATAACTTATTTAAGATACTTTAAAGTCGTTTGGGATCAGTGTGTTGATGTGACGCAGGCTACCTTACCACGAGGTTTGCTAACTGCGCACACACGCACTATCACACTCATTTCAGTTAAAGTGAAAGTGGTTCATTGAGATACATTATTAAAATAAAAATAAAATGAAATACTGTAGTGTAAATATAAATAAAAAAAAATTTAACAGGGAATAATATTCGTGGAAATGGCACGTAATTATGTAGCCGAGTCGCCACCCAGTAGCATTGAGAGCGGGTAAGACCAAGCTGTGACCTATGTTAATGTTCAATTTGTAATTTTGGGTAGATAATGTAATTTTATTCATTTTCTTTTACTCTGTTACATGCACACACAGTCATTCATACAGACGTGCAAAATTTTTCTTATAAGGTAAAAAATATAAAAGTAATAAACATTTCTTACATGCTCGGCAGTTAACCCACAGAGCAGGGGAAGGGGAGCAGCATGGGGGATCTCTTCGCTGTTCTCTGTTTCATGTCCCGTGAAATAATTGCCAAATGACAATGCAGTATTTTTTCTTTTATTTATTATTATATTTATTTATTATTGTTTTTGTTTATTATTATTATTATTATTTGTATTTATTCCTCACATTTACTGGTACAGTATACACGCAGCACATTTCATCCGGGCAGTCACCATGCTGACTCAAGAGATGTGTGTGGCTGCTGCCTGTATGCTGTGACAACACATAGGGGGGAGGGAGAGTGCGGCTGGCTACAGTTACAGCTCTCTGCCTCGATACATAAGCTCATTTCCCACACATACACATCCAGGGATACCCATACACCACTTTACTTAGGTTTGGAACTAATGGCTAAAAAAATTCCACCAATTTCACCAAAGGCACAACAAAGTAACAAAAAATCCTCAGAGTACTTCTAAAGCAAGGCTTTGCAACGTGGGTGACTTACTATGCATGTATGGCACAGGCAAGGAGGATGAACTTTGAGAGAATGGGAGGCGGGCTGGAATTTCAAATGCTTATTCTCTTGACCTACGGATTTTATCCGTGGAATCCTCATAAATTCAGGGAATATTTACGTGTAGTTCTACAATAATTTGGGCTCTTGAATGTGGATCCACGAATAATGAATACAGTACTCGGATAACAAGGACCCCTGTAGTAGACATTTAGCATTTGTACTTAGTCTTGTAATGGATGATAATAACAGTAATAATTATTTTTTAAATAATGTACAGTTGCACTCATAAACCTAAGATTTAAAAACAAAATATTGTACTGTACATATAAAAAAGATAAGGATGTCTGCTCCTTTGTTGTTTTTCTGTATACAGTAATTTCATGGTAGAGGTGTTGAGGTACTATATGTTTGAAATGTATTAAGTCAAAACTCTTGCCATAAATCTACTCATGGTGTACCTCAGGCTGGAAAATTAGATGGGTCTGGGAGCAAGGCTCAGGTTGTTCAGACCATCCAGACGTTGCAGCCAGGCAGTCATGTTGTGCAGACGTGCCATGGGACAATCACCACCACCACCATTAGTACCACCACTACACCCTCTATCACCAGTACCACCACTCAGGTCATCACCACCCCTGTAGCCTCAACACCCACTGCTGTTACCACCTCACAAGCAAGATTTTTCTCTGTAGGCCAACAGCAAAAAGCAATTGTCCAGGTATGCAGTAATTTTTCATCTTTGTTTTCTGAATGGAGAAATTTAGTTGAAGTCTGTGGATTAATTGTTCTTTAGTGGCCACAGAAGTACTGCCATGTGATAGGTGAAAGGATAAATATTTTTCCCTTTGATTGCTGTAGTGCGTGGTCATACTTTCACTACTGTCTATGGCATAGATAGTATATTTGTTATTTTTTAATTATTCTCTTGCACAGCTTGATACTAACTTCTTTTTGCCTTTCACTTGTTTTCACTTTGGATGCCTGATTACTGAAACTGGCTACCCTCCTCTTCATGAGGTTAGATGGTTGCAGTTGTAGTAATCAGGTCTATGTGACATCTGAGATGATATCCAATTCTGTTTAATTGCCTTTGTTCCAACTTTTTGTTGATGGTCTGTTCATTGCATTGTACAGTCAACAAAAAATGTTTATGCACCTTTATGGTGTTATACAATATGATACACCGGATCAAGAATTCTGAACAACACTCATTTACGTGGGTGATTCCTGTTAGTTTCTCTGTATTAACTATATATGATATAAAAAATACACCATACTGATTGTACAATGCATCACACAACCTGAAATACCAACCTTACCAAATTAACATGGCCTCAGTTAGTGATCGTTGCAGAGGCCATCAGACCAAGGAGTGCAGAATATTTTTTTGCTGACTTTACATCAGCTTGGTCAGCATAAGTTTTTACAGAGCTTACTGCCAGATTAATTCATGCTCTTCATCACACTTAACCTCTTATGCAGGCTGCAGTTGCAAGTGGAATTACATGAGTGAATTCAGTAACTTGCAACATGTTTTTGGATATCTTTACTCTTTAGTGGGAAACAGAAAGTGTCCTTCTATATGTTGTTGCTTTTACATTACATCCTGTGCTGTGATGATTCACATTATGGTAGATATCAAAATAAGATATTTAACTGAGGAACAAGATACTATATACCATACCAATAAATGTGAGGAATAAATGAATATAATACCAATAAATAGAATTAAAAAATACTGCATTGCCATTTGGTTGCTGGATGATAAAGTATTTGTCAATTACTTCACTACACGGGACTTGTGCATGAAGAAATGTTTAATCCCTTTGTTTTTGACTATATATATATATATATATATATATATATATATATATATATATATATATATATATATATATATATATATATATATATATATATATATATATATATATATATATATATATATATATATATATTGAAGTTGCTATAGAATCCTGCTTGTTGCTTGTCAGTACTTAAGGTATGTAAGAGTTATGCATATCACACAGGCAGTTCCTATTTTGCTAAGCTTCAGTACAGTTATTTATGTATGTACTGTACCTACAATTAATGACTCGGAAGTGTAGGCCTCAATTTTTTTTTGAATTGTCAAGGTTTTCAAGTGACTGATGTTTGGATTTTAGAAGTGCAACCCATAGTATGCTTGTTTATTTCACTAACTTATCTAATTATTTTCAAGCGCTCGGAAAGTATTTAAGTCAACAAATAAGTTTTCAGTGTCATCATACTGTTCCCTTTGTTCTAATCTCATCTGGTTTCTCGTAAGTATAAATATAAAGCTAGTATTGTACTGTACTGCACTGCACTACATGTACTGTACAGTACAGGTATTTCACTTATGAGGTTAATGTGGGTTTTTTATTATTGTGCACCCCCCCCCCCTTTGTTTTGTTTTTTTTCCTTAGGTATCCTCGCATTTCTAGTAGGAGTCTCTGGATAAATTACTTAAATTTACTAAACATACATTTATGAAAGGGTTTCAGGAACGTAGCCGTTTTGTAAATCAGGGAATACCTGTACCTGCACTTTTTCTTTTATAGGCAAGAGTAAATAGGTATTATACAATGTGTCCTTTTGCCAATGCAGTATATAAAGCTTCAATAAGCACTTGACATTATATTTATACTGTACTAAAGTATAGTGTATGTATATATATATATATATATATATTTTTTTTCTTTCAGGGTTTAAATATGGCTGGTAAACCTTCAGTGCTCTCCAGTGGAGGAATTCGTCTAGTCCAACCAGGTGCGGGTGGAGCTGGGGGAGGGGCTGTAATGGCAGGTGGATCAACAGCAACTGGCAACCTTATAACAATTGGTGGCAAACAGGTGTTGCTTACAAGCAAGCCATTTGCACAACAAGGACAGTTGCAACAGGTGTGTTTTTAACTTCATTTTTCAGCACCTGCTCTGTACCTGACTTATGATTCTGATTTTATATTGTAATAGAAATTTGGGGTGAATATTATAATATTCTTAAACACTGTTTATAATGTTCTTTCTTAGAAATGGCTTCACTTTGTCCCAGCAAGTTTTGTTTTTTACAATCCAGTCACCATCCTTAGAGTTACTTATCAAGACTTCAGTTAATTAATTTTCCTCCACTTCTTTGGTTCACCCTTACTATGGCAAGGACTGACTGGAATCAAAAGCAATATTGACACCCTTATTAACTCATTTATTCTCTTTTACTGCCTTACCAGATACTGGTATTTTTTGCCAAATGAAAAAAAGATGTGTATACTGTACAATATGCTTAACTGAAGAAGAAATAAGAATTACAATACACCTATAGTGCAAGTCTAAATATACATTTGTTTAAATTTTCCCATGGTCTCTATATGTCTTGGAGTTTAGGTAAGATCAAAGAAACTCTACCACAGTACAGATAATACATAAAGAATTATGTACCTAATTATTCTTGTTTTGAGTACAGATGTACTGTATTCATTTGTTTAAACTCCTTTTCATACCCCACTGAGTTTTTGGTGGGGCAATATTGATTTGGTAATAAGTATTTTACAAACTTTTCATCCAGGCACTGTCGATTTCATAGATGTTGGAGTTATATATAGATTGATTAAAACAGAACCAATCATTTTTTTACTTTACAAATTTTGAAATTATTGTGATAGAATAAGTATTAATTAGTACCTCATTACTGTACAGGTGATGTTGACCAGTGGTAGCATAAAAGGTGGGATTCAAGGTACCCAGGGAACTCAAACTGCAGCGAGCCAAGGAGCAGTAGTAGTAGCCAGTGGGGCAGGAGGACAGCAGATAGTTCTTCCAGCATCTGCTCTCCAGGGTTCCCATTTAAACTTGAAAGGACTCCAGGCCTTCCACACTCTCAAAGTAATTCCTGCATCCCAAGTCACACAGCAACAGAGAGGTTTGTACTCCTGTGTAATAATGATCATTAATGCCACAACTCCGTGTTTTCTGTGTCCATAATATTTTGTTTTATTTGTAAATCATACAAGCCTCTTCCTGACATGACGCAGGGTGACCACAGGCGCTAGTCACTTGAAGCTTTAATTCAGCAGCAAGTGTGTTACTCGTACCTTCTTAGTAGGTTGCTTCTCCACACAAAGGTTGTTCTTCCATTGACAATTTCTCCTGACAGTGTATTCATTTATTGCCGAGCGAACAAGGAGGGAATCCAATCATTTTGCTCAAAATTTTCAGAGCCAGGTGCAATTATACCGTACTAAATAACCTCTTGAAGGCTTGAACTTGTTGATATGTATCATCTCATTTTCCTGTGTGGCACAGTGAGAGATACCCTGGAAATGTTGTCCAGCTTACATGTGTCTGTCTTCTTAGGCTGTAAATTAGCATTCTGGAGGACATTTTTTTTAATGCAATGTACAGTCATGGTCAAAAGTAGTCATTCACTCTACCACCTACTCCTTGCGCCTGGTCAGGTCATTTCTCCGCGGCAAGTCACGAGGAATGGAGAGGGTGAATGGTCGATTTGGGGGGAGTGGTGTGGGAGGGTGGTATGGTATGCAAATTGCTCATCAAGAGGGTCGGGGGTTGAAGAAAATTTTTAAATTCATGAAAGAAGGAAGAGAAGGATGAATGAAAGTTCTTCACTATACAAGCATGAAAGAGTAATAGATGAGGACCCTTATTTTATTATCATTATTACCTGTATAATGTGCATCCATTTCCTTCTTTATCATTTTTTTGGTTGTGGTTCAATTTTTAAATTAAATATTTATAATAACGTTGATATGAGGAGAAATATTGAATACAAGGGTGGAAATCACATTTACTTTTAATATTTACCAACACAGGTTATACTGAATCTCAATAGCTCATCCAAATGCTTTCCTTTTCAATAACCTCCTGCAGTGTTTTCTTGGGACCGAGGACACAAGGGTGGTCAAGTCAACTTACATTCTATCCAAGGGAGTGATCAAATAACATCCTAGTTTAGTGATACTGGTGGTGAGCAAGGTTGAATGCAAAGCCGTGTCCCTACTCTTTTAGGCTGTCATATCAGGGGCTTTCCCTCATGGAAGCCAGATGCCTTATCAACCCTAATAGCACATTACCTGCCAAAAGTCCATATGACACCTCCCTGGACTTCTGCCCTCCTGGTTGGTTGGTTGTTTAGGCGTTAGGCCTATCAATTACCAGGGTCATTAAGGCCATCAATGTCAGGCTACATCCACCAACCTTAAGGATAAATCTAAAACCACATAGATTAGATTCGATTGCCCCCGAGGGGGCTAGTTTATTGGGCACCCCCCTTACATCCTGTGCAAGGTGAAGTGCAGAAGCGTTTACAGCGCCCCATCTGGGAAGCATGCGTAGTTCATGTTTGCCTTTATGACTCATGCATTAAGGGCGTAAAAGCCTGAAGGGCCATGGGTTTTGTCAGCAAGTTACATAAAGTGACAGAATGACTAGTGTGTGGGGGGAAAAATTCCTGGTACACTATCTGTTTATGGCAAAGCGTGGCAGGTCCCTAATAATGTCAAGTGCCAGGCCATAGGCATTGACAATATTGAGGGACATACCTTTTAGTGTGATTGTGATGGCGTGTACGTCGGCAGTGTTGGGGGACGTCCTTTTTGGCGTAGATACGTAGGTCACTAGCATATCCTCATGGTGGAGAACTGGAGTGGATGGACCCCCAGGTGCCGGCATGCCAGTAGGGGATGGTGAGCCGGGGGTGGTGTACACTCTCACTAATTATGTGGCCCGTGACTTATGCCCTCCTACCCTACTTGGGTCCATCACCCCACACACACACACCCCCCTATCGATACCTGCATTACCCTCTTGTGACTCGTTTTGTAGAAAGGCTTCGAGCTCACCGTAGGAGAGATGGACGATTACTTTTGACTGCGACTATATGTTTTGGCATTGTCTGGAAACTTTAATTAGCCAATTGGTTGTTACATTTGTGTTGGTAAGTACTAAGTTATTTTTAAGAATATTAATGTGTTTGATATTAATACTGTAGCATAAGGACTTTTGAGCAGTGTCATGTACCATATATACAGTAATAATATAGAAATATGTTGAGCACACTTTCAGCTATTCATATTTTATTCTTATTCGCAGGCAAACCAGTTTTGGCACGGATAGTGTCCCCTGCGTCTGTGAGAGGAACAGTTCCAACAACTTCTGTCACCAACACTTTGCCCTCTGGACATGATTCTTCAAAATCTTAGGATCAGTTATTTGTACAGTTTTTTATAAAATCACTTCTGTTATGAAATAGACCATTATACCTGTATCAGTGGGTTTACAGTCAACTCCTAAGCCTTCACATCCCAATAATTATTTTGAATGAGAAAACTTATTCAGTTAATTATGCAGCTGCATAGTACAGTATTTCGTAAATGGTAACTGATTCTTTGTTTGATTGTCTTCCATCTCTGTCTAATATACACAACAAAACTTTAATTTATTTGGTTATTTATCATTGACAAAAAACAAGTTTTCAGTATACAGTATATATTTTATTTACATCCTTAGTCCAAAGAGTTGATATTTCAAGTTTGAAGTGATGAGAACTGTCTATTGTAGGAATATGACAGTTCTCTCCTCTCATAATGTCACCTACATTAAGATGTTTGGAGTAACTGCTGCTTAGAATTCATTATGAGAATTCTACCAGTGCTAAGAAAAGAACGTTGGAAGTTTGGGTGTTAGTATTTTATTCCTGTAAATTAACAAACTCACTTAGTTTTATGTTGCCAAAACATAGAATAAACATTACCGTTACTCTGTGTAACTATGAATTATTATATACAGTGAAGTTCACATAAGTCAGCAGGAAAAATGTTTATTATTTACTTGGGAAATATCAAGATTTTCTGTGATAGTCATATTGACATATTTTGTGGATATTTGAAGATCATTCAATATTTTGCACGGTTGAATGAATGTTATATATGTGTCACGAGGTTCATGTATGTGAGATTGATATTATAAATATATTGCTGTAAAAAATTATGTATGTTTTATATCCTGACTCGCCCACATGGACTCGATTCATCACATCTTCTGGAATTTGTGCAGGGCCGGCTTGAGGCATAGGCAGACTAGGCCTCCAGCCCATAAGGGGGACCCCTGATGCCTCCTTCGGGAATTTAGTTCAAAATCTCTGAGGCTGGCCGAGTGTGAATTTTTAAAGTTATCTGCTGAGTTAGGAACCCTCCTATTAAAAATTTGAACCTTAAAAAGTATTACAATACTTTACATGTTGTGCATTACCAAACTAAACAAGTAAGGGAGGCTGTGCTGGATATGAGGAACAAAGTCACAGACCCTGTGACAAGGATAGAGGCCCAGTCACTGGCGGAAGAAGTTGGGTCTTACTATTTTTTTATATGCACCGTGATACGGTAAGACATTCTGCAACAAATAAAAGTGAGCAAAAACTTGCAGTCTACTACCCTGCAGCTTGATGTGGCTTTGAGCTTACTCAAGAAAACTAAAGCCTCCCTGGTGAGCTACCGTGAGAATGGATTTGTCTCGGCACAAGCATCAGCTAAGGACGTGCGAGGAATGAAGGTGAAGGCTGCGTTAAAGGAAAAGAGACTTGGAATGATGAAGAGACACTTTGGATATGAAGCTCCAGATGAGCCAGTTTCTGATGCTTCGAGAGGATTAGAAGTGTATTTTATCATTATGGTGGTAGACTGTCATCACATCACTCAATGATAGGTGCCAGAGCCTGGGAGATGTTAAGAGACAAATTTGGAGTTTGGAGTTCTTTTTCACTTTCTAGATCCTAGGTTTTAGAAATATTAATGATATGTAAATTACTGAAGTAACAATAAATTGCAACAACAAATTGTTAGTACTGATTTGCTTTCCCTTTGAGGAGGGGAGGCCAGGATGGGAACGTTTTTCCATAAGATAAGAGGGGGGCCCTAAAAGCCAAGAGCTGGCTCTGAATTTGTGTCATATATTTGTGGAAAATAACTGATGCTTTGAAATTGTTTATGGACAGGGATTTATTTTTCAAGTGCCTGATGTCGAAATGCTTTAAGCTGAGGATGTCTTACAAGTTCAGCCATGTTTGTTTGTTTTAGGCTGGGTTATATTTATTTCAAAGTGAGCTATCTCTGTTTTAAGCTGAACCATTTACATCTCAAGCATAGCCATCTCGTTTAAGCTGGGTCATCTGTTTTTCAAGCTGGACAATTTATTTTAGTTGAACCATGTGATAAGCTGAACTGTGTACAAACCAAGTCATCAATACGTTTTAGCTGAATCATCCAAATTCATTCCAAGTCATATTTTTCAAGCTGAACCACCTGTCTTTCAGGCTGATCCATCTTCTGTATTTTTCAAGTTAACCATCTTGTTTTGAAGCTGAGCCATCTATTTTTCAAGCTGAGCCATTCATTTTTGAAGCTGAATCATCTAGTTGTCAAGGTTGGCCATTTTTTTTTTTTTCAAATTTAACCATGTTTTTTCAAGCTGTTCTATTTATTTTTCAAGCCGAGCCATTTTTTCAAGCTAAACTATTGAATTCTCAAGTTGTGCTATTTAATTTCAAGCTGAACTATTGATTTTCAAGTTCTGTTTATTTTTCAAGCTGAGCCATCTATTTGTCAAACTTGGCTATCTATTTTTCAAGCTGAACCATCCATTTGTCCAGTTATATGAAAAGAAAAAATGGTACTGTCGATTTCCCTGCAGTAAAAGAACAGTAATTTCCGGGTCTCATATAAAGACTCAACAGGACAGTCTTCTCAAATTAGCAAAGTTATGACAATTACAGTACTGTATATGTTACAGTGTAGTTGGCTCATGGTAGTCTGTCTTGTGATAAGTAAAATTCATAGCTTTTTACTTACAGCATTTTAGCTTTTATTAATAAAAGTAAGTCCTGAGGTGACATTTTAACAACTTTCCCACGACTGGAAGAAGAGTGTTGTAGACCGCAGCTATGGAACAAGAAGGTTGGCAAGCTACTAACCATATGCATCTTGAGTGAGTACAGAATTTCAGATCAGTTTTGTCATTGTAGTGACTTAGGGATCTTAACAAGTTGTACTGTATAGTTTTAGTGCAATTTTTTTTTTTCGGTGGAATCATAAGAGAACTAGAAATACCTTCTCATAATTAATACTGTAGTGGTGGTAGATCTAGCATATGGTAGTATAGTAATAGAAATAGTGATATCTCCATTAGCCGGAATAATGGGTGCAGAGCAATTCCTGAATAAAGAGATTTCCGAATATGGATATGGAGACGAATTTTCGATGCGGGGATGCTTGCTGGTTAGCTAACTTAGGCTGTAGTCTTGCACGCTGGGATTAGCTCATACTATCATGTGAATGTATGGGATGCCTGTAAATGGCGGATGCATTTCCCAGCTCATCCCCTTCAACCCTAGCATCACGTTGCGCTTAATTCATAGTCCGCTGCCACTGTACAAAGTTATTTCCTCGCTTGCTGTTTTTGTGTACAATCTGTGTTGTGCAGTACTGTACTGTACCAGGACACAATTGGCTAAGAATACAGTTATGATGTAAACGATGATTTCAGTGTATTTTTACTGTAAATTAACATTTAAGTGTGAGCATTGTACTTTTGGTACTGTGCAGGCCATCCTGTATCATCATATCACCATTTGGCTTGCCTGCATCACAAACTCAAGATGACAGGATCTGCTGGTTGAGTACAGTACAATAGTAGTACATAATACCATACATTATTTTCTTTTTTGAATTAATGGGGTCCAACTATTAGATGGAAAGATAACTGCAATATGAAGTAATCTTACTGCTTTAATCTATTAAATAAAATTACTATCTTGACATGTAAAGCTGTTAATATACCACACCATTTGTGTAGAAGCACGTGTCACAAAGGGGATTTTATACTTTGTCTTTTGCCTCTCATGTGGGATGGAATAGTATGTGCAGCTATTGACACCTGTAAGGATAATGACAATTACTGTATTTTATATATATATTTTTATTTGATCAAGTTTTGAGTGTGATTATGAGGAAAGCTGCAGACTTCTGAAATCTAGTACGTATTTGGAATATAGTATTTTGTGTAAATAAAAACATAGAATGTGAACCTCCAGGCTATGGATATCTCATAATAAACTAATTAGGTTTAAATACTGTATTTCATGGAAATCATATTTTCATTTATTGTTTGATATTCACAATAGGGATTTCAAAACGTAATTTTTACTGCAATGCAGGAGAAAGATGGACATTAACTCATTCAATGTACATACCACATAGGTACAGTCTGCCTCTGGCAGAAACCCTTTGTCAAAAGTGCCACCAATCTCACTGAATGGGTTAATATTCAAAATCTTGGTATCATTTATTTCACTGCTAAACTTTGTAGGAGAAAGGAAGAGCCATGGAAATATGGTGCTAGGTGTACTGGAAGCATGAGATTATTCATTCAGACTTTACAAGTGTTGCTTTGAATTCAATTCTCAGTCAATGTTCAATCCACATTTGTTCTTAAATATACATTTCAAGAACAAGCTCTGTCTCATGAGGTTACAGGAAGAAGTATAGCCAATGCAAAAGACAAGCACTTGCCAAAGTTTTTCGGCAATCTGTCTCAACAAGTGAGGAAATGTTTAAAATTCCGACTTGTACAGTAATGGCTTTTAATACAGCCGAGACTGTCGAGCCCCGAAAAACTCATTTTCCAAGTTGACAGGTCATTATTTCTCTTTACAAGTAAAAAAAAAAAAACTCCAGTGTTACACTGATAAGTAAAGAGTGGCCTTCTAGAAAGGGACATGGGACCAACAGAACTGCAGTAACCACCAAGTTGGTGCATTACTCAGCCTGCTTAGTGGTCTTAAATCACTTGAATCTGCATGTATATTGATTCAAGGCCATATCATTCATATAACTCAGTTTACATTATAAGACACTGCAACTGACTAATTCTTTGAACTAGGATGCCCTAGCTAAGCATGGAGTACATACAGATATTTTGAATGTCGGTCAATGTCATGAGGATCTCTGCACTTATTTAAAACTAAATTTCTAACCCATACTGTTGGGTGCTGTAAGAGCATCTTGCTTCACAATTGCTCTGGGGGATGAAACAATGTATTGATGCAGAAAATACATTGGAATTTTCCTTCGGCAGACAATAAAAGGATTTTTCCTTTTCCAGTTTTTGGCTTTAAAATATGAAGATTTATGGGTGCTACTGCCTAAGGTAGCATATCATTTTTATAAAGGTGCATACAAATCCATGCAATTGTTAGGGATAATCAGTGTGGTGTTAGGCTCTTCCCACTAGTTTCAGGCACTTAGTGCTATGACATCATTTTTTCTCTTAGTGTGTACAAAAGCATCATAATGACCAGTATGACCTGCACATGGAAAGCATATAAAAATCTTGCACAAGGTCACTCTTCCTAGAAATATAAGCTCACAGCATTGATACGAGCTGATAAATTAGATCAAAGGTGCCTTAGTCTGATTTATAGTATAATGAATGCAGCTAAGTGGATAATGTAATGCACATATCAAAGCTAGAGGAGTAAGGTTTGAGTTTCCAAGACCTCTGTGTTCCCTGTATTACTCTATAGATAAGAACTAAGATTTAAATGCTTACTCGAGGAAACCAACACTTATTTAAATGCAGCTACTGGAACAGGAGACTGCTTGGTAAGACCAAAAACTTATCTGCCAGAGCTATAGCAACAGCTCTGGTGTTACTGGCATAATTCATCTAAGGTGATGATGCGTGTTTTGTGAGAAAAAAAAATCATGTTGAAAGGGCAAAAGGCTCGATTATAAGTTATTTGTCGTAACATGTCAATCAGCCACAAACATAGATACTGTACTTGGAATGTAAGGCGTTATGCCTGAAGGCTCATTAAGTGTGAAACTGAGAATTGAAGTTGACAGGAGTACTCTAATAAAATAGCATGCAAAATGCTTCCAGACTTGGCATGAACTAGTACATGATACCTTATGGTGAATTTTCTTTTTTACAGTCCTGTAAATGTAGTACAAAATAATGATTTATATTTACATTTATGTTCGCTAAACTTTCAATATACTTTTCATCATTCATTCATTTCTATCAAGGATAAAATTTTGCATTTGATGCTGAATTATAGTTTAATGGCTATATTTTAGGTACAGTATCTTATTTTGTAATTCATCCATAGCCAATGGGTTTATTGTAACATAAATTTTTAGTCAGTCACACACACACACACACACACAGTGAGGACTTGTCAATGATACTCTCACAAACATTTATCAAAGACCTTTACCATAACACTTCAAAAGAATCTCACTATACACAAAAGTAAAAATATTAGTTAATTCAAATATAGTAAACTACTGTGCTTAAAAACACTGAGATGAAACCTGGTCTAGAAAACATCTAAAACAATGAAACCAGACAATACATACACAAAATAAAATAAAATCTATGTACAAAAAATTAAAAAAATCTGAAACAAGCACACAAGTTATATTTCACATTTCCAGAATCACAAAATACCATTGGCACTCATAGGTAAAACATACTGTTTGGGAGAGTGGGAACTTAAGTTAATAAACAAGAACACACTCTTCATTTTGACTATTCTGGATGCTTTCAATTCAATATGATCTATCATGCTAAAAAACTTAGCACACAGGTAATTTTATAAAAATAAGAAAGGTAATTACAAAGATATCCCAGTCACAAATGAAGTTGGTTCATGTTATTTTCTCAACAAAATCTATATAATTACATAACTGGTCATTTCCTGTAACACAATCAAGTCATTATTTCACATAAAAGAAAATTATGACAATTGTAGCTCCATAAAAAAAGTACATTTTTGAAGCATAAAAAATGAAGACAAAATTGAGATCAACTAAAAACAGCAGCGTCAGAAGTCTTAAGAACAGTCAAAGGCTTTAACACTCTTAGATGGTGATGATGCAAGTTAGGACTACCACACGTTGAAGTTTTATTAATGATTATCACACTACAGTATATCCTTTACCATTTGGTCACTGATATTAGTAAATTAGTTTACACAAAGTACAGTACTACATAACTGATACAGTACCTTTGTAAATGCCATTAATGAAATTTTATTTGGAAATTTTTTTTATTTCTCCTGTCTGAACAGTATGATGAAAGTAAATACATAAATGATGTGAATGCAGGAATTTCCATGAATTATTTGTGTGTGATAATTATAGTACAACTCCATTGTACAAGCATTACTAACAAATGAATATATTAAACCTAATTCCTTCACTTCACTTGCCCAAGCTGGCACCTACAAAACCTCACTACATGTCTAACATCACATGTGTGTACAAACCATAAAATATATGTAAAAAATGAATTGTACATTCATATAGGCCTAAAAATAAATACATTTTTTAGATATCTATACACAATGCAGTATTTTTTTTTATATATGAACAACTAATATTGTGAAAATATCAAATACAGATTTAATATTTTCCTTCACCGTTGATACAGGCTTACTAATAATTTCTTCAAAGCCAATATACGGATCAGCTAGCTAGGACTTGCCAGCAGGTATTATTAATCCCTGATAAAATTTTGACAATATGTCATTATTGGTTTTCAGACCATGGATCACACAAGTAGTTAGATGTGTGATGAAGAACTCGTATAAACAGTTACAGAATTATACTGTAATATGGTTCAGTAAGTTCTTTGAACACACCACCAGAAGAAAAAGACCAGTAATGATGTTGATAATATAATGATTACACCTAAAGTAAATTACTGTACTGTATGTGCTATATAAAAAAAAATCATTTCCATAATCACTGTCTAATAACTTAGTTCAATGAGTGTTTACTTTACATTAATGTACTGTACAGTACTTGATAAAAACATAATTGTAAAATTTTAGAAACAAAATAAAAGGGTAAAAGGTGGGTGAACTCTCAGTATATACTGTACTGTATATTAAAACATTCTTCTACTGTGGACACAGGAGTCACACAAATGCCTAACAAGGCGCAATCCTTCAAAAGTCGAGGCATTACTGATGAGTAAGTTGCGTAGGCACATGGACACATAATGTTCAATGTAGTAACAATAGAATCATATAATTATTAGTTTACAAGGAGGCATTCCACCATAGGGGAATTTGGCAAGCTGCCTGCAACACACATTTACTTCACCAATCTGTGACTTAATTAAAACTTTCCAATTACTGTACAGAAGATGTTATTCTCACAGATTTAAAATAAGCACACAATTAATGTACAGGATATATTTACAACATTATGTCAAGTAACATTAAAAACATGCAAGATCAGTTGAAGTCTTAGTGTAGTAAATTTACTTGAAATATGAAATATCCAGAAGCAAACTTCTACAGTACTTAGACACTTCATTGACAAATGCATGTATGATTTCTCAGATTAAAACTTAAAAAAAAGAAACAAAATCTTTCAAGCTACTTCTCCTGGCTTTACCTTAAGCTCAACAATGAATTCATCCCCAGAGTGAACATTAATCGTGTACAGCTGCTTGCTGTTAATCTTGAGTTCTTCAGGTGCATAAGCCACACCATAATCAACACCTTTATCATGATAAAAGATGCGCATCTTGTTAGGTGGCAGCCCAAACTGTAATACAAACCAATTACCAGTTAATAAATATTTGTTTGCCTGAAAACATACAATACAGTAAACCCTCGATAACTCGGCATTTGATAACTCAGAATTTCATAAACCTCGGCATGGATATGGTCTCGGAATGTAATACCGTACAGTAGTATAACTCGGGAAATGCCGAGATATATAAAATTATCTGGGAAAATCTCGGCATATCTGGCCACCTGCATCACCTACCATACCTCTGTGTCACCTACCATGCCTTTGTGTAGGAGGGGGGAAGTGCCGCGATAAGTCGGAATTGGGATAACTCGGCAAGGTCAGAGCCCCATATGTGCCAAGTTATCAAGGGTTTATTGTACATAAATCCAAGAAAGCACAATTTCTTTTAAAATTTTTGGAAAAAAGATATACTGTACTGTACTACAATTGAATTCTCATGATGAAACTTTAAACCCAGACAACATTGATGATATCTATGAAAGGAAAGGAAAGGAAGAATTAGCACGTGAAATTGAGTTTAAAAAAAAAATTATTTATCAATTGTGCTACTTCAAGCAACATTTGTATATTATTTAGATGAAAAATGTAGCTAAAACCATGAAGGACAAGCAAAATGAAAAGTTTACCACAACCACCATTTGCATAGACCCATCTTAATTTATGGTATGTCTTATACAGTATCACCATCTTACAAACAGAGTGTTCAACCAACATACCTCAGGTTCAAGTTCCTTCTTTAAATCCAGGACTCTAGCATAAACGCTTATAACCTTCTGAATGGTCACTTCTCCAAACCGTATAGTCACATGAACTTCTTTTTCTGGTTGAAGACTGACTTCTACCAAGGGATCCAACTCTCCATGATGGTGTACCAGTTCATCATATCTGCAATTGTGTAGGGAATCACATACAGACACCTCTCAATTTATGCATACAGTATTTGGTTGATGCCATGTTAGAATAACACGCATGCTCCATTTACACTTCTTTAATTAAATTTGTGGGCCTATGTTTGGAATAACATGACCATCGACAAACTTCATCACTGGGTTGGCAGCGCATGGGCGTCACATTGCCAGCACTATACAAGAAGGACATGTGGTATGGGTATGCAGCCTTGCAGTCCTTGGTGCGTGGATACAGTACTTTGTGTTGCAGTATACTGTATATTGCACGTGTTTTGCCCCTTGCATCATGCCACCAAGGCATCCTTTATGTTATCTCGGTACTAGTGGTCTTACTAAGAAGCATAAGGCCATCACCACTGAGATTAAGCTGCCTCTCAAAAGTTGGTAATGCTGTACAGATGCCATAGCTACTTCACTCCTGAGCAGCTGCTTCAAGTATATAAGGGATTCGTTCATCATAACTTGGAGTACTGCTCTCACATCTGGGGTGGCTCTTCTTCTATCCAACTGTTAGATAGGGTGGAATCAAAGGCATTTCGTCTTATTAACTCTCCTCCTTCAGTTGACAATCTTTCTTCCCTTTCTCTTCGCCGCAATGTTACTTCACTCTCTCTCTTTTGCAGGTACTTTAACGGGCATTGTTCGGTGGATTTGGCATCCTGTGTACTGCCGGCAAGGCCGTAGGCTCGTAACACACGTCTTGGCAGCGGTGCCCACCGTTTCTCTGTGGATGTTGGTCACACTAGAATAACCTGTTATAGTGCACCCTTCTTTCCTCACACAGCCAAACTGTGGAATGCTCTGCCTTCTTCTGTGTTAAAATACTCATACAATCTGTCTCAATTTAAAAAGCTGGTTTTCAAGCATCTTCGTGGTGTAGATTAATACAGTACAGCATAACCTTTTTCTTTTCTATTTTTAATTTCTTTGTTCTTATTTTTTGCCCCCCGCCCCGCTGTAGGTCGTTTGACCTGTGCCCGGGTGGGCTAATTCCTGTAAAAAGAAAAAAAAGAGAAAAAAGAAAAAGAATAGCTACTATTACACATGCCCTTAAACTTTGTGAATTTACTTTACAGACTATTTGTGATAGTGCAGAGAAGATCAAGGAGAGTGCCAAGAATGGAACGTTAATCAGTGCATCTAAGACCTCATATTCCTGAAGTTTGATTACGGAAAGAATGTTGAGCACATGGATCAAACACCAAACTCATGAAAATGTTCCCATCAGCAAAGGTCCTGGTATGTGTATACAGTACTGTACTGTATTTTTTCAGAGGTATAATATTGGGCACTGTCTTATTAATAGCGAAACCTCCAAATCTTCACTATTTTCATTGTTTGATTTACGCAATTTCCAAGAAAGTAATTAACACAAAAATCGAGAGGTTTCTGTATTTACTTGGGAGCATATACATTTCACTTATAATTATCGTGCCTGAACCTTTAAAGCAATTAGAAAAGAGTAAAAATGGATGGTACTGAAAATCATTTGATACTAAAAATTCATTTGAATGATTAAGCTGGCTATTGTAACAATCACTCACATTTTGAAGCATACAGTACATATGTTTTTCTAGATTTTCTCAAAAACCAGTCGCCATTCTCATAACTAAGATCATATACAATATTTGAAATTATTCCGTAAATAGAAACTGACATGAGAATGATTTTTTTTTAAAGTGTTTATTGGTAAAAACATAATATTTTATCTTGATGTAAAAATATAAATTAAACTAAAATGTGCAAACAGTGTACAATATTTGTTCACAAGAAAAAGTTTGAAAATGGTAAAAGAATTTAAATTTAGCTAAATATGGATGGGACTTGTCAAAGTGAAGATCAACAACAACAAAAATAATGCAGTTAAAGTTGTCTTTACCTTTGTGGCCGGATTTCTTCGTTCATGTAGTATCTAATAAATGCCCGCTCAGCATTCTCTCTCTCTTCTGGAGTAATTAATCCTCCACCATTTAATCTCTGGATTCGCCAAAGTCTGGCTATTGTTAGTTGTCGTCTCTCTTCATCTTTATAATTCTGTATATAAAACAATATAATTAACTGATGATTAATTTATAACAAGTTAATGTGAGAATTATAGAATATATTTGACACAAAATGAAGTTTAACTTTACGGAAAAGGTAGGATAACATATAATAATTTAATAATACAGTATAATTTTTGTGGTTTACAGGTAAAGGAAACTTTGTCATTTAACAATTTGATGATGAAATTTTGATGGCAAGGCTTCTCAAAATCTAAATCTTACTCTGATGGTTTAGTCTGGCAGAGGCAAGACATGGAGATATACTATGAAGGTGAAGCCTGCAGTGGAAAGTCTGGGATGAGGTGAGTATTTGTTGCATAGGCATACTGGGTGAACCTCTTTAACTCAGCAACACTGGGTCCTGACAAGAGCCAGTCATAGAATTTTCTGGTTTATCAGAGTTTACATTTAAGCTATATGGTAAAAATTACTTAATAGAACTTTTAGCTGTCACATGGAACAAGATGGCCACCCAGGATGTGCAGAGACAATAATACTCTTCTGTACCTGTACAATGTTCATCTCTTTCAATGTACAGTATTTATTTTTTACAATTATTTTTACAGGACACAGAGTGGTGAACTTTGTGTGACCCCCGCCCCCCAGTAGACTGATATTTTCCTTCCCTAGAACAAACCCCAAATAATACACAAGGTCTATCATTTGATATAAAGGTTTTTCACTTAACGTACATCGGGCATACCTGTAATATTTTAAATACTGCACTGCCAAACTAAATCACACATTAGAACAACTGAGTACAGTAATTAATATTGCTAAAAGGAAATACAAGTAACTCTTATCCGAGGCATGTTGAATACTGTATTGACATACTGTATACAGGGGGTCCGGGTCCCTGGGTTACAAACAGGTTCCATTCCCGAGGACGTTCTTAGGTCAAAACACATCCTATGTGCAAACCTTACTTACAAAACAATGTTTAAAATCCCATTATATCATAGCCTAAGTCCTTATATACATCTAAAATCACTTAATTTAAGAGAAAAGAAGAGATAGAATGACAAACTACAGTAAATGAAAGTAAAAAAAAAAAAGGCATCAGGTAAATAAAATACTGTAAATTGAAAGTTTAACCTCGTTCGTATCGGCGAGCATTTGTAAGTCAGGGACTCCCTGTATACACATAAAAGTGCCTTTTTATTACATCTCAGTATTCTTCACTTATGCAAAATATATAAAATAATTTTCAAACTATTAATGAGAAAACAGTATAGTACCAGCAAATAATAAACTGTTGAGAGAAGTGAGTTACACATACTGCTTCCATGCACCTTGATTACTGTAATTAAATATTCACCTACTGATAATGAATACCTCAACTTACCTCGTACAATGGACACTGCTGGAGTCTTAATTCTAACAGCTTAGGAAACATGTTGACTACATCTACTGAATCCCATGTACAAATTTTTGTGCTGTTGAGGGAAAGGTATTTGAGATTGGGAAAATTTTCATGGTACTGCCCGTCTCCGGTCAGGGTACTCAGTGGACACTCGGCCAGGATCAACACCTCCAGGAATGGGAACATCTGGCCGAGAGATTCAATCTGAAATCATTTGTAAGGTCATGTGGCAAAACATTTGAAGGACCATAAATTATATATGTATAATGCTTTCCTTAAGCTAATCTAAATCATTTTATTACTCCTTATCATAATATATATATAAATACAGGTATATACTGTATATATATATATATATATATATATATATATATATATATATATATATATATATATATATATATATATATATTGCTTAATACCTTGATAAACAATGCCATCCCTCTAAATTTAATTATCCCAAGATTATGATGACTTAACCCCTCAAATAAAGCATCTTATCTTTGAATATGATGTCCTATTGCTTTGAATACTATGATTATACTGTACAGTACTGTACTCAGGGGTTAAGTTGTCATATTCAAGTTGTTAATGGGTGTTTTCTTCTTTCCATTAACCCCCAGGCTTCAGTGCCTGTCATATGACATTGTAATTTTGCATTATTGCTTGAAACACCAAATGGGCCTGGCTAGATTATGCCTACCAAAGCCTGGGAGTGAAGTATAAATACTGTACAGTATGGTATACAAACATCCAGTATATAATAAGCCAGTCCTCCCTCAAAAATTGTTCTCATGCTTAACAGTACTGTATTTACAATAAGAGAATAAAAATAGGAATATCTTAATGTACTAGCTACATAGATATACTTGAGATTCCTCATGAGAAGGTAATTTTACATTCATGGGGATAAGGTGTTTGGCTCCTTCAGCCTCTCTTCCGTGCTTATCACTGTATTACTAACTACTGTACACATAAAAGTTCATATATTAGCACATGTATCGCAAACTATATTCAACTGGCTCTGTTTAATTGTCATAGAATGAGCTGTGACCTTGACTTTTGACCTGAGGACTACCAAAATTAATAGCCTTCCTGTTCTACCAATAAAGGTTATTTTAGAAATATTTTGAAATGCCCAAGGTTAAACTGAAGTTGAGTCTATGAATGGACAGTATAAGAGGGGGGAGGAACAGTTTAGCACCATCAGCATAATACACAAAACTTCAATAAAAAATTATGTGGTTTCCTGTTGCTAAGACCCTCAAAAATCCCATATGCAGACTATGTGGTCCTTAAGATATATGGATTTCTAGGTTTATTTACCTTTGGGAGGGATCAAGTAGAAAACAAAGGCATGTGCCATTACAATGCTCCTCTATCCTGTGGTGCTTAAGAAACTACAATGACTAGACAAATCAAGAGTCTCTCCACATTAAATACCAGATAGAGAGATACTGGGGGTGGGAATAGATTGTAAGTGGCAGGGAAAAAAGGACAAGCAAAGCCTAAAATTTATGAAATACTTGTATTAAATTTATGAAATACTTGTATATCAGAAAATGGCTCGGTTACACATCGCTTAATAAAAGGCAAAGAACAGCTTCTAGGCTCTAAGCATAGCCTTTCTATAAACCACAATACCTTCTGAACTACACTATTGTAAACATCTACAGTAGTTCAATCTCAGCAACTCAACTCTTTCTTGCCTTGAGCTCATCAATTGTATTCTTTACAGTGTCTTTGGCTTCACATCACATGCAACACACTCTAAAATGGAATATATCTCTACCTTGTGTTTCTCATAAGATAAAAGTGTTAACATCATCCTCCATTATAGCTGATAATAATTATACCTGTACAAGTATTAGCACATGCATTAAAATACCTCTCTCCACTCTGTGCTGGGGTTGTTGTTAAAGTGTACACGACTAACAGTGGAATATTTCTTAGGGGTTGTCTCCACTTTCTTGTACCCATTTTTACATAGATGCAATTCTTCTACCCTGAAAAATAAAGACAGAAATTAATAAGAATTATGTAAAATACAAAGGGAAACCAAAGTAATTTCTGATACTAGTCAAAGATTAAAAGGAGATGTTCCAGTATTTCTCTCAATGAAAAGGTAAAGAGGCAAGCCCTGAACGATATATATTTTGAATAGAAAATTGCTTTCCGAGAGAGACTGAGAGGAAATGAACAAGTATGGTATGGAATGAACAAAATGAATACTACTGTATACACTTTATAAATAAATGTGTGCAAGTCTTATAAAGGAGCATACAGTATGTGTAACACAGAATCTGTGTAACCAGGGATTTCATGTAATCTATAATATGTTCAGGTTAATTGTTAGGGTAGGGTAGGTTACAAGTTTTATGAAGAAATATGAGAAAGTCGAATAAAAGAATAGGTGGAAATTTAATGAAATGGGTGCAATTTTCATATAGTAACATATGCAAGTTTGGTAAAGAAACATATCTGTAAGTAAATTAAAAAGACAGATAGTATGTTTAATTTACACAAATGGAATGAAAAATTTTACAAGTTTGTCAGTCCTTGAGTATCTATTAGAAAAATCAGGGGACATGAATATCACTTAAGCACCTTTTGCAGTACTGAGGATGAAGGGGTACCTGAAGATATAAACTCATACTACCTTGGAGCATTTTCAAGAAGAATATGGATGTCCTTCCAAGGCAGCGAGGTTCCATTGAGTACAAGGCGCGTCAAATTTGTGAGGCTTACGACATCAGAAGGATCTGTGATGGGGGCTTCAAATGAATTGTAACTCAGATTGAGAAACCCCAGACCAGGTAAGTGTCGTAGAATCTTGAATACCTGAAGATGAGAAATACAACATAAAGTAGCTGAATGTAGATCTGGATCCATATTCTTAAGATTTGAATATAAATTTCCCCCCTACCTTTTGATGATAGAATACTTTAAATGTTGATTGGTAGAATGCAATACAAATGGATAGGTTTGACATAATTGAGACCCATTAGACCTACAACCTGCCCAACCACCTCACTTAATGCTACACCACTATTTTTCCTTTAATAATTACTACTGTCCTGGTGTAAAAATGTGTATAATGTATCTGGTTCACCCGTTGCTTCATAAGCCTGCAACTAACATTAGCTGCATCTCCTCTAAAAATCACTCAAAGCCATGCAATTCACTTCTTCAAGGGCACGGCTACTTCCTGAATGTCTATTCCCTATCACTTCCAATGTATCCTTCACTCAATCCTTGCATCTCCTTGATCTCCTTTTCATCCTGCTATTCGCCTCTGACTTACCCACTTCCTCCAATCTCTCAGTATGATCACACCACTTACTTCCCCCTTACTTCATACTGTCTTTCCTTCATCATATTTACTCCACATAATGGTCCCAAGCACATAATCTTTACTGGTTCTAATAAGCCTCTTTCTAATGCACTCAAAAGTCCACCAAATCTTAAAAAAAAATAATAAAAAAAAAAAAATAAATAAATAAAAAATTTCAAAGATAATCAGAAATTTATGTATATTTTAAAATATATAGAACATTATGTTAAACACACAGTTTACATAAACAATTAAAAAATTTACCTCCTTCCATTCTTTGAGTTTATTCCTTGATAGGTCCAGCTCCCGCACACCCTCACACTTTCTCTCGACCTCCTCCTCATCTCCAGCTTTCTCTATGTCACACTCAGAGAGGATGAGGACTGAAGGAAGCCGCTGTCGACCAGAGCGCTTAAGGGTAAGTGCCACACAAGCAGTTTCCGTTACTTGTGCATCTGGACATTCATCACCGTACTTTAAGTCTACTGCTTCTGGTAAGCTTGGCATTGTGCTGTATAAATAAATAAATTTGTATATTACCATAACAATAATATACAGTACTACTTAAAAAATCACTGTGCAAATTATACATTGGTTTCAGTAAGAATACTTTTTAACAAAAACAAGTGAATAAGACATGCAAAATAACATAATACAAACAACTGGTCATGTGCCTAATCAATACAGTGTCTCTCACAATTCAGAAAGTTTTGACTTAGAAGAATACAGTTAAATAAGTAGAGTAAATAAAAAAATTGTCTTCAGACTTCACTGGTTTTTTTCGTATATATATATATATATATGCGTACCCTGTAATTAAATTCCACTTTCACGGGGCCACTGTGGTGCCTGCTAAAACCAGGGGGCTTTACATATTCTAACAGCAGGCTAGATCATCCTGTAGGATTGATATAAATTACTGCCGAGCAACTTCTCAACCAGCAAATCAAGACTTTATGACTGGTGACTAATTTGAGTCACCCTTTGTAAACTTCACCATCTGCTTGAACATGTCAAGCCTTTTACTTTTATCCTCTTCGCTACTGATCGGCTCGTTAGCCACTTGGGCTGTAGTAGGTTCCCCAGCAGGTGCTCAAAAGTCAGGAGATGCCTCACTGGTTATGGCACTTACTAATGATACACAAGCAACCAATTATCTAGTTTAGGTTACTCTACATTTAGTTAAGGCCCAACTAAAATGTAGTACAAAACAGTTGTATACTGTACCATTATGTATTTTCTTACCTTACATGGATGGATAGGTAGTATGCAGTAGTATGCAATATTTCTTAAACCATATGTCAAATCTTTTGGGTTTCTTAAATCTTCAACAAGTGGTGGGTCAGCAGTAGGTACTGGATGTTTGATGTCAGTCACACCTAAAGGAAAGATTTTCTTTAAGCAGTCTTTTAAAAAGTAGTTTAAATAGTTTAAATGCAGACAGACAATTTGCACATGATTCATCCTACTGTGCACTGTCAATATTTGCAGATATGAAATGCAGTTTATATAAAAATACTGTACCGTATTGGAAATACAGTACATACTGTAATGTTTACCAAACAAGGGCGTAGCTAGGTACGTATACACAAGTGCGTATAGTTTTTCCTGGGCTCATCTTGCATGGGCCATTGCCCCTATTTTGTACTGCCTATAGGGCCCATTTGTATGTTAATACTATCTGAGTGCATGTATGTAAGAGAAATTTGGGGGGGGGGTCAATGTGGGGCAAGTGAAGTTTAACATGATTCAGGTTGGGCCTGTTATTCTGGGGAATAGCCTAATTTGAACACCTGGGCTGCCTAGCTCACCTCAATATGTCATTGTCAATAAGGATCAAGTAAGCAAGCCAATCTTCTGGAAAATGTCCCCCAAATTGGTTAGATTTAAAAAATATAAATAAATAAAATACTGGGAGGGGGAGGGAGGCTTATAGTAAATTTTTCAGTCTGTTAAAGAAAGCCCATTAGAATATTTTGTTTTAAAACAAACTCTCTCTCAAGGGTTAATATTGACGACTGACCCATAGACGGGTTATTTGTTTTGTTATCTGACTCTATTTTCATCAGCGAGTTCTGATATGATTATCGTTTCTTGTGCAAATGCTTAATTTGGTAGATAATTAGGCGCACAATACATTTCCGCCGGTAATGTACTGGATGAAAATCATCTTATAATTAGACGTCTTATTCGAATATGATAATAGATTAGTTGTAGGAATGAACGGTGTGTAAATAAAATAATACCATAGAAACACTGTGTAATATCGGGGCCACCCACGATGACCATGGGGGGGGGGGTTATATAATTTTGAGGCTACCAACATGCCCAATGCACCCATGCTCTCACCATTTCCAGTGACCCTGTGTGTGTGATTGTTTATGGTACACTTCAAGCCCAACCGATCCCAGAGTTTTGGGAATGTAGGCCTTACCGTGAATATATACAGTATGTATGTTGGTCCCCACGGTAAATAGCAAAGATTGAAATAAATTCGGTTAAAACTGACTCGCCCCTTTATATTTCCCTAACTTATGTCATAAACAAATATTACTGTAACCAATGTTTCCATTTGAGAGTAACTTAAATATTTCCCAACTTAATTTAATCTACAACAAATTAATAATTTTCTGACAATACTATCTGGGTAATGGTGTACCACTATCTGTTAACACATACATTTCCTGCCCACCTGACACTAGTCCATCAACTCAAAGCTCTTTTGTCATCAGATAATTACTAAGTGCAACATAAAATACTTTCCCACGCTGGCTTTCTTTAGTTTATTCAGTATAAATTAAAACAATACAAGTGTCTGCCAGTCATTATAACATAACAGACAAAAGATTTCCAATTATTGATCTTGTCACTTCAATGTTAGCAGCACACTTCAATAATTAAACCAATTAATTTAATATTTTTTTTGAAAAGTTATTGGTTAAACTGAATTAACACAACTACCTGTCGGTTATCTCTCACTCACTCTAACCTGCCATTCAAAAGAAACTCGATACCCATAAACTGTACTGTACCTCTCAGCATGACACGACAAAGATAAACAATTCCTTTGTTGCAACGACTCTCGATGTGGTATGCATCGTTATAATGGTTGTTTTCATTTACAGAAGTGTTAATTGTCAACAATATACCATACCTTGGCAAGTAACGTTAGGTAATATCCTGATAAATCTTGAAATGAACTTGCTGCTGCAGAATGAGTCGCGGACAACCTGCGACCTTCCTGCGACCCTTCTCAACCACCAACCCATATTTTGGAGGGGTTATTTTTACCACATTAGTGAGACTCATGCCACATTGTAGTAGGGGTTATCCATTGCAAACTTCTTAATGAGCATTGTCGATCATTTAATCTAACTTACCACAATTCATATAGGAGCTAGGTGAAATCTTACGCTACTCACGTATCAACGGTGTGAGCCTGCGTAGTTATTCTGTCTTACCAACGCAACGCCGAGGATCAGCTGGCCATTATGTCATAGGCCACCACGCTCGAGTTCCTTATGCTCAAAATAATTATCCAGGCATCGAACAAATCTAATGGCTTACTGAAACACGTTGTTAAATTAATATTAAGAGAATAGGTATAAATTAAAATGTCATCACATACGTCATCCATACTGAGCAATGATAAACATTATTCCAGAAAACTCTCCCGTAGTGGCCTTAGTCTCTGTTTACAAATACGGCTGTTTGTTTCTCCACTCCTACCCACCAAGGTACGTTGCAAGGCTTTTAACATTATCTCCTGAGATGTTCGCCATTTTTTACTATTAATTTTATCAAAGTAAGTATATCTGTAAAGGTTATACAGAGATAAAAGGCAAGATGTGTACTTGATGTGAATATCAAGGAAAATTAAAGCAATTGAAGCAGGGGTGAAGGTAACAGCTGCAGACGAATTCCTCTTTATCATATAAGCCAATGAAAACTCGTATACAAGAAAATTTCTTTCTAATTGGTGACCTTTTTGTAAAGAAATCGTCAACAATATCGCTGTATCGAACAAACACCGTTACTAAAGAATTACACATTTATTGGAATGCTTGGAAATGTTGCCACCACAATTCTATTAATATATTATTTGCTTTCAGGTTCTGAATCTGAGAATCAAAAGAGCACAGAAGCATAAGGATCCTCGCCCAAGCGACACGTTGCATTGCTTTACCTAAGTGCCATATTTCACTGGCTGAAAGAGGGAAAAATTTTCCCAGTATTAATGGCGCTGAGAACCATGGTGCTACCGTGGGTTCGAGTAGCGAGTCAATGGACCAGTCTGAAGAACTGGAGGTACACCTGTCGACGAGTGCCGGGTAACATTCTTACACCTACATTCCTGAACATAAGGACGATGAACTCACAAATTGGGGACAACATGATCTTCAGACAAGTAAGATTATATATTAGTTGTAATGTATTGTTATGGATCATACGTGCCTTTTGAGAACAAAATACAACAGTACATAAGGTGTGGCAGTAGATACTGATATGCATACAAAGTAGTGTAAACCTACGCATTTACCACAATTTTTACTAATAAAGTGTAATATTACTTTTTGATAATTGCACTCTAAAAAGTGGGTTGTTATCACGGGCAGCATTCATTGGCAGACTCGATATATAGCTTATTCTTTTTACTTTTATCCTCTTCACCACTGATCGGCTCGTTAGCCGCTTGGGCGATCGGTTACGTCTCTGATTACTTTTCCTTTTCTTTTACCCTCTTCACCCAACTCTCACTCCGAAAAAGTTTGCCCTCACAGTTTTCTGGACTTGCGGGCGGCTTCTTCAATCTTGAGCTGTGACCCCTTGTGGGGCGAGCGTCCGCCAGCTCCAAGTATTGACTCTTCAGGCTTCTACGCCCTTAAACTCATGAGACATAAAGGCAAGCATGAACTTAGCATGCTTCCCTGTTGGGCGCTGTAAACGCTTCTGCGCTTCACCTTACACAAGGATGTAGGGGGGTGCCCAATAAATAATAATAATAAAAAATGACACTCGACTGAGTAGTGCCCCTTGTGATGCTTATACACCTCAATTAGGTCACCCTTTGCCCGTCTGTAGTATAAGCCAGGCAAGTTCAGGCGCTTCAATCTCTCAGGGTAGCTGAGGTGCCGAAGGGCAGGTACTAGTCTGGTGGCCCTCCTTTGAACATTTTCAACCAACTGATAGATTCCAGTGTTAATCTGGAATTTTAACTGACACTTGACAACTGGCAGCCGTTAATGATCACATTTTTGGACAATTCCCACTTGGACGATCGTCAGTTTTATGCTTATTAACCTAACCTAACCTATTAATTTAACTAATGTGGTAAATATCGCTTGCATAAAATAAATGATCGTCCAAGTGGGATGACACCGACGTAATTTGTCTTCGGTCAAACCAAGATACTGCATTTTATAATAGCGATAAGAACACTGGTGCTACTTTGTTTCCATAAATTGTCCTTGAAATTGTAAAATATAATCAGACCTAATGAAAACAATTCACACACTTCCGTTGCAGTGGCGAAGAGAAAAGGAGTAAAGTAAATGCAGGTAGCGGTCGTTCTCAGAGAGTCCCCGTGACCTGTGTATATAATGCGCAGGCGCAAACGTTAAGATTATTTTGTCAACACGGTTAGCTCCTGAAAAAAAAATGGAATTGAACCAAACTTTGTGGAGGCGAATACTGTATTATGAACCTGAACACGAAAATGGAAGCGAGGATACACAGAACCTGACCTAACCTCACCAAACTTCTATTTTTCGTGTTCATTGCCTATTTTTTCGTTAACGTTTAAATCCTCTGAAGGTGCCACGTCATGTGTTGTGTTCAAAGTTGCCACGATAATGTAACAGAAACCTGTGTATGGAGTAACGAAGACGTTTATGATGTCTGGATGGAAAAAAAAAAAAATATATATATATATATATATATATATATATATATATATATATATATATATATATATATATATATATATATATATATATATATATATATATATATATATATATATATATATACTGTACAGCGGGCATGCCAACATACAATTTGAAACGCTGGGACAAAATGCTTATACACATGTATAAAATATCATGGAGAATAAAACTTAAATTAATGGTCATTCTTAAATTCTGGCAGTAGTACGAAAGTGTTACCAGATAATTTGATACATTTACAGTACGCAGTAGATCATGTGTATACCATTCCCTGTGGTCGACTGCACTAACCACTACTATTTGACTGCTCACTAAACCATACACCATAATCTACCCCATGGGGTAACGAGGTGCATGCCCAGTACTTGCCAACAGTGAGTAACAGGGACGTGACCGATCGCCCAAGCAGCTAACGAGCCGAACAGTGATGAAGAGGATAAAAGTAAAAGTAAAGTAAAGATACTACTATTTTTGGGACTGTACATTATATGTACAGTACGTATGTGTGCCCAATTGATGTGTATTTTACAATTGTGTTATACATGCTTGTGTGTATGAGAATACGTGTTGCACACGTTTTCATATACGCTCACGAGTATGTGTGCTCATTCGCAAATACAGCAGGTGACATGGGAGGGTTTTCCTACTGGCTTGCTTGTTTATGCTTGCGTGCTTGTTTATGTAAGTGCGTGTATGCTAGCGGTGTTGGTAGGTGCGTCTCTGAGTCCTACGTAGGCTGTGACCTTCGAGCCACCGTCGCTAATAATAGAACGTCCACTGTTGTTTCACTGTCCACTAGTTTTTGGTGTGTATCTGGCGTACTGACAGGCTAAGATAGGGTGAGCGTGATAATACCTCAGTGTGGTGAACCTGGCGGCGCTGTAGGGTATATAGGCGAGAAGACCCACTAGATTTTATTTTCAGAGAGAGATCGCAAGTTGCAGTAGTCAAGGTTCTTATTTAAGCTTATTGGGAGTGAGTGTATAAAGCTTTGTTTTGGTATAACTAGTTAGCTATGCTAGTGAGGGTTGTGTGTATTGGTGGGCATTGTGTGCGTTGTAGGTGGGGCGTTGGAAGGTTGTGATGGCGGCTGCATGACGACCCTGACTCGCCCATTCGATATGCGGATTTAATTTCAATTCTTATTAAAAATATATACATAGGTGCATGTATTGATATATAGTTACACTAATATTAAGTTCTCAACACATGGATGTATTTCATTCTAAAACCACAATGAAAATAAGTCTTCCGACCTTTTGTGTTAACCTTGGAGTTCTGTTATAAGATTTTGCTAGGTGTTTACTTGTATTGTAATTGTTGTTCACACCCGTACTACATGTTATTATGCATGGGTTGAATTCCCAATAGAATCAATAAAAAATGCAATAACTATTACAATTTAACACGACTAAAGAATTTCCCATTACATTGCACTATTTTTATACTTAAATCACTAGCGCCAGGAGTGTAATTCTGTCGTGTTAAAATTCCGATATACCTACCATTTGAGTAAAATTGACCCTCGGTGTGAAATATTTTGTCGATAACTGGACAGGAATGGGCCCATTGAGGCAGGAGGGATCCAGACTAAACTGGTTGCAGGTAAACGCCTATAAAGGTCAGACAAGACCCCCAGGCTCCTAAGTCTTACGTACCGCGTGAAGAAAACCCACGGTGAGAAAATAATTATTGCAATAGTATCACAGGTCAATATACCCACACCTTGGGTAATGTACACAATGCCGTGACATGACAAACAAACTTTGGTGAAATAATTACTTTTTCCGAGGTGGTTGAGGGTCTGATAGTATTACATAATCCTTGTGGTTAAAAGTTAAGCTATATCATTTTTGTGCCGTTGCCTAGGTGAGCTGCGTACTCACTTCAGTTAGGGAATACAAAAAAAAAAGATACCCTTTGAGACTCCCGACCTTAAGTTTTTCCTCCCTATTCTCAACCTCAACACTGGTGATTATTTTCACGGCCTTGAGGCTGTCACTCATCAGCTTGGGAGAGATATATAATGATAATATTCAAAGTTATGGAAGTGTCGGGTAGCAAGCAGAATTGAGCCCTGGACTTGGTTGAGGTGGGCCACACATCAGGGTCTATTCTTAGTAATGGCCGAGATAAACACTTCAACTCGCTTGGGTGAAGCAAAACAGGTCTTAGGACTATACACTGTATACATATCTTTATTAACGAAAGCATTTACCTTTCGTAACGAGATTATTTGACTTAATAATACTGTCCTTGTGGTGGCTATTAAGTTAATGTATTTACTATATAAAGGATAGTCTCGGCTACAATTACATTTATTTCTGTAAGTTCATACTTTAGTTTAAATCAACCAGTTAGGTACATTCATACGTCTTCATGTACAAGAGTATTCATCCTACGAACCTTTGGGAATCGGGGCTCAGGATTTCTTATGCCGTGATTATATTTCACGCTCTTGTCTCACCACTTTCTCAGATTATTATTATTTTTCTCCACAGGTCGTGGACAATCAAGGCTATTGTTTTTTTTAGTATTGCCATAAGTAAGGAAGCGGAGCGACAAAATAAACTGTTTGAAAATTTTTACGTCGTAAAGAATTCATGGGAGAACTCTTTTTTTTTTGTCGTCAGGTGCGTCAATATTGTGGTGACTGGTGAAATAGAAAATTTACACAGGTTGAAATAAAGCATTTGTAAAAATCTGAAGCTTTTGACTGTAATACCGTAATTAAAATCCCAACTTCTGTAAATTAAGTCAGGTTGTTTAGAACTGGGAAGAAATGTGTGAAATCCCCACGCTGTAGCCTGTCCCTGTAGTGAGACAATGTGGTGCTGGACGCGTGGGCTTCAACTTCAAGGTGGGGCCTCACAAAGGGTCCGGATCCTCAGGAATTCGGACGTTAGATTTTCCCCATAACGGGTGATCGTGTAACTGACTAGCCTAAACGACTGATCCAAAATGACGTCAGAGCTGCCCTGTAACTACCGTACCTCAACAAGATCGGTACGTTGCCTCATTTAAGGGATAAAAATTAACGTGTCGGAGAATTCATACACTGGCGTCCCACTCGAAATAATGAAAGTCGAAATAATTCAAATGAAATCGGAAACAATTAAAAAAAAAGTTCATGACAGCACAATGCATTAGCCCCTCCTAGCTTATTTCGCCTTAAGATTATAACCACCCTAATCTAACCAACCCCCTCCCCCCAAGTATAGTATTAGGGGTGTTTTTAATCATCGGGTGGAATAAGCGGAGAGGACGGGTCTAATCTTCACGTGATCCCTTATCGCTTCAAGGTTGGATTAGAACCTTTTACCTGAGTTAACGCAAGTACAAAAGTTCTTACCTAACCCAATTGTTTCTCTTGGGGGTAATAATAAAACTTCTTATTCTATATACTATTAACTTCCCTTCTTGATGATAATTGTATAATATATCAAACCGTAAAAAAAAAATC